CACATTTGAAACTCTTCGTTTTCGCATGTTCAGAGACTTTCAAAATCGCCAGCCAGGAAAACCACTTTTCAAAATTCAAAAATTGAAAAAATTTTCAAAAATTTTCAAAATTCCGGTAAAAACGTCAAATCCTGGCGGGCTGCTTGCCCGCTTACGGTCCTCCCTGGCTGGCCGCCAGGATTTTCCGGCGAATTTTTCCCTGGCTGGCGCCAGAGTCAAAACCTTTCTTGCGCAGAGTTGCTGGCTGGCCGTTCGGTGCGGGCCCCTGGACTTTTCGAGCATGGCACCCGGGGATTCGCTGGCTACTGTATTGTAGCCTCAATTCAGGAAGCTCAAAATCTACAGGGTGCAACGAGCTCAGTGCTCTATGAAAGGTGGATTAGCTGGCCTTCAAGTTCAAGGCTCAGCAGACACCACCATAGAAGGTTGCTAGCTGATTACTATCGTTTAGAGTGACACTGCAAAAAGGGCCGGGCCCGCAGCTCAGTGTTCGATGGCCACGTAACCAAGCAGCTGCCCAGAGGTTCGCCAATCTTGCAATGCGGACTGCTTTTCATTCTTGCGGCTTGCATATGAGAGGGACTTCTGTCAGCTAGTTATACACCAACAGCTCGTATTCCTTTGATGTTTGCTTGAGCTCAACTCTGAAGACGTTGAGAAGTCAACGCACAATTGTTCTTGCCCCTGAAGCAACAGCAAAAGCAGGATGACAAGCAAAACTGGAGCCACTACTACTCTCAGCATTGCTGCTCTTGGGGCTGGATAGGCAACGATTAGGCGCTGAAACGGTAAGCCAGCAACGCCATAGCAGCTCAGATCACCCTTTCTTAAAATGCTCAAAAGGTCTGAACATACAAGTTTGGCTTTGCGGTGAAGGGCTGCATTGGGTACCAGGCCCGTTGGTACAAAAGCAACTAAAAGGAGTTGCGTCAGCTTTTGGAATGAAGTGTTTGAGCTGCAGGGAGGGAGGCAGGATGGTACAGGAACATGGACAGAGCTAGCAAGGAGATTAGAATGGTGCATCCATCGAAACTTGGAGAATCTGGAGAGGGTTCTGTTGGTCAAATGAGGCAGATGCTGTACGCACCAACACTGATGCATAGCTCCTTGGCTAGCCTTTGCAGAATTTTACGCGCCAGTTCAGGCAAGAACTTTGATCAGCTTTTTGGTGCTTACTGTTGGTAAAGTTGGTTACCAGTTGGTTACCACCTCAGAGACCTTCTGAATGACAAACACCAATTGTGTGCAGGGTAACCATTAAGACACTGCACATGAGTGAAGTGTGCCATGTCAATTGAGATCTACCATGGACCGCCACAATAAAGAGAGGGGACTGCCAAACCTGAGGCAAGAACCGAGCCTACCAGTCAGCCCGCCGTCCGATACAACTGTGGGACAGTTTGATGGACGGAAGAGAGATGATGCTGCGCCTCGTGACACAGACGGCCATTGGAGGAGCAAAAGCAAGCTGGTTTCTGACGAGAGTCTAGGTAAGGACTGGGGGCGACCTCCCTCTGGAAAAGTATCCAAGAAAGGTCCAGCGGTGGATTACGAGAATGGTGACAGAAGTGGCGGTGGAGAGGGTCCCGCGTCTCGGTCCGAGGATGAGCGGCGAACGGAGGGCAGAGAGAGGCGGGAGAGCAGGGGACGGAAGGAAAAGGCAAGTGTTCGAACTGTGGAGGAGGAACGACTTAACAGTATTTCTGATCAGCAAAAACATTTGAATAGGAATAAACGGGAAATGGCGTCGGCCAGTGACGCCACTTGGTCTGAAAAGCGAATGGATTCCGGAGCCGGATTGGAAGAGCGGACTGACGGCTTGGCAGGCGGAAGGGGAGCAGAGAATCAAACGGACGAACGGGATGCGGAAAGGAGCGGAACACGAGGAACGGGAATAGCATCCAGACAGACGACAGAACGGAGGAGGGAACGAGCCAACGACCGTTCCGAAGAAGAGTCGACGGAACGATCTAACGGAGGAGGATCGGAGAGACGGACGGAAAGAAGTGCGGCAGAGGAAGAAGAGCGGAGGCGGCGGAAAGAGGAGCGGCGGATAAAGCGGGCGGAAAAGGAGGCGCGCCGGGCCACGAGAGCCCAACGAGGGGAGGGGGAAAGCGGCGAAGAAACGACGGGACGCCGGCAGAGTGGCAGAGAGACGATCCGAGAGCGCATTGCAGATGGGTTGCCTGCCAGTCAAAGTGGAAGCGGAGATCGAAACGAACGTCGAGAAGACAGAGGCAGGGACGGGACGTCCAAAACAGACAGAAGCCGAGAAAGGGAAAGAAACGCAGAAAGGATGTTGGATTCAGAAAGAATGAGAAGAAGCGGAGCGGGAAGAAGGGACGATATGAACGGTTCTCCAAGTGGACCACCTGTTTTGGGGAACGGTTTGCCAAATGACACAGGGGCCTTGGAGACCGGGTCAAAAGGGCCGGTGAATGGGGCCAGTGGTAAAGGCGCCAACGGGCGGCTGGGGCGAGGGGTATCATTTATGAACGAGGTCTACGAAGAGAACGACGAAGGTAAGAGAAAGCCAGGTTTTCCCTTCACGGGTTTTATTTCACATCCCTTTACAACAATGTACGTTCAGCCATTGTGGATCCGTTCCTCAGAGGGCAACTGCGCCCCTCGCATGTCTTTTGAAAAGGTTTCGAAAAGTTTTCCAGCGAGGAGTAACCTTGAGTTGCACGTCTCCCTGACTTTCAGATGGCTTGACTGCACGGCTTCCATCCCTGCATCCCGTCTCAATAAACCAGTGTCAGAAACTAGCAGTTGCCGTGGCGCGAATGAACTTGGCGAACATTGCCTTACTTGCTCGGCCGACCTCCTCTACTCGCACGTCCTGCTTTCCCCCTGTACTCGAGCAGCGCATACCGATGAAGCCAAATACGTCTGCTTTCAAAAAACACTCCGTAGCACATTCATAAACTGAAGGCGAGAGAGTGCAAGTGAAGACGTTGCTTACTTTTCCCCGTCCTGCCCCGCAGCCATGTTGCTTCACTCGACGTTCAAGTACGACGAGTCGACGGGCCAGCTGACCAGCACTCTCGCCAGCTCCATGCCTGCGGCCGAAGAGAAGAAACAGCGACTCTACATAGAGGGGGTGACGGACGGCAACTTTCACAGGTAGGCCAAGATGCCCAAATCGGGTAAACAATGCGAAACCCCTTGCTGTTGGTTAGGGTTAGGTAGATGACCCCTGTGATTAACTTCCGGTCGTTTCGTGCCTGTTCGTTTGTTCTTCAGCCCACATAAGGAGGACTTGTGAATCCAGACGAAAACAGGTCCTACCTGCCTCTATGGAGTTGGAGGGACATGGCACATATCAACCTCTTTCTAAAAGCTCTCTTTTTTTTTCCGTTGTGCCTCCCAAAGCAGACGCAGTATGTCAATCTACGCGTGCTCTTCATCTTCGTACTGATCAAGCGCATCTACTCATTAAGCTCTTTGGCCAGCCCTTTAACTACCTTCGCCCCTAGCTAACACGCGACCGTCACAAATCTCGAAGTATTAAACTGCGCCCTTCATTCCGTCTGCAGAACGCACACAGGGAGCGAGCAGGGTGACGTCAGCCTCTGGTGCTGCTGGCGGCCCGCCACGTGGCAGCGCCGGGACGCCGAGGACGATGACGTGGAGCTGGGCAGCTCGGGCGGCATCGTGCTGCGGGTCGCCTGCGAGCAGGTCGCCGCGTGCCTCTCGTTCGTCGCGCACTTTTCCAACAGCTTGCTGGGGGGGTTCGCGCTACTGAATCTGTAAGCTCCTCTAGATCTTTGGCCAGTTGATTCTCTTAAAACCCTGTCAATCTTGATCTGGATTTTGGGTGCCCTAATGCTTTGGGCTGGTTTTCCCAACAACTTCTTGTGGGGGTTTGCGCTACGAAGTCTGTAAGCTTAACGTGGTTCCAGAAACAGGTAGGGTGGTTCGATTTTCCTTGTCGGTCTCTGATCTACCTTTGGGGGCTCGACCGTGTTTAGCAGCTTCTCAAACGTCCTACTGGGGCAATGTGAGCTTTGTTGACGTTGAAGTTTCATGAACTATCTGGTTGAAACAAAAGTTCGAAAGTCCGAGCGTAAGAGGGACTCCGCAAAGCCTGCTTTCCCAGGTCTTCCTCCTCTTATGTCGCCTTGACTTCGCTGCCAAGAAGAATGATAAGCTTCTCCAGAAATCTTCTTCTCCAAACGTGGTTATTTCCGTGTCCCTCTTTGAGCGCCTCATTATGTCGCTCCTAGGAATGCAACACGCTTTCTCATAACGTCTACGTCCTGTCTCTCCTGCAACTTCCGGCTCCCGTCACCCTCTCTGGGAACCATCTGGGGCAATAGCTTCCTCGTTGAACTCCGAAGGAAACACCTTATCCTGCGTTTCTCACAGAAGCTGACAGTACACGATTCTGACGCGCCTGAGCACGAGCATGTTCGGCCTACTCTATTCATCGCGCTGATTGCGATTTTTCCGCTAACACCGCTCATTCTGCTTTCTGCCGCAGGTATCTGACGTACCTGTACAACGCCGGTTCGCTCCCCGGCGGCTTCCTGGCGTATTACACGCCCGTTGCAATCAACTGCCAACGGACGTTCCTCCTGCTGTCGTCGATATGTCTCCTGGCGGCCTGCGACAAGTGAGACGCTGCCAAATTACTTCTCCAGTATGTACTAAGAATGCTTTGTGGACACGCGGGATATTTCTATATGCTATTTACGGACGATGAGGCAAGGATTTGACGTCCTCGGGGCGAGCTTCGGCCTCTGTTGTGGTCCACCTCCTCCAGAATTGGTGGGTATTCGTCAACGTTGGCAGCGCTTCAAAAGGTCTGAGAAAGAGCTTCTCGCAGGCTGATACGCGCGACTTCGACAAACACGTCACCCTGACCGTTGTGACTTCCTCAGGCTGTCGTGCAATGGATAGCCGAAGCCTTGGTAGCGAAACGCTTTGGGCGAGTCCGTAAGCAGACATCAGTAAGCTGTCAGGATCTTTACTGCCCGCTTGCAATCACCGTGAATCCGATTCCTTTTGTTCGGTTTAAGAGCGGTAATCTACATGCAGGTATGCGAAGGATAAGCTTGCGGAGTGGCAGCCCCGGGGGAACGTGCAGTGGCGGCACGACCTGCTAGTCATTCTGGTGAGCGGCTCTCTTGCAACTGTTCTAAAAGTGTTGCAAGCGGCTTTTGTAGCCTTTCCCCTGTAGCTTTCTCAAACCTAACCCGTAGAGGGAAGTCAACTGAATTGACTGCGCCCTTAAGCAAGTGAAGGCACTCAAAAAGACGCTGCAAGCGCCAGGTGGTGGTAAACTAATTTAAGCGTTGCTCGGGTTGACAGCCGGTAAATGTGCTGAATGGAGAGAAACCTCGTAGAAAACGACCGATGTCTGCCGAACAAAGGCACTCGAAGCTATAAGTTGACAGCTGTCGTTGACTGGCGCTTCCTTCGCTTGCTCGCAGCCAGCCAGCAATGAAACCTATGGCAGCAAGCTGCCAAAACTGGGCTGCTTCATCCCTTCTTATTCAAAACCGAAGTTCTGATGGGATGCTCTGCAGGCGTCGTTGCTCTGAAAACCTGATTTGAAGACTTCTCAAACCAGCCCGCTGAATGACCTCTGCTTGCGCCCTTGCAGTCCTTCTTCCTCGCGTTCGTTCTTTCCGTCGTCGGTACCCCTTTCGAGGTGTACATCTTCCAACAAAACAAGTCGTCCCCAGAGTAAGTATGACGGTTCCCTAAGAAAAACCATCTGCGCTCAAGTGCAACTGAGCAAGAAAGCATTGGGGCACTCTAGCCGCAATGAGTATGCTACGGAGGTGTGCCTTTGTGAGAGTCCGTTCAGCAACTATGCTTGGCATAGCGCTGGTTGCATTTGCGGAATCACTGATGTTCCGCACCAAAAACTCTACTCAGGAAGGTTGCGTATTGCCACTAGTAAAGTCGTGGCCTCTTAGAGTCTTCAGGAAAGGAACCAAAATGTAATAACAGAAGCGTTCGCTTGATCCTGTTCTAAAAGCCACTCTGCCTGCGATCTTCTGATTTGGAAAAGGTGCCACTGATGAACCAAAGCTATGATTTACTGTTTGTGTATGTGTGCAGTTGGTACAGCACAGATGGATCTACCGCCCATTTCCAGGCGCGTCTCAAGTCGTGGCACGTGCTCAACTTCGTACGGGTACGCTCGACTTCTTACGAACCCCTCATTCCTTCTGGGCTTATCCTCTTTGCTCTTCTTCTATTTGCGCTTCTTCCGTTCCGCAAATCGACGCTTTGAGGCTCGCTTCCAAAAGTGTACTTTCATAAACGTATGCTTTGCCTCGCACAGCTTGCTTGACATCTAGCTATTGGGATTGCGTCCCCTTCAAAAGTTGCTGAGTCCTCAAGACATATCCTCTGGAGACGACGTTTCTAACGCCGTCGTAATGCTGCATGAGCTTCGATAGAATACGGCGAGACAACGCGGAGGGTTGACTTGTGAGTTTTCTTTCTCACGCAGTTAGGAGCATGTGCAGTAGGCTTCTTCGTAGTTATGCTCGAAGGGAATGTAGCTTTGCGGACGGCACGAAACAAGTCTCTGCAAGTGGCTCGGTTAGAGAGGACAGCTGGCGCAGCGGCACTGGCTAACTCCCTCGCCCGGGCGAACGTGATGACTCAGAGCATGCAAGCAACTCGCTACAGTCTCAGATCGTGACATGGGTATACAGTGTATAAAGGTTTGTCCTTAGCAATCTGCAGCTGAGGCAGCGGGAGAGACTTGCTCACGTCTCACATTGAAGGCATTCTATAACTGATCGCACGCAAATAAAGCAGGCCCAATCAGAGCAGATCTCCCGTTTGAAGATTACAAATTCCCGCGCAAGTGCGTTTTTGAAGCAGGTATGCCGCCTCATGCAAAAGTCTATGCTAAAGGCCGGACGCGCTCACACTGACATGATGTGGGCACCGCCCGAGAAACGTTGCCAGGCGCTCATCATGGCATGCATACCAACTTGGACTCAAAGATGGCGGGCCTTGCAACCTGGCCGTCATCGCGTCGCTTTTCAAGGGCGCGGTGCCGACAGCCCCCAGCCGTGGCACAACTCAGCCAGACTAGCTCGGCCACACGTTACTACCACATGAGGTCAAATCTATTGCATGACTCTAAGGGATCCGATCGTATCGATTGAAACTCACATCATGCAAGTGACGCGCCCAAGTAAATGTTTTATTGATGAAAATCGCTCGCCAGGAGAATTGCATAAGTACAACATGTCAGGCACTGCTCTTGACTTGTATGTGCTGAAACATGAGCTCTGCGCTTCTCATGCTTCCAACTTTACAGAGACCAGAACGTTCACATGTCCAAACCTCATGAGACATGGGCAAGCAGCATGTGACTGGACTTTGCACTTTGGACTCCCCTACAACAGACCTGATCACAATTGTATACAATGGACAATGGAGAAGGGACGCACTGTCCTTCTCAATCGGCCTGCTGAAGTGATTTGCAAGTTGGATTCAAGGTGTGGACTTCGAAAGGAATACTTCCGCTCTGATTGTGCCGATAGATCTGACCGGCTATCTCAACATGCCAATCTTGAGGTTGCCAGGTCTACAAGCAGCTTAATGATTACCTGCGTACGTTCTATGTGTATGTTTCCTTGCCAAAGTCATAGGAGAAGCTGATATTTGTTGGCACTGGCGGGTTGCGCTGGTATTTTGATCCTCCAACGGCCCACGGTATGATGTAAGGATCTGGGTGTGCTTTTTCCCTGAGCCTTGCTTCGCCTCTGTCAAGCAACCGGTCAACAAGGTCCAGGTTTGTCTGCAAAATGAAGGGCCAGCTGTCAATCTCAGCAGGCAAGGACAGAGCAGAAACGACAGAATTGAACCCGAGGGTCCAGGAATTGATGCTTTCCGATGCTACAGAATATGCTGACTTTGATTTCCCAGTGAGGCAAAAATCGCGAAGTTCGTGGACTCTACAAATGATCAGACGTACTGACCATATCAACTTCACCGCCGACATCCTGAAGCAATCACACGATTGGTGGCACAGAAAGCTTCGGATTGACGGGGCGCAGGTCGAAATTGCTATGTGTTCCCAAGTGTTGATTTGACGGACTTGGTTGAAAGTTGGAAGGAAGGTCCACAGGGGACCAGAGCAGGTAACGAAACTGGCACCCATCTTTGCTTTACGGAGCGGCCAAGGATGCAGGTGTTCTGCCGATGTCAAAGAATGCTAGAGAGCAACAGAATATTGAGGCGGCTCGCGTCGGCTTGTTAACAGAAATCAATGCCGTTTGCTTGGGCATTTCTAACTCTGAATGTTGCCAAAGCAGCAGAATGCCGATTTGATGTCTATCGGGCAGCAGTAGTGCTTTCGAGCTCCACAAAGTGGATTCCTGAGAGAGAGAAACTGATCTTTCAAAAGACACCTGATGCACTCTGACCCTGATACTCTGGGAGTCTGATCCTAGCATAGGATAGTGTCGGTGAAGTGTCGGTGAGAGAATCTCAGACCCAACCAGCATCTGCTTTTCTCAAACTCATGCACATACTTAGCATGAGCTCCTCAATGCCCAGGCACCAGTATAGAAGATCGGTTAAACTGATTCTTAACATTGTTTTACTCCAAAGTTCTGCAGACATTAAAAGAAAGCGTGGCACCCACCACATTTTTGTGCTGCTCAAACTCTGCGCGCGTCTTCATTGCCTCATTATAGAACGTGTCCCTGTGTACCGCCCAGCTCTGCACCGTCTTTAAAGCTCGTCTATACAACAACCGCACTTTTGCCTGCTGCTCAAGCCTGCGGGCAATTATCGGCGAGCTCATGGCGTCACAAGGCACTTCAAACTGGACGCAATCAGATAGCTAGCAAGTGACAAACTGTTGCAAAACTAGAAAACGCAGAAGGTGCTCTGTTCTCTCCCTACACCCCAAAAACTTCGTCACGGAGACGTAAAACAGCCAGCAATGAAGCACCAGCCCGCCGATAAAGGAACCGTCTCCTTCTGATCTGTTCAACACTTAAACATTGCCACCTGATCAGGAACAAGCTTTAGGTCTTTTTTAGTTTCTGAGGGCGGGCCCACGCCAATGCCAATGGCAACAAATTTGCAAGTGCTGCAGCAGAGATGCAGCACGTAGCTGCAAATTGCAATGCCTATGCTGCATCCAAGTCGCCACCTGCCCATTGATACATCTATTGTCCATCGAACGGTCCGAAACTTGCAGAAGCGGCTCAGGAGTCGGTTGGTTGTACCGGTAGGCCGTGGTTGCCTAAACCACCCGAGGTTGGCTGTTCAAACCACTGGGCATGATTCTTTGACGGGTCTGTGACAGGGGATGGTCAAGCTGGTAATCTGGCGAGGGTTTACTGGACGTGGTGAAGGCTACCGAGCACACGGCTGCAGCACGCAGGCATGTCGACTTTCTCGAGCCGTTCACTGGACTGAGACAGCGGTCAACGGCTCAGATGGCATCGCTTTAGTGCCCCTCCGAATTACAGCAATGATGCCAGCTGCATGCACGGGGCTGCCACGGATAGGCACAGGGGCTCGTTGGGCTCGGGAGGGGCGGCCACTCGTCCAAAAGGTGGAATATAGCCGCGTCTGCTCCTTCGATTCACGGACCCTATTCTAAAACCCCTCCGGGTCATTTTGGGACCCCTATTCGTAAAACCAAAAGCGCTTTCCTCCTCCCCTATATCCCCTCAAATCCTCGACAAGCTTATACTTTGTAAAGATGCCGTTAGGCGGCTCGAATTTAATTCCCGGGTTCCGGTCCTACCCCCTTTTGGGTGGGTCGGTCGGTCGGGGAAAAATAATAGTTGGTTTTTTGCCTGTATGTTTGAAATATGAAATGATATGGAGTATTTTTGGGGGGAAAACCTCATTTCTTGGCCCGGTTCTCATCGGCCCCGGAACGAGAATATATGACTTTGGATATTCCATATTCCTCGAAGGATTTTGGGCAATATTCCAATTCCTTGCCACCCCAATATTCCAGATTCCAAGAAATTTTTGAGATATAGGAATTCAAATTACCCGGATTCCTGCACTAATTTTGCAGTATTCCATATTCCGTGAAAAAAAAATCTCAAAACCAAATATTCCGATTCCTAGGCCAAAAAATCCCGATATTCCAATTCCTGGAGCCCCAAAAACCCGATATTCCTATTCCAATATTCTCGTTCCGGGGCCGATCATACTTCTTTTATATTAAAGGCCGTAGCGTGAGCCATGGACCTGAGAGCGAGTACACATTTTGTTGCGAGTCTGAACGTTTGATTAGAAAAGCTACTCTACCACTGCATGTACACTACCTACATCAATGATGTTAGTGCCTACCGGCCTTTCTGCCTTTGGCTAACCCTCTATGAGCCTGATATGCACTATTAATGCTAGGTTGCACGAATCAGAGCTTATACTAGCTTGCCAGACTTGGATGTGGTGGGGTCGTCATGGGCCCCGGTAGGTTGGTCGTGTACAATGGTGCAGCGTGTGCGTCCCTTCAATCTGGGAAAATGCATCATGTAGAGCTTTCCAGCGGTTCAGTTTTGACAACTCCCAACAAAATGTTGTGTACCTGTCAAGGCCGGGGAGGAGTGGGCTCTGATACGTTCGTAAGTCGGTGAGGGCTACCTCTTCCGCAGAATTTTGACAAACAAACACATGTATTCAGAAGCTGGCAAAACCTGCCCGGCTAGAAGTTTGGGTGGGACCTTCTCAAACTACCAGTAGTCCATGCAAATAATAGACAATGCGACACCATGCCGTTGCTTAGCAGAGGGGAAAGTGTCGGGCCATTAAAAACCCTCTTCCAGTACGCCCTGTTTTATTGCGTCCGGTTTTTCGGAAGAGGGTAAAGGTACCCGGGGGTGCCCTCCCGTGCATGTAAGGCTTGCTTCACTCACATTAGCAGCAAGCAGGCCGCATGGACAGGATCTGATATAGAGAATCCACAGAGATGGTAAATTGTCCCGTCGTATGATGACTTCACTTGTTTGACATTAAGGGCGACAGTAAGCAAGACCAGCCCGCCAAGCTTGTTGGACGCAGCGCAGCGCACCAGATCTGCAAAGTTGGAAACGCACAGTACTATGCACGATCATGATAGATGCGAGCAAAAATAGAGCGTAAACTCGGATGCCAGTTGCATGGGTAAAAGTGGAGAATGCTGGCAGAGGGCAAGCCTCAAAGGGTCAACGTTGCAATCTATTCCTCTTTCCCGGGGGGTAAAGTGAGCAGTCGTTCTGCTCGATTTGGTGTGCAACTAATGCAATGCAACTTCTTGGGAAGGGTAAATGGGGGTAAACGTGCTCGATGAGAGCTTGGTAAATAACGCGTGCAACAGATGTTTTGCACCTTTTGAGGAAGGGTAAAAGGGGGGGTAAACGGTGCTCAATGCGAGCAAATGGCACGGAACTTTGAGCTGTCAACTTGAGCCTTTTTCCCTGGCAAGCAACGTGCAGGTCCCTAATGACTGAGATGAGTTCAGAGGAAAAGGGTTAAAACAGATGTAAATTTGCTCAGGGCGAGCAGGTTGGCAAGAGATGTGGTACAATCGTGCTGTCAACCTCAACCTCTGTAAACGACAACCTAACTGCAGCTGATCCTCAATGTGGTCGAAAGAACGAACACAATATGGTGACCCCCCTCATTACCAAATGACCTTTCCATGCCAGATGGTCTATGATCTCCTGCGGCAATTCTGGTTGAGCAGATGACTTGCTTGAGCAAAAAGTGGCGGCCCTGGCCCCAAGTGTCATTGTCGCTGTCACAATGAGTAATGGCAATGAAATCCACAGCCAAAGCTGAATCTCAATATTTTCAAAGAGAATCTGGGACAGAAAATCGACTACGGTATATTTATTATTTTGTTCCAAAATCCTTCGGAGTTTGGGTCGGTCGGGGACCGGAAACCGGGATTTAACTTCGAGTCGCCGTATAACGCCGAAGTAGCGCAGATCTGAAGAGAAATCGCAGGATTGTTTGCTCGCTTTTGATGCACACACACACATAAGGGGAAGGTCACTTTGAAGTGGTACCCCCCCTAATTATTTGTAGAGGGTTTTTGCCGGGAGCGCTAGGTCCCCCCCCCATACCCACGGCCCAAGTGGAATCGGAGCGTCGGGCCCCCCTCCCATATATTTTTTCCGGATCAAGGCCCTGGGTACCCCCCCCATATCTGTATTTGGGAGAAGCCAAAAATGGATAGAGAAGTCGCTTATGCGGGCATATGAAACCTTTTTCTTTGCTAATTTGCGTTCAAGATTTTCGTTTGGGGCATTTTGCAAGAAGTTTTTGACGAATATTAGTTCATATACGCCATTTGGAGCTTGATTTAGCCTCAGAATCACATGAAAATGGGGACTGGGCTCTACGTTCCCCCCCCTTGAGCTACCTAAAAGGCCAAGCTCGTTAGGTGCCCCCCCATCAAGCACTCCCGTGAGCAAAGTGTGGGTGTGTCCCCCCCCCATAGGGACCCCGAGCCGCGCACAGAGCCCTAGGCTCCCCCCCCTCACAAAAAATTAGGGGGCGTACCACTTCAAAATGACCTTCCCCTAAGCAGCCCGGCTGAGCTGGCACGAGGCTTGCTTAGCTGCTTATCACAGAGCAGAGTGTTATTAGGCCCCTTTTGAAAACCGGCGGGCAATTTCAATACCCCTATACCTAAAACGGCCGTTTTAGCAATTGGCTGTAATTCTCGAACCCTCAAATCGACGCGGCTCTCTTCCAAAATTGCCACCCGGCTTTCCTAGAGAGTGACGGGAGAGTGACCGCCCCTCCGGCTCGTTTCGATCACGTTGCCCGATTGGGCAAACGTTGGCTCAACGTGGCTCAGGGCGTTACTAAACCGTAAGTTACCATCACTCTCAAAGTGGTTGGAATTGGAGCAAACTGGCAACAATGGCGGCCACGTTGGTAGTGACTCGATTGCTGGAAACTTTTTCGTGCATTTTTCTCTTGGTCGAGGGCCGAATATCTGGGACATGACTGCTAGTGTTCGCGCTTTAGGGCTTCACAATCTTGTCAAATTGGCATCCGATCATGAATACTCATCGCATCTGCTCGTTTAAACTCTTGTCAATTTCCAAATTGTCAATTTCCAAATAGTACTTCGATTGCGTGCACACATGTACAATGTCAAATCAACGCTAATTGCTACTACAAATGAACCTTTTAGCGTATCATTTGTACACGAATCTTGCAACAGCTGCCCAAGTCCTTGTCAATGTTCAAGTACTTGACTCAACCAATTCCTATGATTCAAAGTGGCGGAAATGGACGTGCTTTTCACGTCATGCATGATGCTATATGCACATGAGACCTACCTGCAATAATCAGGCAGGCCTCCGCCTATCTGCTCCTCTCGACTTCCTCCGATTGTGCCAACATCCCCGCTGCGGCCAGAAAGTAAAACCCCAGGCGTGTCACCATTCCCCTGGCCCGTCTTAACGTCGTCAAAGGTCCCCGGGGGCTCAAACTTCCTAGCATCATCGTCGCTGTAAACTCCTGGAGCAGCCACAAATTCGGAGTAATAGCGGGACCACGGCTGAATCCCTACCCGACCATCGTCCCGTTGGTAATCTTCGACGGGACCAGGTGCACTGTATAAGTATATGGCAGCGACGGTCGCCAGGGCGACTGCCCCGGCGAGAACGTATTTTCGTGCAGCGAACGGATCCAAGGACACCTGCAGAACGTGGAGATTTTCCTCTTTCAGAAAGGAAGCAAGAGAGATGTTGAAAAAACATGCATCGCAGAACCAAGCACGACAGAGGCAAAGAAAGGGAGGCGGAACGATCTGAAAGTCGCAAAAGTCTGGAAATCTTCCCTTTGATCGAGGATAGGTTTTGTACAGGTGTTGATACAAAGCAAGCCTAGAATTGCCAAAAGGGATGAAAAGAACACCCACACGCGACGTCTGGATTTCTCCATGCCGCCGACTCCGGATGTACCCCAAAATCGAGGTAGGTAATACAACAGTCGATTGCCCCCACCTGTTCGTCCGAGCCGGCGCTCGGCAGTCGGATGAAGAGTGCGGGCACGAGGATGAATGCGCGCACGACCTGCTGGAACTCACTGTCCTCGTGCGTGTTGGACGAGTAACTCAGCAGCAGCAACGAGCAGCTAGCTAAAGACACGCCCAGCCCAGTCAGCACCGACTTGAGCCGCCGCAGTATCGGTTTTACCTGAATACATAAAGCAGGGTCATTCTAATTAGAAGCAGGGAGTTCGTAGCTGTCACAGATCGGCGAAGAAAGAAGTGAAAAGGTGTTTAATGAGAAGCGCCGACAAGGACTTGTCACAAGTCAGCATAGTCCGATCAGAAGATTTCAGATGTGGCGATCAAAACGTCTTTGACTGGCAACTTGTGTCAACTTGCGGTCAAGTGTTTCTTACAAGAGCGACAAGTGCTTGAACCTATATACTGTGGACAGCTTGGAGATGCAACGCGCCTTGATATGAACGGAGGCTTCGACACTCGAACTTGTAAAGCAAATCGGTTTGGTTTGTCAGGAGCAAATCCTAGAGCAAGTCGAGTCATAGAGCGCCCTTTCCTTGTTCCCTTTAGTGGCGCGCACTGCCGAGAATCAACGAACATAAGAAAATGGGTACACAGGGTTCGTCGGTTTATATGGACCAAAACTGCTCAGCCTACTCTGGATCGTCTCCTCCTGTCGTCGGCACGAGGCACTCCAAGTATTTGTAGGAGCTTGAAAGAAGAACATAAGTTCGCGCGACTCACTCGGTATGTCCCAAGCAATCTGTCTCGTGCAATCACCTCCGGCGTTTTTATCCACGTCTGTCCATCGTACCACCCACTCTCCTCGTCTGCAACAATGGCACGTGCCTTTCAGCTTCCGAGGAATTTTCATGTTGCGGTCAGTTTCACTGAAGTTGAAAGCCCTGTCACAGACTGGAAACCAATCAAGTACTTCAATTCAATGCACAAGGGAAAAAGGATCTAAAGCGCAGCAAGGATCCACAGCGAGACCACATTGGGGGGAAAGAATTTGTGCAGGATAATCGAAAGATGTTTGAATTGACGAAGGTGGAAACGCCTCACATTCAACAGCAGCGTTTGTCAGGCGGTCACCCACGTACTGCCAGCCCATGTACAGCCGCACCACCGCCACAGTGACAGACAAAAGCGCCCCCGCTAAAGCTCCCACTGCGACCTTCAAGGGGTCCTGCGAAAGAGGGGCATCGGTTGTTGAACCTCCTTTATACTCCTCAGTCCAGTTGCGCACCAAGGTACAGACTGTCAGCAAACCTTGACCCGAATGCAAGCAACCAAACCGAGATGAACTGGAGGTCAACAAAGATTGTCAGTGATTATTTGGAAGTGTCAAAAACTCGATTCGGCAGTTTTTTCAGAAATGGTTGGGCTTCTAAGAGCAGTTCAAGTGTGTTGGGCCTGTTCAAGAAGTTCTTCAAGCGAGCGAAGGGACTGCAGGTCCACAACAGAAGACCCGTGTTCTTGAAAGGGTTATATGTTGTCACTTATTTATGTTCAGGGGCTTGTTGAATCATGGACTTTTATCGACAGGACGACCTTCCAAGCATGGAGATAGCGGGACCTATCGAACCCGTTGGCGAGCAAGTTTGAGCGTCCAGAAGAGCTCCTGAAAGTACTTGACATGCTTTACCCTTTTTCTACCATTGAACAAGTCCAGAAGAGTCTCGGCAAGTTAGTTCATGATGTTAAGCTTTCTCTGCCGTTGAAGCAGGCCCAAAGCCCGCCCTTCAAGACTAAGGGGCCCCTAGAGAAGGAAGGGCGGTGAGTGGCACCAGATTCAGCTTGCAGAATGCTGCTAGTTTCAGATGAGAATGTCGTGAACCTCTTCCAAAAAGATGACCACTCAAATCTCAATTGCTGTTGAACTCCTGATCCTAAAAGGGGTTTTTATTGAAGCCTAGCTTGACATGCTTCGGTCTCCTCAATGAAAAGGCAAGGACAATGAGGAAGTGATGGCACAGTCAATCACTGGGATACAACGCAGCGCATGCAGCACCAATTTGATCAGAATGGGTACAAAACCGACCAAAGCAAGCAGATCAAAGGTCTCTTAAACCAGGGCATAGCAGAACTTTTTCACGAATCTCTGGACTCAAATAGCTGTCCACATTTACTGGAACAGAAAAAAGTTCTCGACACTTTTCAAAGCATGTTGCCCTTGCACTCTTGTACTCAGAGCTTGCCAGCCAGTCTATCCTTGCATTGAGAGCAGATTCGAAATAGAGAAACCATGCGCCCTGCTTTAAAACTACGAATGATGCACCATAACTCTCACCTCTGATGGATCAAAACTCAGGCTCGCGACGGGCCAGCCCAGAAAGGCAAACACTCCGCACCCAAGAATTCCCAACCGCAGTGCAAATTCTGTGGGCTCTTTCTGGGCCCAAGAAAAAAAGTTTGAGCTGCTGAGGGACTTGTACTCGTTGATCGGCTGCTGATCCAGGGGGACGGGGCACTTTGCTCCGTCCCCTCTTTCCGCAAACAGGGGGTCTTCCTCGGTTGAATTCCCCTCTCGATTGCCTCCCCGTGAAAGCGAACCAGAATTGTCCTTATTCATAGCCCTGCATACATGGCTGCATGGCCGATTGCTCCTTGGCACCCTATAACCCTTCAATGTTATAGCTGGATTGAGGCTCCGTAGGGGACCATAAACTATCCTTACGGGCTCGTGTGCAAGAGCTGGGAGCGCACAACCGCTGGCCACCACCCTCCCATTGCTGCTGACTTGAGCAGAAATTTCGGCCCCCAAAGCGTGCACAGACGCCCGGCCCTGAAGGCTCTGCGCCATGGTATTCTTTAGAAACGAAGGGGCACCTCCAAGTCGAAATCAGATCAAGACGGTCGTCCCCATGGAGGCTGCAGCCAGCTCCAGCTGCTGCAAATGACCTGCTGGTGGCTGGCACATTGCTGGCACAATGCTGGCACAATTTCAATGCAGCCTGCATGATGGGACTCAATTTTAGTCTCGGTCTAGTTCTCCAAAAAGCAACTTCCCGAGGGCTTTTCACATTACGATTTTCTGGGTCCTGGACCTGGGTCTATCATTGAATCTGGAAGGTGCTTGTGTGAACTGGCCCTCGCCGCGTGGAGGGGGACGCTGATTGGCTGCAGCAACACAGCTTGCAAAGAAGGAGACGCCAGGCTGTTGCTCAGCTCAAAGCTAGGAACTGGAAAGGAAGGAGGAAGGAGCAGGAAGAAGCTGTTCTACCACCGTACTCTAGGTAGTACTGGATTAAAATTAGATGCTGAGAGGTGCCCGTTGAGAGGTGCCTTGTTTCCCGGAACCCTGTAAGCGCGGGGTAGATTGGTGATTGCCACCATGTTCATTGTTGACTGGTTCTACGGGATTCTAGCGACCCTAGGTCTATGGCAGAAGGAGGCAAAGATTCTTTTCTTGGGGCTGGACAACGCCGGCAAAACGACGTTGTTGCACATGCTCAAGGATGAGGTCCGTATCTGAAGTTGTTCAAACCTTCTTTCAGTGCTATCTGCTTTTTTCTGTTTTTGCATGTCAACAGAGAACTGTTTTGGAAGCTTGTACCCCCAGCTCATTGCTCAACCTCATGCTTGGCCTCTGCTAAAGGAAGATGCATTGTTAGATGATGCATGCATCTCTGAGCTCCCTGATTGTTAGGTCGATCTTCTCAGCGTGAGCTGTTGATGAAACCTTGCCCTTGCTTTATCTTGAGAGTGTCTGATCCAGTTCTCCCTATGCAGCGGTTGGCGCAACATCAACCAACGCAATATCCAACGTCCGAAGAGCTCAGCATCGGGAAGATCAAGTTCAAGGCTTTTGATCTAGGCGGTCACCAGATTGCCCGCAGGGTCTGGAAGGATTACTATGCAAAGGTGCGTTGCACTTGTCAACATGCAGTGTTTTCTGGATCTAAAATGCACGGAAACTGCTGAAAACCTTGACTGACAGCAAGGCACAGGGCTGGTTCAATCTCTGGCAATTATGTTTTGCAAGCCGTTCTTATACAATCAATGTTAAGGGGGTCCGACTATGTTAGGGTTGCGCAGATCCAAGAAGGTAGCCCATGAATCTTGGAAATTGACGAGGAAGGGACACTCTTTATTCCATTCCATGATTGTGATGTGGCTAAATCCGGACAGGCGTTGAGGTTTTCAGCAGCAATGTTGAGCAGGGCGAGAAAGAAGATCAAAAGCGGCGGTTACTTTTAGTTTATTTGCAAGGGCTTGTGCCTCCATGAACCTATGGGTTTTGCCAATTGCTTATGTTTCCGGGACCGACCTGTTTGTTAGGAATCCTGTCTGGCTAGATCGAAAAATTAGGGTTTTGCAAAGTCAGCTTTCATTTGTCTCAGTTAAGCTACTGACGATGGGTTTTTTTAAAGTTACAGTGTATCATCATATCTTTGCTCATCTTTATCTTGGTACCGTTTGTTATTGTTGAAGGGAGCAAAGCTCACTGCCACATCTTCTGCCCAACATCTTCTGTGGCTTGGCGCTTTCATATGTCGGTCTGCATTGGGGGTTGGACGGAGTTTGTTCATCCTTTATTCTGCAAGTTTTACGGAGCATCAGCAGGATCAGAGATTTGTCCAATCAAAGGCAGCATGGAGTGTAGCATAAATTTTAAACAAGCTTTGGCGTTGGGAATCACCTGAAGCGTCGCAAAATGGTGTCACCCTATAAGATTAACACCAGGCTTGATGCGCGAGTCCTACAAGGACACTTTTGCACTTCCGAGGATGGTCACAGTATGGCTTCTTTTGCTACCGGCTGCTGTTCTACTCTCTTTAAAAGCAAGCGGAGTGCTTCGTCTAAGCTCTTCGTCTCTAACAAGGTCGGCCAAGAAACTTGGCTACGTTGCAAGTGGACGAGCTAATATCTTCTCCGGGTGTCTTCCCTTGCTTGTCCGCGACCGAAATCCTTTTCCATGGTGTCCGCAAGTAACTTCGGATGGTCAGGAGGCTCGCTTCCAGACGTTTTTGCCGCTACCTTGGCAGAGCTGAAGCCATTACAAGCTTACATGTCATCTGTCTGCGACCTCGGCAGAGTAACTCGAAGGGCAGGCTGGCGACGGCTCGTTTAGTGCGTCAAGGCAAGCAATGAACAGGAACAGCAGCGCAGCAAGACAGCTAGCCGTCACAAATCTTTGACCTTCTTGCGTACTACTGAACATTACGTTTTCGCTTTCAGGTGGATGCGATTGTGTACCTGGTCGACGCCGTCGACAAGGACCGGTTCCCTGAATCCAAGAAGGAGCTAGACGCCCTCTTGTCAGACGACTCCCTCGGTACAGTTCCGTTCCTGGTCCTCGGCAACAAGATTGACATCCCGATGGCCGCGTCAGAAGACGAGCTCCGGTACTCTCTTGGCCTTACAAATTACACGACCGGCAAGGGAAAGGTCAACCTAGAGACGACAAACATGCGGCCGATCGAGGTCTTCATGTGCAGTGTTGTTCGGAGGATGGGCTACGGGGAGGGCTTCAGATGGGTCTCACAGTATATCAAGTAGGGCTTTACTGAGGGAATGCACTCGACACGCTGACCGGCAGACGTCTTGATCTGGATGTATCTTAGGGTCGCTGCTGTGTAATCAGGGATAGCCATGTCGGAAGGATCATGCTTCTGTCTTTGCAACTGAGCCAATAAAGGGGGAATACGGGCCAGGATGATGTATGTCTTCACTGCGGTAAAGAGGTGGGCAACAAGTAACTGCTAGTTGTAAATGGAGCTGCGTATGATACATTCGCCAAGTCGGATTCTGATCTAGTGTATCTGAGCTCAGCATCTCTATTTTCATGGTGCCTCGAAACTCCTGTGTCTAGCTCGCTCGAATCCTCTCCATCATGCACTGACTAGCTGAGAGGATTGTGGCTCATTTTGCAATCATGGATAATCAGACATATGACAACTTGTTACACACCGCGGTGCTGAAAGTCCCGCTTGAACCATTGGGAATCGTCATGTATAGCAGGTTATAGTCGTTTGTATGCGGTGCTGGCACATATACATACTAGCTAGCAAGGTGCACATGTGCAATTTGAGTCTGCACCCCTCGGGGGTTTCCACGACATCCATCATTGCGCCTGAACACTTCACGCACTCGGACTCATCTTCGAGACCCGATCAGACGCGGGTTTAGTATATGAGTGAATGCATGATTGCTGCTGCCTCAGCAGGCCTCAAGCTCATGGCTAGGCTCACATGTGGATCTGCATGAGCATGTCCAATGCATGATCTCGAATTCCAGCATGAACTTGCATTACGTCGAAATGTTAAGACATGAATTTTTTGTGAGTGACGGCCTTGGATATGTCATGACGGTACGTACTGAGAATCAGGCATGATATGGCGAGCTCCAATCTAACAAAGGCTGCCATAGCCAATCTAGCTTAACCTTGAGCCGCCTCCATGCACCCCGTCCACAGAGCCTGATGTGGCCAGCCGAGAAACACTTGAAGTTCGGGGCTTTTACAATAAGACTTGATAAATTAAAATTTACCAGATTCACAAACGGCGGCTGGATTTGATTTAAAGTGAGCGGCCCGATGACACATCGAATTTCGATCATGTCAGCCTTCTTCATGTCAATGATTCTTCGAATCCATGATTTTCTCTTTCGAACGCCGTAGCCAACTGGGCCATAGGCTTCTTATGGCATACTAGCATCTCAAAAGAGAAAAGAGCGTCTGCATATGATGCAAGCGTTTCGGCCAGGCGCGGACAATCTATCACCATAACGCTTAGGATCAGGACGTTACACCAGCTAGTCAGGAGCTTGATTAGTAGCGACTCGGTCTCAGCAAATTAGGTGTAACAGTATGGTCTTGCACCTGTTCCTCGGTCAATAGTACTCTGTTACTACTCTCAACATAAGTCGATCTACAGCGCAAAGACTCGTGCTGTCCTCTTCTCACTGGCCGCATTCACAAGATCAACATCATTCTCCCTTTCATCTCCTCATCCTAGTCGTCTGTAAAAGGGCCGATTGCGACGTGTACGAGCTAGTGGACATGACGGATCTCGCGCTTTCCGGCTGTGGGCTCTGTGGACTGGTGGGCGTGTGCGGGCTGCGGGGGCTTTGACGCGACGGGCTGCCGTTTCGACTCCTCGCCAGGAGCATCGACTTCTGGGGGGCCACGTGGGCCGGGGTGCTGCGTCCGCTGACGCTCAATGGGCTCGGGCTGAGGCCCATGGACTGGAGGCGGATGTCGCTGATCTTCTGGTGGGTCTCTTTCCTGCGGTCGGCAGAGAAGCACGCATTGGGGAAGAGCGGCAAATGACTTAGTGTCGCTTTTGGAATGTGCTTCAAAACGCTCTCATTTGAGTTGGCTGAGGGCTCGTTATTTTCGAACGCATGGAGGTGGAATAGCAGCAAGAGTGACGTCAGGAATGGATCTCAGGGAGGAATGCATGGAAGCAAGAGCAATTCAATGCTAGACATGATCTGTCATGGCGGTACATTCTGCTCTGTGGAAGCCCTTTGAGGGGGCACTCGTTTAGACGCACGGCAATTGACTATCAAGTCGCCCCTTGGCAAAGTGGACATTTGTAAGCGCAGACGCTTCGCTAGAATGTAAAAACCAAAAGCGAACGAAACCGGACAGCTAGGTTGAACACTTCACCCCGCAACAACAGGAACCAGACGCCTAGCCGCCGATCCGCAGAGCCACACAACGCTGAAAGCGGCCCATTCGTGGAGACAGCAGACGCGAAACGTAGATAACAAACATTCATCCAACTTAGGGAGAAGGCAAGGAAGAATTATGTGCGCGCACCTGTAATTGGACAGTTCCTTTTGGGTCATGGCCATGGAGTTTTGGTACTTGGTCTCTTTCGCGCGAACTAGAATGAGCGCGAAGACGAGCAGTGCGATGACACCCCCGAGAATGGCGGGGTTGCCGACGTACTGGAAAGCCAGATGGAGGGCGGCTGGAAGCAAAAGAGAGGGGGACGGTAAGTGCATTCGGAAAAGAGGGGCTGAGTGCAGTCGAAAAAGAGCGAGCGGTGAACGCAACCGGAAAGGGCGGGCAATGAGTGCGCTTCAAAAAGCATCTGGGAACTCAAAGGACACCATTGATGCTTACGGGTGATATGCCGGGCTTGCTGATCAAAAAGAGTCTCAAATGGAAACAGGAGACGATCTACTACGCCAAAAACAAAACTGAAGAGCAGCAGAGAAGGATGAGACGAGAGAATAAAGAGCAGCAGAAACGGCCAAGTGGGGCGGAAACAGTGCAAGAGCCATTGACGTTACGTGGAAGAAGCAGAGTCTTGAAATAGAAGAGCATGTACAGGAAAGCAGAAGAAGACATTATTACGAAGACAGAAGATAAAAGCCAGGCACTCACGCGGCGCGCGGTCGATGTAGTAGTTGATCCGTTTCTGCATGCTGGAGAAGGCGTGCGGGCCGCACGCCTCGTGCGTCTGCAAAAAGGAGATGGTGGCGGGGACGCTGCACAGAAGGAGCGTCACCAGCAGCAGGCCGTACGTCAGGTTGCTCGTGCGGCTCGCGCTGTACGTCTTCTCGGGGGGGGCGCACGTCGCCAGGGCCACGTTCTGGGAAAAAGTAGGGGGGAAGAGATTAGGGATTAGACGACTTATGTGTGACCAGGGCCAGGTTGTAGAAGAAATAAGGGGAACGAGGTGGGAGTATAATAAGGGGTGCGGCGCAAGTCGCCGGGGCCACGTTCTGGAAGAGGAGAGAGGGGGGGAAAAAGTGAATGCGTTCCTCTTTTAGGTGAAAAAGTGAGAGAGGACGGGTGATGGGAAGATCTGAAGTGTTTTTCTCGGGGGTTGCGCACGTTGCCAGGGCCACATTCCAAAATGGAGGGGGGGAGAAGGGACGACCTCAGCGCGTGCGTTTCGTTTCAGGGACCAGCTTTGAAGGAGAGGAGGGGCGATGAGAGGTTTGAAGTGTTTCTCTGTGGGGGGGCGCACGTCACCAGGGTCACGTTCTGAAATGGGGAGGGGGGGACGAGATTAGTGACTGCATTTCTCTTTTCGGGGACCAGGTTCTGGAAGGAAGGGGGGGGCGATGGGAAATTCCGAAGTGTTTCTCTGTTGCGGGGCGACCATCGCTAGGGCCACGTTCTGGAAGAAGGGGGGGGACGAGATTAGTACACGCGTTCCTCTTTTTGAGGACCAAGATTTAACAGGGAGGAGGGGCGATCAGACGCGGGTCCCTGTGGGGGCCTGCACGTCGCCAGGGTCACTTTTTGAAGTACGGGGGGTAAGACGGGATTGATGCTTGCGTTATTTGAAGGGGGCGCACCTCGCCAGGGCCACGTACTGGAGGGAAGGGAGGGAGGGACAAAACAAACACATCTGTTCCTGTCTTGGGGGAGGTCTGTGCGTGATCAGGGGGTCCTGTTTTGGAAGGGAGGGGGGAAAATGACTTCTCATGTTATTCTTTAAGGGGGCGCACTCGCCAGGCCACGTGTTGGAAGGAAGGGGGTGGGAACAAGACTACTCTTTGGAATTGCTTTTGTGGGGCTCGTGCGTGACCAGGGGGTAATGTTCCAGAAGGGAGTTATCTAAACTGTCTCTGCCTCTTTGGGGCGGCAACGTTGCCAGGGCGACATTTTGCGAGCACCGGGGGCAAAAAGTCACTCCCGTGGAAGAAGGAGGGGGCAATTGGCAAAAGGACAATAGGCACAGAAAGAGACGAGTCCTGAGCGGATATTGGGCGGACACTCATGAAGCTAGGGCCAAGCTCGTATTTGAAAGGGGAGATGGTGGAAGACTCGGATCAGTCTGGACGACCTTCACGGGTTCGTAATGGCGTAAGGGGCACGAATTCGAAATAGGAGGGGCCCAAACAATTTGTGCAGGCAATTTTCGTTTAGGTGGTATTTTTGGCAAAGCCACATACGATCATCTCCGCGTGCAAACCTGCACAATAACACCGGTCTCTAAAGGCGGTCACAGCAAATGCTTCCGGTAAAGACCCTGCAATTCGCCTGGTGCTGCTACAAGCACTTTTCTCTCAGCGGGAAGGATGCGGCGGGCGTACCTTCATCCAGAAGAAGGTAAAGGCGTTGAGGCATGCCCCGAAGAAAGGCGCCAGCGGACAGTAGATGGCGCTGATCCACACCAGCGACTGTGTGCGCAAAGAAGTGCATACACGTTAGAAACACTCACGAACTCAGCAATTTCTTCTAGAGTTTCCCAACAGGGCTCGCGGTGCGAGACGCTGAAAATCAAAGAGACCCGCGGCCCCGCTAATATCTGTCTGAGTGAGTGCAGTACGAGAGGGGTGGCATCCTGTCCGCAACAACTGTGCAGCGAATAGAGACGCAACATTGAGCCTGCCCGGAGTCATGGTCAGGATAAGAACTCCCGCTGAGGCTACGAAGATTCGCCAGATGAGGGTATAGATATCCCGGTGTATGGAGAACCGCGTCTAGGCCATGAGTTAGCAGGAAGCAGGCCTTACAAAGAAGCGCGCACCTGGTTGTCGATCATCTCGATGGCCATTTTGATAGCTAATATCCTCTTTTCCTCCCCGCCTACTGTCGACTTCATTCATAAACCTTTAGAAAGTACGAAAGCACGCACCTGGATGTAAAGGATGTCGATATCCCTGTCCGGCACGAGGACCTGCCGTTTCAAATCTTCGAGCTCAGCACTCAAAAATGCATTCAATCATAAAAAGCAGTCAAAATCCATTTCAGTGAAGAAAAAAACGCATGCAGGATCTTGAAGGAAAAGAGGGACTGCGCACCTGGATTTAGATAAAGTCGATGGCCATGGCCACGCGATCCCGGAGCTTTTCTTCGAGTCAGAATCCGAGCTGAATTTCGAGATCACTTTATCAAGAAAAGAAGCATGAAGAACATCTAGGGAAGACGGACAAAAGCGTATACCTGGATGTAGATAATATCGATGGCCATGTCGGGCACGAGGATCTGGCGCTTCTTCTGCGTGAAGAGCAGCATGACCAGGCTGTAGCCCAGCTCGCTCGCGTTGCTGATCAGGCTGTTGACCACCAGGAACCGCAGCAGCAGCCGCCCGATCACGTTCTCCACGCACGCCGTCACGCACTGGCCAACCTGCGGCGGACACGTGGCAGACAAAGGGGTCGTGACGTGGGAATGTACAGATTTCAGCAGACACACCTTGAAAACTCTTCACCCGCAAATAAACACTTCGTTCCGCATACTCACGTCCAGACTCTTCCAGTTTTTATCTGGCTACCAATAGTGTTCGGGATGCTTTCGCAGTAGTCTGCGCATCCCTGCTGGATTGTGAAACCGGGAAATATTATCTGCTCCGTCAAATCACGTCCAAGTTTTTCCAGTTCTTACCTGGCTGCCGACAGAGTTCGGGTCGCTCTTGCACTAGTCTGCGCATCCTTGCTGAATTCTGTAAGCTCTTAACCGCAGAAAGAACGATCTCTCCCACAATCTTTTCATCCAAGTTTAACCAGTTCCCACCTGGCTTCCGACAGTGTTGGGGTCGCTCTCGCAGTAGTCCGCGCCAGCGGTGCAGCACTCGTAGCCCTCGTCGCACTTGAACTGGTTCGCCGCGTTGCACGTGGGAACCGTGCTTGACGTCACCTGGACCCCGTTCTGCGTGCTGCTGACGAACCCGTAGGTGGTGCCTTGGGAAACCTTGGCCGCGGAGCGGAAAATGTAGTAGAGGCGGTAGAAGAGCGTGCCCGCGTTGATCATGCGGATGACGTAGATCTGCGCCGGCAAGAAGTTTGACGACGTCAGCGTCACCTACTTTGTACTAGGGCAGCGAAACAGCAACTGAATTTGCGATGCGTGAGCTACACTTACTTCTTGGAAACATTTTTAAAGAAGATACACAGGCATTGAAGCGATAGGCCTACATTTCAGGTATCATTGATTCAGGTTGGATAAGGCTCCTGCCTGAGTAGAGGTGGGGTTAAGTAGGGGTTACGGCAAGTAGGGGTGCGGAGCGCGTAGGTTTGTCGGTCCAGGTCCTTACGCTTGTCTTACCGTTGGGACTGTCTTTCTGTTACCTGGGAGTCATGCTGCCTGCACTTCAGGGGTATGTAAAAGCACCCTACCTTTGTGGTTTCCACCCGTTCAGCAGTGGCCGGCCGCCAGAACTCGAGCGCGACGAGGAAGCGCACGAGGGCCGGTCCGAAGGTGTTGATGAGCGCCAAAATGATGGACTGCCCGAAGTCGGATCCCAGGTGCGTATTCAGATAGTCGCCCTTGGTGATGGCTAGGACTACAACGAAAGCAGTGCCCACAACCAGAAGCGGCCTGGAAAGAACACGGCAAAGGTAGTTAGTTTAGTTTGGTTAGTTAGTTTAGTTAGTTTAGTCAGGTTCAAAAAGTTAGTTTAGTTTAGTTAGATCAGCTACTTATTCTCGTGAGTCAGTGTATCTCTGACAGTCGAGGAAAGCGATTCGCCTTTCCTGATGGCAAGGAACACAGAGAACGCCGTTCGGATCACCAGAAGCGGTGAGAGGACAGACAGGAGACGTTTTAAGGCTGGCCACCAGCCACTGAACTTGGCTGCAAAATCGCTCTGCTGTAAGCGGAGTGAGGAGAACGAGTCGCAATTATTGATGGCAAGGACTTCACAAAATACTTTGCCCACATCCAGAAGCGGTCTGGAAAGGATTTGGAACAGTTTCTTGAGTTTAGTCGCACGAGTCGATTGAAATCCAAACGGGTGGAGCCCCCTTCCGTGATGGCCAGAACCACCACGAAAGCGCCCAACCCTTAAAAGGGACCTGAATGGGACAAGCAAAAAGACTTTTAGTTTGTCCAGAGTACTTGAAACTCTCTAAAGCCCGGTGAACGCTGGATATGGTCTTCGTTGAGTTTCAAAAGGGGTCGAGTAAAACGGATTTCAATTTAGATGGCTAAGACTACAACGAAAGCCGCGACGACAACTTGCAGCAGCCTGGAAAGGACAACGAATGTGTTCGGTGAGTTTCTTATTCAGTATCGCAAAAAGTGGCAAATGATTCCAGGAATACGACTCTCTCGCAAGGACCAACCGTGCCCACTACTAGAAGCGGCCTGGAAAGGACTCGGAAATGTTATCTTAAATCTATTTTGTTCGTTGAATCTCAAATTCAACGAAACAAGTTGCTATTCTTGACGGCGAGACCCACAAGGATAATCCTTCCGTTCATTGGAACACTTGGGCGTTTTGATGAAAGTCACTGAGAAACACCCAAACCCACAAACTGGCGTTCTGATCAGGCCTCACAATTCTTCGTCGACAGACCAAGCTCTCCAAACTCTCTCTTTGAAAGTCGCCCTCTAAAAACCTGGCGTCCCTGGAAAGAAGCGAAGGCTAAGTCTAGGTCAGGACCGTTTCATCTCCGGACTTTCTGATCCACCTTCCACTGCACACATAGCCACGTAGCACTCACCAGAGCAGTGCACTCATTCGACTGCCACGTGGCACTCACCAGAGGACCATGAGCACGAACGCTCTCTGCATCGCGAGCAGCACCCGCGTGGACCCCGTGCTGATCACCTCCTCGTTCTGCGCGGCGCGCGCGTCGTTGAGCATCTCGCGCAGCTGCCGCCAAATAAAAGATGGTACATTTTGGGTTTTCAGGTGTTCCATGCTTTATTTCTTAGTTGTGAAATTCAGCTTTCATAAGGTAGGTTGCTTTAGGTTTTCGAAGTTGAGTTTCCGTTCCGAGAGTCTACGTGAACGAGAGGCAATGCGTTCAAATTGCTTGGTTGCGGTAGTGATCAAGAACAGGGCGGGGGTGGAAAGACGAGGCTCGAACGGACTCCGTACATTTTTCCGCTCCGGCTTGCCCTCTTTTGTGATGGAAACATTAGCGAGGAGCACTGAAGAATAGCTTCCGCGGGGAGCTTAGTACACCCAAACAGCGCACCAGAATTATCAACGATCTGCAAGACTGAGACTTTTGTGCTTTTCATACAGCTGCCTCGAACATTTTCCGCTGATTCTTATATTGATCTCCCTCGTGTCGCTTCACAGCCTTTTTGTAATCCAAGACCCGTGCTAATTCTTTTCATCCGTCTCAAAAGCAATGATGTCTTGAGCCATTTGTCACCTGCATGCGGATGCCCCGTCGCAGTTTCAGCGCCGTTTCGACGTTGGTGATGTGGAAGTCCCAGGAGCCGAAGACGAGCGTGGAAAAGGGAAAGTACTTGTTGCCCTGCACGATCGACGAGTCGCCCTCGCCCGCCAGCCGCTGCGCGATCCTGCGGTGCGCGAGCGGGAACGTGGGTTACTTAACTCTCCCGTAACCTCTACCCAGGCTAGAGCTCAGCATGCTGAGCTAACCACTTCTGTGCCCAAAGTCTGCGCTTTTTCTGAGCTTTGAAACCTCGGATAGTCAAATGAAATGTCACCGCATTGGATGGACGATGTAAATCAGATTGTATTCTGCGCATTTCATAGAAAAACAAGATGTCTGGATTCATTCAAAGCAAGATGTCGACGGTCGCTACACTCATGACTTGTTGCACCTTGTCTGTCAGTCGTCTCAAAGAATCATCAGCGTCGATCATTCAGCGGGTCCCAATGACAGACGACGCAAAGCCGAGAAAGAAGAGAGACGATGTGGACAGAGGATAGTGAAATATCAGCTCTTCACAAAGTTCATAGCCACATTGGCCTTGGCGCTGAGGAACGCTCATCGCCACCCTATTTACATTTCGAGACCGATGCAAACCGATCAAAAGAAGGCTTTCGGGCAGCGAGTTTGCTTTCTGCAATTTCGGGGGTTGTGGGGCTGCAGCTCACTTGCGCATGATGGCGAGCAGGCCGATGAGGAACATGGTGAGAATGGCCAGAGGGTACATGTAGTCCGTCTGGTACCAGCTCTTCTGATCGCCCGGGCTCCCGCTGCCCGTCCAGTACTTGTAGTCGTACCCGCCGTAGAAGATGAACGTCTTGTCCAAGCCATTGCCCTGGATTACAAAAGGAATTGCAGGTCTGTAAGGATTTGCGTGGTATTTCTTGGTCCATGGAGTAGGAGCCCCTCGTAGCCGCCGTAGAAGATTAGTGTCTTGTCCAGGCCGTTGCCCTGGATTACGGGGTGGAGTTGTATATCTGTGGGTTTCTGCGTTGACCGAAACGGTAGACGCTCCATCTTCGGTTCGTGGAAAGTTGCACAGCTTCTTCCAGCTATTTGAGCAAGGAAAGCGCGTTCAGAAGAGGTGCAGAGACGGGAGACTGGCAATGAGTTCGCTACATTTCCAAATAGAAGAGAAGCGGCTTTCCGAACTCTGTCAGAGCAAGTTTCAAGATCGAGTCGAAAACTAGTTTCGTCTCGACGAATTCAAACCGCGGTCAAAACATGTTCTGTGATCGTAAAGCAATGCTCATCATGCCCCGTTTCCAGCGTGGTTGCTGGAGACGGTTCACCGGGCCTGCAATTGACATCGCAAATGCCACTGAATGACCACTCCTCGCAGAAAAGCAGGCCTTGAGTGGCTCACCTGCAGCAGCTTTTGGACGCTGGTCGACGTGAAGAGGCTCCAGGAGAAGGTGGGGGGCGGCGACACCAGGAACGGCAGGATGACCAGCAGGAACCAGCACAGTGACGTCAGCACGTTCATGTAGAAGACGAAGCGCAGAAAGGCGAACGTCCTGCACAGGCGGCTAGATGACGTCAGTCATAAGACCATGGGAAGCAGGAGACCGACGCTTTGATCGAGGCTACTCCATGTCAGTCTGGTGTTGTCACGAGGAAAAGCGGAAGTGCGCGGTGGTGCTGAAGGAATATTACGCGCTCAGTGTTCGCAGAGACTGACGTGTCAGCTAAAATGCGAACCACAATTCTGACTCTGCAATTCGAGAAGGTGGTGCGAGGCATTTCAGGCTTCTGATCAGCGAAAAGGACTCACAAGACAACACGAATTCACGAATACAAGCGGAACGGGGTTAGCTTGGAGCATGAAGTGAACGACAACATCCAGCGAAGAGATGAAAGAATGGAAGGAGAAGCCCCTTGCAAAGTGGTTGGAGTCTACCAACGCAGAAAGAAAGCATAACAGACGCAGTCTCTCACAGGCTGACAGCACTGAAAGCGCCTCGCAAACTGTTCATTATTCCCAAAACTACCAGAAAGCACGATAAACGGAACCGGAACTCCTCACAGGCTGATGGAGCTGCCGAAGCGGCCCTCGAGCAGCTTTAGCTGATCGTCCCAAAGGTCCGTCCCCTCGAACCGCTGCTTGCCCCGCTTCTTGAGCGCCGCGCGCTCGCGCCGCGCGGCCCACCAGCCGCGCCGCTTCTGCTCGCTGCGCGCCGCCTCCGCCTCCTCCTCGTGGATCGCGATACGCGATAGCACCTTGCTCAGCGTGTCCTCCACCTGCGTATGACAACACCGGGACAACTATGAATTCCAACGGCCGCGTATATGCTCCACTTCTGGTTACCGGTATTAAGCTGTCGAGCGACGAGCGACAGCACCTTGCCCAGCGTGTCCTCCATCTGCGTATGCAAAAGGCCGGGCGCTTATAGATATCAATGGTCGGGTTATATGCTCGATTTGTGGTTGGATGGATGCTGAGTTGTAAGCATTGTCGAGCGGGCGCCCAACATTACCTTGCCCCGCGTGTCTCCTCCACCTGCGACGGCGAGGACAGGGCGCTTATGGAGACTATCAGACGGCGTATGCGCTCCACTTGTGGCCTATTCCGTGCTGGCTTATCAACGTTGTTGGAGCGACGAACATCAGCACCTGCACGTTGAGTTGTTCCCTCCGCGTGACGAGGGCAAGAACAGGGCGCGTATGGTCGGCGTCAGAGCGAGTCTCGTCAAATTCGATTTGCCAGCTGGAAACAGAGTCACGTCGCTGAAAATCAACGACCTACTCACCACTTTCCTCTTCTTCTCCGCACGTGTCATCCTTTTGTTCGGCCCGTTTGCCCCGTACGACGGCGACATGGTCCGCTTGGTCACGATCGCCGGGAGCGCCAGCTGCGTCTCTTCCGTCTCCTCTTCGCTCTCTTCCTCTTCCGCTTCGTCGTGACCGGAATCCAGGTTTCCGTACGCTCTGTCGATGAAGGATTTGGTCTTGCGGCTGCGGTTGATGGCTTCCAGGATCTGGTCTTCGTTGGGTGTCCGGTGAAGCGTTGACGCAGGCCGCCCAAGCTCCCTGCGGAAGCATAAGGTCCAATCGATTGCCAAACTGGTCTCGTAGAGTCTGAGCGTATGGTGTTTTCAGACTCAACAATGACACTCAATTGTCAAGTATAATTTGGCTTGGGGGCCGTCGTTCCAATAGCTTTATGAAGCTCTCAGGCAACCGTCCAACACCTGTTTGAGAGATAGTGGCTGGAAGTTCAGCAGCTTTCTTAAAACACCTAAGTATCTTTGCAGATGCGGCTCAAGCCTTAAACGACGGGCCGTTAGCATTTCTCCGAGCCGTTTCGCTCGAAGGTCCTTAAAATCATCAAATAGTGTCTCTCGATATGAGTATATCAACGATCATCTGCAGTGGATTAATGGCATGACCACTGTCGTGATGGACAGCATTTTCAAGTGCTAGGATTGCTTTCTAACGGGAGTGACCCCCCTAGATCTTGCTGCTCTCAAGTACGTCTCAGCCACAAACGACACCTGCATATAGAGATGGGTTTTACGAGAGGATTAAACCTCACCCTTGTCCAGCTTTGAGAGCCGCCATTATGGTGGCAACGCCTTGCCCCCGCCCCTCTGCCCTGCTCTCGTCAATCTCTTGTGGCGAGTCGCTGAATCTGTCCTGCCCCAAAAATGGCTGCCTCCGTGGACTGACGCTCTCCTCAATGCCCCCCAGTCCTCCATCCGGCGCCCCGTTGTTCCCTTCTACCTCGTAGGGACTGCCTTCCCCTGGCTGGCCGTAAGCCTCGTCCTCGCTCACAACAGTAAAAACCTCCCTCACTGGCACCGTAAATGACGTTCCTGCTCTGCTGACCATACTCCTAGAGGCTCTGATGGTGTCAAGTGTGGCTGCTCTCGCACGGGGGGGTTCTGAGCCACTCAAGTCAGGGGGGGCGCCATCAGTGGTTGCGCTTCTTTCACGGTACTGGGGGCCTTTTGGTTGGGGCTCCTCTTGGGGGGCAGTTTCTGGAGGGAAGGTGCTTTGAGAACCGCCTTGGATGATGTCAGCGTAGTTGTGGTTGTCACCGAAGCGGGAGAGGTTGGTCCGAAGGAGAGGTGGCAGCTCTGAGGGCTTTTCGGGAGGCAACACAGCTGCAGGGACCATGCGTCGTTCAGCCGTGGGGACTCGTTCATCTTTTCGCTATGACACAGGTCACATTCTGCTTCGAAAGAATCCTTCGAAAACGTGTCAATAGGTCCCATGATGGGTTGCACACGTGGGGGCAGACTTGTTCGCACCCACTGCAACTCTGTTTGTCGCAATTTTTTTGGAGAATGCACAGTAAAGAACCGGCAAAGGAAAGAGCCAACTTTTGCAATGTCTAATCACAATAATCTGCAGATTCATTCAGCGGCTGTGAAAATCAGAATAAGAGCCGAGTATGCGTACCTTGTTGTGAGGCTAGCTTCCTGCTCTCCTGTCTCGCCAAGAAAGGAGGCGGCGGGGGAGCGGTGACTGGCTCCAGAATGGGCGAAGGCAGCGGAGGATTTGCTGGGTTCAGCAATGATCGAAAGTCCTGGTGTCCGGGTGCAGCAGCAAAGTGCTGCTGATCTGCAGTCTGCATCTGTGGCATCACTAACTGCATCACAGGCTGAGGCACGTTGATGGCGGAGGGCGAGACGAGGTAGCCCTGCGGCGGCCAGGCGGTGTACATCTGCGGGTGCAGCATCTGGAAGCCCTGCGGCGGAGTGTGGTAGCCTTGCGGGGGGGTTGCATACCCGTGCGGCGGGGTTTGGAACCCCTGGGAGAGAGACGGCTGCTGAGCGTTCCGGAGCGGCTGCATGCTGCTCAGCATGGATTGCAAGGTATATGCATTGAGGAACGCTTGGTCGAGCTGCGGCGCTGGGGCGGGAATTGGAGGCGCCTCGGGCTGCGTAGCTGGAGGAGGCGCTTGCCAAAGCGGAGGCGCTTGGGAGATTGGAGGCGGCAGCAGGGGACTCGAGGGCTGCTGCACGACAGGGTTGGCATCTGCCACTGCAGAGCTCTTCGGGTTTGGATTGGGGTTTGGGACTGGGGCAGGCTTTGCAAGCTGAGGCGGATCTGCCAGAGAGGTAGCATCACCATTCTCCTCGACAGCACCTCCTTGTCCCTTGGACGATTGACGCTTGGCAGCTTGAGCAGCTACCGGAGCAGCCTTTGGGATCTCCTCGTTTGATGTGCGCCGTGATGTACCCTCTGATGATCGGTTCGATCCTTTGGCAGCCACTACGGTGCCCTGGGCGTAGCGCTGCGGTGGCTGGACAACGGGCCACTTCCTCCCTGAGGAGCGCCTCCTGGCAGCTGGAGCAGATGGCGGCACTTCTGCTGACGTTGAAGGCCCTTCCGCTTCTAGAGGAGCCTCAGAGCTCGAAGGGTTTCCATCCGTACTCGTTCTGGAAGCAACATCCTGAGCCACCGTATCAACAAGCGAGGCTAGGATGTCCTCCTGCTCCCGCTGATGGTGTTCTTTCGCTGAACCTGAGGAGTCCCTGCTACTCCTCTCCGTTGCACCACCATTTGCCGCTGGATCGCTCTCCATACCTAGAGCTCTGGGAGCATGAGATCAGCGAGCTGATGCGGAGACCTCCAGGGTTTTTGAAGAATCTTCTGTCCTGCAGACGCAGAAATTGAGCTTCTGCAAAGAAGGCCGGAACGTTTAACCGGCTGCTTAGAATAAGGAATCGCTGCCAGAGCCTTTTGAGTGCGCAGAATGCATGATGCAGAAGCAGACCAGTCACAAGTTTTGCGCAGAGACTTCCGTGTTGCTTGTTGAACAAATGCAGGTCCCTAGCAGCTGGACTTGAAGCCGCTGATGGAGTCAAAATCACAGGCAATATTGAATATGGACCCGCCATTGCACTACATTAGGTACAGGGCCACGTGTTATATTCTATAAAGGGGTAGTACATTATTGCATACCCAATGAGAAATGTGCGTACATTCACGGGAACGGGCTTCGCTCGTTCAGGCTTCGCGTGGGCCGTCCGATCTGGGTTGAGCCTTCTCACTGCTCCCAGATGCCGTTCATACAAGGTGATCACAACGACCACTTGAAAACACGTTCGTCGGCGCTTCTGACAAGGCGGGCCGCCCCCGCGGCCGCCCCGGGCCGCAAAACGGCCAAAGCTGCCGATATCATCTTTTGTCAACTTTCGAAATCGGACTGCGGACTGCGGACAGTCATATGCAAATCACCGTCCGATCGTGTACCGTCCGCAGGATCTACGCTTTAAGTTGCTGCCAAATGTCATGGGCCGAGTCCGGTACAGTACTCATTACCGTACGGTCCGAGCGGTACCGTCGACCGCGTACCGTAGGTATGCACCGTCAACAAGCAACCGGGCACTCCTAGTGACCTTAGGGTCTCGCGCTACAAAGCAGTGATAGTGTGTTAGGGTTACGCCACTTCCTGTGTCGGTTTGTTAGGGTTATTCCCTTTTCTGTGACTGCTCTCAGATTAGGGTTCCTACTAACGGCTAAGTCACTGTTCTTAGGATTTTAATGTGGTTTGCAGGCTAACCCGAGCATTATTTAGTCCGGCAAATGCGCCCCCGGTACCAACCGCGTCCCAAAATATGGCACTGCGGACAACGACTGCCTGTGCCCGTCCGTGTCCGATTTCGAAAGTTGACAAAAGATTCGGCAAGCATATTAGCTATGTGCCCCTTGCCCGGCCTGGCCGGCCCCCGCCCGCGCGCTTCCGCGAGCGGCAGGGCGGCCCCGCCTACCGGGCCGTTCGACCAGATGACGGACTAATTAATAGGTGATTCAAATAAGAGCCAGGTATAATAAGCTCCAACTAACATTAAAAACCCTAACCGAATAATCTACCTGCTCCGCACCCGTACCCACCCGTACCCCCAGACTAACCGTACCTGGTCCCAGGCTGCCGCTTATTATTCCTAAATTAGTCCTAAATTTGTCTCATGAGCCACCCATGGCTCCTACGGGACTATAAAATAAATTGATTGATTGATTGATTGATCGAGTCCGAACTGACGACCAGTCGGGCCGGGCCCGGCCCAGGCTGGTACTTACTACTGGGTACATACCGCACTACACTGTACAGGCAGAAGCCTTGGTACGGCTCGGACAGTAGGTACCGGTACCGGTATTCAATCATCGTGTCGACCGTGGCGAGCTACCTTAGGTATTAAAAGGACGTTTTTCGGTGTACTGGATACTGGTACTACCGTACCTTTCCGGTGGACGGTGTAGTCCTGGGGTACAGCTAAGTACCTTCAAGACGCAGCAGCCAGCGCTGCTGTACCGTATTCGGCCATCATGCATGATCAGCTGCCCTATCCGGTAGAAGGTCTTCCGAGTTCCAACAACGACAGGGCTCATTCTGATCATGAAATGCTTAATGGGCTTCCTGGATCCGACGTTAACAAAACTCACGGCATCCTCATGCAATTTAAACTTCTGGTTAAGAAATCAAACGTGCGTGACCACGGCACTGGAAGAAATGTGGATCAAGGGCGGAGTCAGGATGCGCTCCATGGGCAAGGCAGCGCGCGCAATTCTGCTGTTTCTGCTAGTCCAGTGCGGTGTCCTATGGCTTTTGTTGATCGTGGGCTTCCCCGTTGAAGTGCACTTTTTCCTTGGGAGGTTGAGCCATTCCAAGATTCAGAGACATGGCGCTCAGCTCTCGGCGATCCAGCTGCCCCAGAGCCGATTGGCGTTGGCGAGAGACGGCATTGTCAACCGGCAAGGGCTTCACTTCCTGCAAATCCAAAGCGGGTGGCTGTTGGTAGAGGAGACCAGCGTCAGTCTGGTCTACACAGCAAACACCTCGTTCCAGCTCACAGGACCCTTCAAAGATGCGCCGTCCCTGCGGGAAATTGACCCCTCAAAGGACGCGGACGCGCGGTCCGCGGCCTTCGCCAGCTGGCAGGCCCGGAGCGCCGCTCAGCGGACGGAGCGCCTCCTGTTCATCGTTGATGGGGACACGGAAAGCAACCTGTTCCACCAGGTTGCAAAGAACCTGCTAACGCCGCTAGCGGCGGCAATGCAGGCTTGGGGTGGCGACGCCCTGAAGGTGGAGGACCTTGTCCTAGCTCTGCCAGATCAAAAAGTGGGGGCAGCCATGGCGCACTTCTCCTTACACGCGCCGTTCTTTGGGAAGACTGTCTGGCCGGGCAAATTTGCATTGGGCATGGGCCTAGGTTACCACTATTTTGAAGACGTTGTAGTCACGCCGAGGGGAGTTGATTTCTGGAACAGACTCGATACACGTAGCCGGGACGCGCAGGCTCTGAGGAGAGTCGCTGACTTCATACGGGGGCAATTCCTGCAACATTTTGGAATTGTGGAGGAGCCGGGGGGGGACGCGATGCACCCGGTCGCAATCAAGTACATCAGCAGAGGCAACTATCCGCCCCATTTGCAAGCCATCCGAGTGGCCGACACTCATCCTGTGCTGATCAACGTCACCAGCGCTCCCGAGACAGAGCCGGAGATGGGGTACAACCCGAGTGCGGCGGGGCGGCAGGTATATAATGAAGAGGACGTTTTAAAGAGTTTAGGTAGCTTAGAGGTTGAGGGAGTGGTGACATTTGAAGCAAAACGGCTGGAGAACCTCAGCCTCAGGGAGCAACTCGAGTTCGTCCATTCTGCGGACGTTCTCATCTGCCCGCATGGAGCCGGCTGCGTTTGGTTTCTGTTTGCGAGGCCCGGAACCATGGCCATTGAGTTGTTTCCTTGCAATTGGGCTGATCCGGTGTACCGCAATATGGCCCACTTAGCGTCCTTAAATTATGTACACCAAATTGCAGATGAGGATAGGTGTTACGACAGACATTGGGTGAAACGTGACCAGTTCATGGTGATTAGTGGAAGGAGTAGCCCTTACGATGTCGACGTTCCAAATCTTTTGGAGGCAACTAGAGTAGGAATAAGGATGGCCAAAGTGGCTGGGGCTAGGCTGTGGTTTGAGTGCCTAGACTATATGCTGATGCGCAATGAAAGTGGTTCAAGGTGGGAGAGGTTGCCCCCGTATGCTTGTAAGACGGCTTTTTTCAGGGACACCGCTATGTTGGTGAACGTCAGCGATCACAGTATCCCTTACAAGCCATACGACAGAATATCAAGACTTTAAGAACAAAATCAGTGTTAGAAAGGTCTAGTCGCGCAGCTGCGCAGAGGCTTGAGTTGTACGGGTTTTACGTTGTCGCGCTGCCAGAGCCCACGCACGCAGGGTCTCGAAGGCTCAAGCCTACGTAGTCTGCCTCAGGCTCGCGGTAGCGAGCCTATTGTAGGTACCCTATAAAGGAAAGATTGAGACTTGTTTGTTGAATGTCGTCATTGGTTTGATCATTATATTGATTATAATCAATTCGTGGTCGAACATGAAGTCGGTCGACCCCATCTGCATTGGTTTGATCAATTGATCAATCAATTCGTGGGAACATGAAGTCGGATTGGTTTGTGCGATGCTCAATTAACCGGGACCTATAATTCTTTTGCGCTGTGGCAAATGCATCATTCAGAGGATCCGTTCTACCAACTGTGTAGGTCGTGTAGATATCAAAGCGTCTATAAGCAACAACGACCGGAATGTGACTTGACGATCCAACGCGGACACGAGTATGATCAACATGAGCGAATTCAAGAAGCTTGAGCACTTGATCGATTGACGGCATAACGAACAAGTATGAGACTCCTCTGTCCAGGAACTACAGCTATCTTATTGTGCCCCCACTTTCTCCCGTTTCAAAGAGAGCCGCACAAAGGGGGTTGCGCGACTGGCTGCTTTCGACTGTTTCCGGAGTACCTCTGGTTTCTCGGCCACGGCTTCTATTGGTAACCCTGTCGTCTCCTCCTCTCCCCTTCTCTGCTCTACTATGTGCGCGCTGTCCCTATCTTTGGTCTCAAACTCTCTATCCATGCTGTCAGTAACTGAACTGACCGCTGTGCTAGTAAGCATTCCGACTATCTCGTCCAGAGAATGTGACGCCGTCTCCCTTTCCCGGGCGTCTTCAACTGTTTCCGGAATCGTGAGAAGCGGAACGCTGTCTCGGTCCGCCCTCGGCCTCGGACTTCCGTCCGCAATACTCGTCCCCCCAACTGCGTCCGTAAGCCGCTCGTTCCCTTCCGGTTCCGCTGTTCCGTCGATCCTGCGAATCCCTTCAAAGCCCCGCCTGCCGGCGCCATAATCTGCGCCATCCTGTCCCACCAACCGTGCGCCGATTCCCGCTCCTGAAGCCGTTCCGTTCCGTTCCGTTCCGCCCTCGCTCTCCAAGCTTCTCCCGCCGGATTCAGGATCAGGCACTTCTCTCCGGAACTCCTCCGAGGCTCTCCGCAACTCACCAGAAGCTCTCGCCATTTCATGAGACCCCTCCGTTTCCAGAATCCACTCTCGGAACTCGCTGGCAGGCACGGCCAAAATTGCTGTGTCGCCCTCAACCCCTCTGAACGGCAGCCCCAGTTCGGCGACCAACTCCTTGACCGCCAAAAAGGACGCCAAGTGAGGCGGCTCCGCCCCTTCCTGGTACGTCGCTCCTTCTTCAACCGTCCTGCCAAAATATAGCTCGACCTGCGGGAAAGAATGAAAGTGATGCATGCGATTTAGAGAGTCTTTGACGGATCGGAGGTATATGGCGTGTCGTTGCTGGAAACGATTTGGCACGTCGCGGATTCCTACCACAGGAAACACTAGGAAGAAGAGTGGAAAGCTTTCAGACCTGGCCGGCTCGGAAGCTGCTCCCTTCACAAACTGGCCCGATCTAATTCGCTGCAAAGTATTCGTGAAAGCATACGGCTGCGAAGCGGCTAAGCGAGTAGGATCAACCAATAAAACGAGCGTCAAGATTTCAACAGAAGGGAGCCCTTACACCGGAGTGGCTCAAAGCTTAGAGCAAGAAGAACTGGGATATGCGGTCGACTCTCATCAGCAACGGGGAATGCATACACCAGTGGTCTCGTGAGCATTCTTGGTTGTCCGCTTCGGAACTTTGAAACCCCAAGTATAGATTGGAGGACCAATTTGTCGGGCCTTAATCGTCACAACCGGGGCCCGTGAGCTTGACAAGCGTCGGCCAACGTTCTGCGATCTACCGGCCAGAAAACAAAAGAAAGACCCGCGTAAACAAAGGGTTCTCCGACTCGCACCTTCTCAGGTAGCTCCGCCAAACCCGCTTCCACATTCGCCACTCCCTCCCTCGCATCGCCCAGCAGCCACCCCCTGAGGATTGCGCACGCAGCCCCCGGCGAAGTGTGCCGCAGATCGACCCACCACTCGGGGGGATCCCCCCGGGACAGCTCTCCCCCCTCGACGTGCCCGGTAGACGATCCCACGGGCGCAGCAACCCCCGGTTTTAGGGGAAGCGTCCGTTTCCCGGGCAGGTAAACCCCCTTCCGAAGCGCAACTGCAACGACGTTCGCGGCGTGGCGGCACTTGCTCTCGGCCCATAGGATATCGAGCAGCGCGTTGAAGAAGCCGCGCTTATATAGAAGCGACTCGCGGGCGCCTCCAGGGACTCGCTCGAGCGCTTGTTGGAGGGAGAGGTCCCAGGAACCTTCCTGTTTCCGGTCTGACAAAATGTTACGGATAACCTTGTGAACGGGTAATCTAAACCCTTCCAGAACCTCCCACACCCGGTGCGCGTCCGGGTGGTGTAACCGCCCCTTGAGCCCCAGCAGAACGGCGGAATAGCAGCTCAGCGTTTTCCGCACCCGCGCGTCGTTCATCTCCGCATAATACGCCGAGATTTCCGCTAGCCTTCCCCCCCGGCCCAGCGCCTCGAACAGCAGAGCAAACGCTTTCTGCGTCAGCCGTCCGTGCTCGCGCTTGCACTTCTCGTGGAAGAGCTGCACGACACGTGGCACCTCCTCCCACGCCCCCTGCGCGGCGTAGCCCTCCAAGAGCGCGAGCACCGTGCCATAGCTTATGGCACCGCACCGCTCTTGGAGCTGTGTGAATAAGCTCGCCACCTCTGCTGGCCGCTTCTCTTGGCCCGCAATAGTGATCAGCGCGTTGTACACCGCGAGATTATTCACACCGTCCGGGTGGAACCGTTCCAGGAGCTTACAAGCGTAGCCCGACATGCCATGGCTGGCGTATACGAGCATGCACTCGGCATAGGCGGCTGGCCGCTTATAGGGGGGCTGGTCGGCGGAGACGATACGCTCTGCCTTGTCGTATTGGCGTTCGGAGGCCAGCTTTTCAATGAGAGCGAAGGAGAGGCGGTGGGAGGGCGGGCTGCCGAGTCGAAGGGCCTCCTGCCGACGGGAAGAGAAAGAAGCAAACAAAAGATGGAAAAAAAGCAACCGAAGGTCAAGCAGAAGAGAAGAGACGTAGAAAGCCGACTCGAGGTAGTCGTGCACAGCAGATGCTTAATTAACAACATTCAACCGCCCAATCAAGGCACATTCAGTTGAGACGGCACTTAGGGATCGAGCACGCTTTAGTTCCGTCATAGCAAGAATCAAGCCAAGCGCCAGAAGTCAGAACGATGTAAGACCAAGCCGACAAGGGCACAAATGAATCATTCAGATGAAGCATAAACAGAAAGCTGAAACGACGAGTCGACATGATAAGCCGAGCTTGCAAGAAAGACATCCGAGCAAAGAGGTTACTTTCGGAGCGCTTTGGTTGAAGTTTGTCTGCTCATGGGCTGTGACTTTGAAAGCTGGCTGCTGACCCGAGTCGTCAAGGCAAACGAGGGGTCGCTCCGATGCGGAAAGGTATTCAATGAGTCTTCGATCGAAGAGACTTTTACAGATAAGGCAAAAGCCAGAATTTACCTGCTGAAACAGGTCCAAAGACAGTTGCTGGAAACTTCCTAGCAGGTTTACTTAAAGTAAGTGTCAATGAAGAGAAGGGTGGCAATACAGCCGGCCCGTGAAATTAAGGGTGCCGTATGATGCCTCCCACATATCAGCGACGTTCCTTCGTCTTCTTCGGTTTGGATGGTCTGAATAACAGCAAGCGACAATGAGTGGACCAAAGAAAAAAAACCACTTCTTCGTCGATGTTTGTCCAGAAAAGTACAAGCGGGGCACGCACCTTATAGATCCCTAAAACGCAGTCCCCGACAGGCCCCTTCCGGTATGCGTCCACGATGCCGTAGTAAGTGCTGTCGTCAGGCATGTGGCCACGTGTCGTCATCTCGAGCAGCACGTCTTGCGCCAGGTCGAAGTGGCCCGTCTTGCAGTACGCCGAGATGAGGCAGTTGTACGTCGCCTGGGGAAGAAGTACCGAGGAGTTAGCCGGAGTGGGTTTGATGATGACCTTTTTCTGTCATGGATTTGACAGCCAAGCGGTGAGCAAAGAGGATTCTCGGCAAGATATGAAGAGATTTAAAAGCCGTCAGAAAAAAGCAGATTCCTTATTTCTTTCTTCTGCAGCGTCCTAGCGTCGAGGAGCCTCTGACCTCGAGTAAAGACCTCGCATTGATAAGCCTGCGGTCAACCGTTACTCTCAACCTTCAGACCCTGAACTTCCAGTCTGCCAAACTCCGAAGTTTGACGCCCAGATTTCAAGGCCTCCTTCAAAGGTCTCAACCGGAAAATTTCAACCGCAAAATCAGAGCCCAACTTCAAGATCGTAAAAGAACAGCCCAGACTCCAGTCGTCGAATCCCGGATGCTAGACCCTGAATTCCAAGCCCCTTCTCAAACCCTAGACCTTCAATCCTAAAACAAAGACCCTAGACCCTGAAGCCTAGACTCCGAGACCTTAACCGAACTCCTAAACCCTCACCCGGTTAGGCGGCACCCCCCGGCTCTGCATCTCCTCCACCAGCCGCAGCAGCTCCTCGAGACTCCCGGCCTTTCCGTACGCGTCAATCAGCATGGTATACGTCATCACGGTCGGCGCATAGCCGTCCTTCTGCATGTCGGCGTGCACCGACTCGGCCCACCGGCAGTGGCCGCCGCGCGTGTAGGCCATCATCAGCTTCTGGAACGTCTCCGGCTGCGGGCGGACTCCGACCTGCGGGGTTAAGGTTTCGGGTTAACACAATTGGTTGAGATGATTATGGATCAGATACTAAGCGCGTGTACCCATCATCAGCTTCTGGAACGTCTCCGGCTGCGGGCGAACTCCGACCTGCGGGGTTAAGGTTTCAGGGTTAACAAACTGCTGAGATGATTATGGATCAAATACTAAGCGCGTGTACGCCATCATTAGCTTCTGGAACGTCTCCGACTGCGGGCGAACTCCGACCTGCGGGGTTAAGGTTTCAGGATTAACAAAATAGGCTGAGATGATTATGGATCAGATACTACGCGCGTGTACGCCATCATTAGCTTCTGGAAAGTATCTGGCTGCGGGCGGACTCCGACCTGCGGGGTTAGTGTTTATGGTTCAACATCTGGACCATTTGGGGCGCAGATTTTGAGCGCGTGTACGCCGTCATCAGCTTCTGGAACGTCTCTGGTTGCGGGCGAACTCCGACCCGCGGGGTTAAGGTTTCAGGGTTAAGAAAATGGGTTGAAATTATATGGATCAGATACTAAGCGCCTGTACGCCATCATCAGCTTCTGGAAAGTTTCCGGTTGCGGGCGGACGCCGACCTGCGGGGTTAACGTTTCAGGGTTAACAAAACGGGTTGATATTATTATGGATCAGATACTTAGCGCTTGTACGCCATCATCAACTTCTGGAACGTCTCGGGCTGGGGGCGGACTCCGATCTGCGGGGTTAGAGTTTATGGTTCGACATCTGGACATTTTGGGGCGCAGATTTTAAGCGCGTGTAGGCCATCATCAATTTCTGGAACGTCTTAGGCTGGGGACGAACTCCGACTTGCAGGATTAGCCTTTATGATTATATATCTGGAACTTGTTAGGAATCATGATTTTGAGCACTTGACGCCACCATCAGCTTCTGGAACGTCTCCGGTTGCGGGTGGACTCCGACCTGCGTCGATAGACTATTTGATTCAGGAGAGAAGGACTGAGAGAATACGAGAGAGGATAAGATGCAAGTTCTAGCGTTTCAGCGCGCGCAGAGCCAATTGAAGCTTTCGAAAAGCACTGGGCTGTGGACGGGTTTGGACTTCAGTTCGAAAAGGAAAACCAGGAGTCTACAACGTCTGAGATCTGAGGCTCATGTAGACCCTGATTTTACACGCAAGACAAGCACTAGAAATGACCCTGTGCGTAATATAACAGCGGATTCTGGACAACGTCGACCTGACACTCTCGTTTCAGTATTAGGACGGCGTTCACGGCCAGACGTAGCCCTGCTATCTTGCAGTCAGCCTATCATAGTCGAACAATGCTGTATCGTTCTCCAAGTGGCCTGCCAGCTTTCTCCTTGCCATTTTTCGTCCACGGTCAGCCCATGGAAACACGGCGGTACTCCGATCAGCCAGTTCTCAAACGGGAAGCGATGGAGGAGAAAACAGAAAGTCTTTACTCCACCCACGAGCAATGGAAGATACTTGTCACTGACTAAGACCAGTTTTAAGTCTACAAAATGTCCGACCGGTCAATCAAGACGTCAGCAACAGGTGTTACACTCTCTCGTACCTGCTTCATGTCCGCAAGTACGCTCTCGGCCTCTTCATAGCGGCCCTGCCTGCCATAGCCGTCCAGGAGCGTATTATAAGTGGACAGCTCCGGCTGCAGGTTGCGCGCGCGCATGTCCTGCAGCACACCCTCCGCCTCCTCTAACCGGCCCACGTTGACGTACGCCAAAATGAGGTTACCGTAGTCGGCGTTCGTGAACGGAATGTTCTGCGCCCGCATCACCTGGATGAGAGGACGAAGAGGTTGGGACAAGTTGCTTTTTGACAGTTGTCTGAACGTGCCCTACTGTCGCTTGCTGCCTATAAAGACACCCACCCTGTAAGGGCGGCCGTCGTCGGCGCATGGGAACAGGATTGACGGCTTTCTCGATGGACCGGATCTGTCAAGAAGTTGCGCAAAAAGCTGTCACACGCTCCCCGGAAGACTTTATCTTACTATCACAAAACAACACTCTGGTAAGGCTGCGCTGAGAGAGGGTCCTCAAAAAGTCTCGCATAGGGGCCTTGTCCAAACACCGTCCAAGTCTTGTCCGTGGGCCACCCCTGAAAGGTTCTCCATCTTAAGTCTTGAAGGCGCTTCGTTTCACATGGGCGAACCGACGACTGTCCAAGACCTCTCACGAGGAGCCATGCCAGACAAGCAACTAGAAGCGTTCGGAAACCAAACCGGGTCTGCACACTCACCCGAAACACCTCCTCCGCCCGCTCCGGGAGTCCTTTCTTCTCGTACGCCCGCAGGATCTGGTTGCACACGTGGCGGTCCGGTACGTACCCCTGCGCGACCAGCTCCTCGTACAGAACGATGATGCCGTCCCAGTTGACCGTCCGAACAAAAGCGTCCAAAGCCGTCCGGTACGTGAAGTAGTCCGCACGTACGCCAGCCTCCTTCATTTCCGCAAAGAGGCGCAGAATGTCGGCCAGGGAGCCGCCGCGCGCGCACGCCGCAATGAGCTCCTGGGAAAAGATGAGAAAGCATGTTTTAGATAGGGTGAAGAACGTGGTCCTGAACTGGTGAAGGTGCGTAGTTTGCCCGACTGCCGCATTCATTCTCCGGTGCTTATTATTCGAGACGCTTGACTTCACTGGGATGCTCGAGCGAGCTGCGGTGAGCTCCTGGAAGCAGTGGAGGAAGCACGTTTGTACGGGGTATTTTGGTTAGGATGCTTCCAGGCATGGCCGTTCGGGTTGCTGCAACGAAAGGACATCTCAAATGAATTCCTGCCCGGATTGTAGTGAGAGTCTTGATCATGCGATCCTTCTTGACGTTCGACGGACAAAAGTTCCCCAAAGGAGAATCTTCACAGGGGCCAGCACAAGTATCTTGCGGGGGGACTATCTCTCCGACCCCGGCCACTGCTTAATTCCTAAAGGTCCTGACTTCCTTGTTGCAGTATTTGCTATACCAAGTAATCTGAAGTGCACTATACTTTACCTTGTACGTGGCTGCGTCTGGTTGGAAGCCCTCGGCCTTGAGCCGCGTCACGAGGCGCATCGCGTCCACGAACAGGCCCTGCCGGGCAAATCCCCCCAGCAGCGAGTTGTAGACCATCAAGTCGGGCGTAATGCCTGACGTCACCATGTCCTCTACCAGAGCGTCTGCCGACGTCATCATGGCGCATCTGCGGGATGGAATCACTTGTACGATAAGCGATGTACGTCACGGGGTAAGGTACGAGGCACACTCCTTGTGCGGAACAACTTGAGGGAAAACATTACGGTTGAATTAGGGAAAGGAAGCAGACTGAGGAGAGGAGATGAGAAACGAAGAAAGATGCATAACGGCTCGGCGTAGTTTTGTTGCCACCGTGTCCTCCAGGCGGGCATCTGCTTCAGTCTCTAAAATCTGCCTCAGAGGACGTTTGAAGGGATGACCTGAACTCAGTATCAGCAAAGCAGACCTAGATCCGTTGGAATAGAAATGACAATCAAACTTGTTGCAACTTGAGAATAGCTCACTAAGCCGTCAACTGCTGCAATGAGATAAGCGTTGCACATTGAGATAACGCCAACCGTTTCATGCTAAGTAGAACCCCAAAGAACCAACTTTGGCTACCACTTGAGGCAAGAGTCCAAGGTACAAAGTTTCGATACACCATCGAAATTTGGACCCTTTCTTCAATAATGTTCAGATACGAAAGCAGACTATGAATGACAAGTCGCTGAAGCTTGCACAGATCTTAAAAGTTTGTTTCAGAGCGTACCTTGTGTACGCTGCGAGTACGGTGGTGTAGGCCCCGATCTGCGGCCGTAGCTGGCACTCCTCGGGGGTTGCTTTCGCCCAGTCAAACACTTGCTGCATCAGCTCGTGCTCTCGCAGGCGCCCCAGCTCTTTCAGGATGGAAATCTGCATGAGAGGAGGTTGTCTCAAACCAGATTCTATGCCGTCTCCCACTGACTTCTAGAAGAGTACGGAGAATGGTATCGACGGCAAAGTTCATCCATAACCGGAATCTACCCATACCGCTGCGGTCTTGCAAAATACTTCCCACCGGATGCCTCTCCGTGCCAAAGCGTATGGGGAGGTGGAAAATCGAGGATGAGCTCAGGAGCCAGCAATCAAGACTGAAGGAGACAAAACTGAACGACCCAAGGCTGACAACGCTCGTGGGAAGTGGGGACACATTCTAAACAAAAGCCGACTTTCTATACAACCAGTTGCCTACATGCGAAAGGTTGGTACCCCATCTCTATCCCTGACTTGCATTCAGTTTAGGTAGACAATGTATTGAAAAGGGCAGATAGTACGCAGTGGCAGGCCAGCCAATCTCAATCTCATTTTCTGATGCCGGACTGGGCAAACAATCCAGAATTTTAGCACAGAAGGACCAGCAACCGCTTCCTGACACCATCATGGAGACTGCAGTCAGCCACGTCCTTTCAATCCCTTCAGTCAGAAGCAATCTGGTTAATACAAACTGCATGGGCAATGAACTCTCGTTTTCCTGACAATTGACTACGACGTGAGAGGATACTACACTGCATCTGCTCCGGCGAATAAGCTGCTCTATCCCACCACTCTATTTACAATCACTACGTTCTTACATTTTTTGAACACCCTTGACCACCACCCTACATTACGCCACTCTGGCAAGGTTTTCTACTTTGACCACCTTTACAATTGCAACACTGACGTCTTACAATGCTCGTAAAAGTCCTTGACCACTTCCTTTACAGATACTAGACTCGATCAACTATACATGGGAAATTGTACCGGGTTGCAAAGAACGTCAAGAAAATGGAAGTAAGAAACACAAAGCAACCCACCAGGCTGCCCATGCCTAGTTCTTTCCTCCAGGCGTCCATCAACTTCCCCACACTCTCTGCGTTGTGCTCCTGGTTAATCAGCGCCATGAGCACCTGCTGATTCCTGGCGCTCAGCGGCTTATCATAAGCGGGCCGCTCCGCTTCCTGGCTCAGCTCATACCCTTTCCTTTTCCATAGAAACCGGGCCGCTGGCCCCTCACCCCCCTTCCCTGAGTGGCTCAATTCCGTCTCCCTGCTTCGACGGAAAAGTTTGCCCCCCTCCCGGACCCAGACACTCGAATGCCGTAAACTATGGCCGCCTTCATAGGTTTCAACTTTTATTGGCTTGCTTGAGGGCGGTGTCACAGAGGCGGGCGGCTTTCCAATGGTGCCAACACTTGCTTCAACAATGCCACAGGTCCACGAAATTTGAGAGCAGGCTGCTTGTACAGAAGAGTCCATCTTGCTAGCAGATGCACGGGCGCTGCATCCTTCTGCCACTCCTGCTGCCAATGCCAATGCCAATGGACTTGCCTCAAAACCTGAAAACCCAGGGAGGAAAAGGGGCGTTTGATGAGTATATTGATACACCATCTTATGGTCCTAGCGTTGTTTCCAAATATTGGTCCAATCGGAGCTAATATGTTGTACCCAGCTCGTCGAAGTACTTTCATAGAAATACCCGTGCGGCGTGTGATACTCATTGAGTTCCGCTATGACGTGTTGCCTCTGAATTTTGATGCGGATATATGAGCAGTCTCCATGGTCTTATATGGAATTAGCACCGGTTTGTCAGCAGCTGCCTCAGGCTTTCAAGTTTCAACCACTTTCAAGTTTCCGTCTAGCTTGCAGACTGCAGTCTCCAGCTTGCTTTTCCTGATGATGTGATACCGCCTCTTCAATTGCTGAAGAAGTGAGGCCCTCCGCTTCAGCTTCATAACAGTCTAGTGGTCTAAGAAGGAAGTTGCAGGCAATCAGCGCCTGTGTCCTCATTTCAAGCAAAGTCTAGCAGAAGTCAGATGCAACACCGCTTGTAGAATTTCGACGGCCCGCACAAAGCAAACTTCGAGAAAGTGTGCAGTGAAGCCCTCACGTGTGTGCGGCGTACATCGTTGTGCACAGCCAACGAGACTGGTGAGAAGAAGTCAACTGAAGCTCACACTGCAAGCACGCGGATCACAAGATCCCGGGGATCACCTAGCGCGCCAGCTGTCGTTCCATGCATCTACACAACTTGGAGCTCAGCCATTTGCAGCGAGGACGGTACTAATACGAGAGCCCTGACGCGGTGCCGTGAGCGGGGTGGCCGCAATGCAGGACGCTGCAGCCGCAGCAGCGGCAGCTGCCGCAGCAAATGCGGGGGGGCCACGGGCTGGCGATCTGAATCAGCAACCCTTGGGGTACGCATACGGCTCTTTAGAATCGCAGCAAGCACACAGAGGTGTGCGCGCCTATCACTGGGGCCTCTTGATTGCTTTGACCGTTGTTGGTCTTTTATTGCGTCCGTGATTCGCCTCCAATTGTGCGCCTCACGTGCTGACGGGCAAATTGCCTTGTGCAGGCTGACTGTGAAAGCAGAGGAGGAGATTTTCCTGGATGCAGAAGGGAAGCAGAGCAGGCAAAAGGCTGGCCAGACTGTCATGTTTAAGATTGGGGTGAGCGCAAATGCTTGACCATATTTGGTTTGATATGAGGAGGAGAGCAGAGATGTGCGAGCAGGCAACACTGCAGAAAGGCATCTGTGAAGGTTGGGCGTGGGTGAACGCAACAAGGCTGGCCTCCAGGCAGGTATGTATGGAAAGATGCCATGCTCATTGACATGTGTTCCTGTGTTGCAGACTTCCACAAAACTGAGGAAATTGAAGCGCGCTTGGTGTACCAAGGTCGGCGTCTGTCCCGAGAGTGTCGAATTCTTTCATGGGGGAAGAACTGTAGAGGACCAGCACTCGGCGGCGGATCTGTTCATGCTGGAAGGGGTGAGTGAGCCGCCATGCCGTGCCAGCCGCAGGTCGCAGCAGCCATGCTGGGCGTGAGCAGGGCTGGGGCGCCGCTCGGGCCTGATGCAATTACGTTCACAAATACTTGGGCTCTTCTCTCTACCCAGTCGAGACGCAATGAAAACCGACTGGTTAATCTTCCAGTTGCCGTCACCCGTGTGCCCTGCCCGTGCTTGGAGCGAGGGCCTTTCTGCTTGGGCCTCCCCGCCCACTGCCTTGGACCCTTGGGCCTGCTGACACTGCCTCTCCAACAGGGCCGTGCACTGCCCCCAGCCCCTGTGAATCTTGAAAGGCCGTGCTGCGATGTGCACATGATGGCCAAACATGAGAAGACGCTGAGACTCGGATGTCCAGTGTCCTGGCTCATGTGCCAGGCTTGAACCCGCCCCGTGCTGCCCCTAAACACCACCCCAATTGGCGCAGGACTTGATCTTTGTGAAGCACCTGCCGACGTTCCTGGCGCGCAACGTGGCAGTGGCCAGCCCGCGCGCGCGTGAGTTTGAGAAGCTGCTGGAGAGCGAGGCCTTCTCCGACCTGGCGCTGCTGGTGGGCAAGGAGCGCAGCCGCATGGCGGTGCACAAGTGCATCCTGGCCGCCATGTCCCCCAAGTTTGCCGCCATGTTCAACACCGGCTTCGCGGAGGGCAACGCCGCGGAGATTGTGCTGGAGGCCGCGGAGCCGCGCATCATGCGGCTGCTGCTGCGCTACTTCTACACGGACGAGGTCGCGGTGCCGGAGGACCCGGACGAGGCGGCCGCGCTGCTGGTGCTCGCGGAGGAGTACCTCGTGCCTGGGCTCAAGAAGGCGTGCGAGCTGGCGCTGCTGGGCCAGGTCAAGGAGCGCAACGTGTGCACGCTGTTCCGCATTGCGCACCTGCACGACGCGGGCTTCCTCAAGGAGAAGTGCAAGCAGTACTTCCTGGACCACTTCGACACCAAGGCCTTCCTGGGCGAGGAGCTCAAGAAGACGCCCTCGCTGCTGCTCGAGATCACGCTCGCCGCAGTCAGTGGGAACAAGCGCCGCCGCCTCAACTGACACGGCCCCTGCGGCAGCCAGGGGCCAGCAGGGACCTGCGGAGGGGGCCCAGAAGGGCGTGTACAGAAAGTTCTGTTGTGTACAGTATGGTGTACTTGAAAAGCAGGTAATTCGGATCGTCGGACAGGATCTCAGCGACTCTGTCGCAGGCATCTTGGCATACAAGATTGGTCGCAAGATGTTCAGAGGTTCAGCACGTTCTACATGTTCAAAAGACGGACGATCTGTGATCTACTCTCGACATATAGTAACTATTAGCCGGGCACCACTTAGAAGATTGTCGTATGTTGCAGTTGACCTGCCATGTGTTAAGTCTTGAACTAGTCATGCTACGTATTGTTCAAGCATAAGGAAGTGCCTGTATCCGCTAGATGTCTGATTGAAAATACTCCGGCCGACCAAGCACCAAAGTATGCGACTCGCACTACTGAAGCGGACTGGAGATGTTAAATGCTATTATTCATATGTTGGCTTAACAAGTGCGTAATTTTTCTTCGATGCTTGCTGTACCGGATTCTTAACTTAATTGACCCGCTGCTACCAACATCCTAAATATCTGCAAGTCTAGCAAGCATTTGTTGGTCCCGGGATTGATGAGCGGCTTTAGCAAGCTCTGGAGAAACCTGCGAGTTTCATTGGTTGGTTGCTTGGGGTGCATAAAATAGAAATGCCAGAGTTGTAGCGTGGGTATAAGGTCTCATTGAGTCTAGTATGTAAGACAATTGCTAGACACCTATAAGTGCTTACATGAGAAGGCTTCAAGCAAAGCTTGCCAGGGAGACACACAGACACCTATAGCATGAATGTATACACCATGGAAAGCCTATCATGGAAAGCCTACTCCTTATGCGATCCTTAGATCGACATTATTATAGACCAAGCCTGAACGTTTCTTGCAATTGTGTGCGGCAAGAGTATGCATTCTCACGTCGATTGATGTGGTTGATTATTGAGGCAGCGCTTGGATATTCCGTCTCGGCACAATTGGCCCTTGTGCTCCCCCGCGCTTGCGATCAGACTTTTCGCTAGGTCGTTGCGAAGCCGCCTGGCACGGCAATATAGGGACAATTTGCTTGATTCAATCGTTCGCACGTTAAGTTCTTCTCACAGCTGCGCTCTCTGTGCGCAAGTCTCGCATGCAACAGGCTCCTACCTAATTAGTCGCTCGCTATGTGACGCTCTTGCTCGAGTCGCTAACTTCTTTCCTCTGTTTTCAGGGTTTGTGACTTAGGTTGGTACGTCCTCGCATAAGTTCGACCTGGCCCGTCGAGTTAAAGACCTTGAGCAGTTTCGTGTTGAAAGATAGCCCTAGCAAATCTAGCACTGTATGCCCTTGCTCATTGATCGGCGTGACAGCAGGAAGACTTCACTCAGAATCAGATATAGGCCTTACGATGTACTGGACTTCGCACTTGTGATCGTACTCATGAACTCTGGGGGAAGACCCGGGCTAGGGCAAGCCTGACGAGGACGACCATGCAGTGCGGACGGCCACATTACAATAGCGCATGTGTGTGTGATTTGGGCACTTGAGCGGGGTGTTCCGGCGGTACTACCCGGGCTGCTACATCGATACCGAAGATGAGGAGAAGAACGGGGGCAGCGGCGATCGGGGGGCGATCGGGACGACCGTCCAAGGAGGTATCCGACAGTGGCGGCGCTTTGGAACCAGAAGCCGTTGGTGACCGCCCGGGGTGCTCTGAAGCGGCACTATGCATGGAGCTATCACAGTGGGCCCGTAAGAAACGATTTCCTTAGTGTCCTCCGGGATCGAGGCAGTTCCTGAAGCATGCGGCTATTCTCGTTTATAAGGCTGTAAGCTTCTGTGGTGTACAGCTCCGTTTTGAGTCACTTTGTACAAAGGCGTTTGATTTCAACCAGAGAATCATCCTTCGATTGAAGAAGTGACACTGAGAACCATGTACATCTGGACGATAGCTAAAACGGTCGGGTCTGTAGTTTACACGTGCCACATGTTTAAGGCGCAGCGAGCACGATAGAGTTGTCGGCCAATGCATGACTCCGTGTGCACCCAACCCGTGGCATCCGGATTCGAACTGTTGCAGAGGGTCTGCCGTAGGCACTCTGAATCTTGCCACGTGTCATGTTTCTTTATTCAAAGGAAGCGGACTTCATAAGAGTCGGTCAAGCCGCCCACATGGCCAAAACGGGACCAAAAGGTGACGAGCTCGACTAGCAAAACCGGAATGTCTGTGGCGCCCGTTTTCCTGTGAAGCGATCTTCATCATGTCGTGTTCCTTTTGTATGGTCTGGCCGCCACGTTGGCCAGTGCTTGCAGCGAGTCGGCACTGGAAAGAGTCATGCCCAATAGTTGAAAGCAAATAAACACCATACGTGCACACCGTTCTCACGTTCATAGTTGAAGAAGCCCGCGACCCCGCCTCTAACTCGGAGGCCGTAGAAGCCGCCACAGCTGATTCATTCTTGGATTTGATTATTGGGATAATTAAAGGCTGATCGATGTGCCATACATATTCGCATCGTTGGTCAATTGATAATTTACTACGCGTGCGTTGGATTGCATGAAGTTTGCGCTCATGTTTAGCAATTAGTGCATATATGTATTAGAGCCGCTAGAATGTGCTGCTTGATGATTGAAGTAAAGAGGGTCTCTATATGGATAGCAGAACCGAAAGAAATGAAACCTATACAAGCGGAAGTACGTATTTTTCCAAATGTTCCACAGCGGGTCCACAACCTTCGTCTTTCCTCCGTGCAGGAAGTCGGCCGTCGATCTTGGCCATAATTGTAACCAAAAGAGGAACTTATCACCCTTGACATACAGAGGAGACTACTATGATTCATTTCAAACCGACTCACAGAACTAGCACGGTGTATATATGAAGCTCAAAAGCTATGAGTAGGACACCTCCTGGCAGCTTTGAAAAACGCCTTCCAGCTCAGAAGTTAAACCCATGATCGGCGAATTGACCTGAACAAAGCGTGGCCTTCTTAGTAACACTCGTGCACTTCGGCTTTCCTTGGGCGGTTAGAGTTTCCCACCTGGAATTGCGGTTACCAAAACGAAACTGCATGGTCGCTGAGCCCTGGCCGACGAAGAAGTTCCTGACCGTCACGCACCATACGCCATCTTGAGAGCAGAACTGCCGTCCAAAGTCGCCCTTACTGAAGGACAACTAGTTGATCTCCTGCGTTCCTTTGTAGCCTGTATCCTGCAGCAAAGACCAGGGTAGGCTTAATCTTTGTACTGATTCACTGACTTCAACGGCTACTCGAAAGGCGAGGTTGCAAACAACCGCACGCGGGTTAGGTTCCATAGAGAAGTTTCAACACTTCGAGGCTCTGGGCTGGGAGACTTGCCATGTGTGTTGCGATTTGGAGGCACATTCTACAAGGTTGCATTTATCAAGAGACCCGACAATGTTTTCCCGTGCAAGGTCCTCAGACGTCAGCTGAGCTAGCGTCTATGATCAGCACCGCCGAAGACACCGAACCTGGTGATCATTCATGATGTAGAGCTTACCTGGGCGAAGAAGTTGATGACGAAACCTACACCTGCGTCACCGCTGAGAAATCTACCGTTTGCCACAAAAACCGAGTTGGCATGAACCAGGGGGGCGTTTACTGCCGGGAGGTATTGCTGGAGGAGGCCGTAAACGAAGTGGAAGGCGGAGGACGGAGTCTCTGCAAGGAAGGGCCTTGTGGTTTCCGCAAAAACGAAAAAGGAAAGAAACTTTCCAACTATTTTGTAGAACCCATAACCAGAGCAATCAGCATGACTCGCAAGTCTGGCCGAGAACCAACAACGGATGAACGGAGCAACTTATTAAAACTCTCAAGTCAAGAGGATGTAGTCTTTAGTAATCATGGCCTGAGCACTCCTAGGTTCCATCGTGGTTGAAAAGGATCACCAGAGGGCGGTGAAGCTTAACCATATGAAACACAAAAGAGGTTTGAAAAGCAGTCAATCGGGAGTCAATCACTAGAACTCTTGTCGGATGCAGCAGAAGACCAAATGTTTTCAGGAATGACACTCAGGGCCAAAGAGCTCAAAACTCAAGTGGTCTAGCCAGAACTAACACAAGAGCGTTTAAGTATCAAGAGCAGTCATGAGGACCCTTAGTACCTAACTAGGACTCAGGTCAGGGCAACCGCCTCAACAGGTCACATGTGAAGTCTACGGTCAATATCGAGCACATAAATGGCGCCGTCAAAGCGCCCCCCTTCGAGAAGCTCTTCCAATCAAGTTCTACTCCTTGTATGAGGATATCTGCTGTATGAGGGACATTTGTTGCTCAAGCTTGCAGCGAACATACCTGTTGCCACTTCGCTTTCTGGTGCATCTGAGACTAGATCAGGAGTCGTGCGGGCCGCCGCAGCAGACTGCAGCAGAATGCAGAGCAGCGCAACCCCAAGGGCCGTGCGGGTGATGGAGCTCGTAACTGCCATGGCGGGTGACCAGACTTGCCTGACTAGGCTTTGAGAAAGTTGACCCACCTGCACAGATGATGGTAGGACCGTTAAGATATGTGGAGTTACATTGAGTTGAATGCGATCAACTCAATGCGATCAAGGGCCGGAAGGAGGTGTCACAGTCACACAACAGTGGCCCCGAAATAGTCAGCGGCCGTCAAGCCTGACCTGGCGTGTGGCACTAAGCTGTATTGGCACGAAAGGCAGAGATTGTTCAGTTCCTAAGCTGTAGTCAGAGAGCAGAAAGCCACTGGTGCTACCGGCGCACGAATTTATAACTCTTTGCAGTTGAACGGTCATCTAATCGATTAGGATCTGTGATTGGTGACAGCAACTTTGGGAGATCCTCCTTTACAAAACAGCGGTGTACGTGCTAAGAACAATTGTATATATAGCCCAAGGCGGATACATGAAGGGCAGAAATTGAGTGGTTGACGTATTGCCCTGAAAGAACATTCGGTTATTTAAAAAGGTGAGCTGGTGAGCTCAGGTGGTTACGGCGCGCAGCTGGAACAAGAAGCATTTCGAGAGAAGATTGCAAGGGAGACCGCCGGTTGTAAGCACTCACCAGCTCAACATAAAGCAGGTCCTCAATCAGTAGACCTCGCAAGGGGCGCGCCGGCAGAATGGCAGAACGTAGCTGTACACTAGCTTGAAGGGGTGCTGAAGCTTCGCCATGCAGGAAGTTGTGATCTTGTGATCTGATTGCACGCAGCCTGCAGCTTTTTACAAGGAACGCTTAAGCGGGGCTGATCAAGCTCAGCACACTCAGCATCAGCATACGGTATCTAAGCAAGCAGACTTAAAGACAGCTTGAAAATTGCAGCAGTTCCAAATCACCTCGGTAGCTAGTGTGCACTGACATTACTGCCCATGCATGAGCAACGGGGTCGGACTGTGACGTCGAATGATCAACGAACCGAGATGCCAAGATTCCGGTTCCGGTTCCAGGGCCGAGATTGAATGAATGAACCGATGCATGCAGTGCATGAAATATTGACATCCTAATGCAGTTCCGGCCTGCTCAGGCTCTGACGTCCGAGTCTTGAGACGCTATGATACAAGTCTGTACTGCCCGGCAATCATAGGTACATCATGGGTAGGGTACCTAGATGTTGAAGCAGGCTCGCTATTTAAAAGCCCACCGGTGACCGTATACCTAGACCAAACACGCCAAATACCGTATGCTACGGACCCAGTACGGTCCCCTACGTTAGCAGCTCTAATATTCAGCTGAGCTAAGAGGAGTGATTGTGGACCTTTTAGCGCTGACCGCTGTACGGAGATAGTGCTTGATGACTGCAATCTGCCATGCAATCTGCCAGCTGGCGGCTGGCCAGCGGCCTTGGCCGCCGGCCACAACTATCCATCATTACTGTCATCAATTCTTTAGCGTTGACCATTGTACGGACTCAGGAGAGAGTCCTTGATGCATGATTGCAATCCTGCGGGCGGCGGCTGGCGGCTGGCGGCTGGCCGCTTCGGGCCACTGGCGGCTGCTGTCGCACCCACCCCGGACCACGTTCCGGGTATACAAACTCTTGGTTCTATTGTGGCGCTGGCCCGGGCAGCTTTGCTTGCACGCGGTTGCTTTCACTCATTGATGAAGTGACTAGGCTGATTGGACCACGCGGGGTATGCTATGTGTGTAACCGTCGTTGGAACGTGGATCTAATCATGCCAGGGGTGCAGACGGCGCGTCCGACGGACGACGGTACCAAAGGATTTTGCTACGCTATGTGTGTTTAACAGAAATTTAGATACTAACAGAGTGCGACCTAATTTCGCGAAGCAACTTTTCAAACAAAAGCAGCTCGTGCTAGTTACTAGTTCGTAAGGCGACCATACAGCTGATGACTTCAAGCTCACCGGTCAACACGCCCCTCCAATGGGGCTTGATTCCATGCCGGCGGCGGGAAAGATACTCTTACAAGACGCAATGAGATTGACCTGAGGATCATTCTGCTTTTGTGGCTTCAGCAAACCGCTCGCATGACGACCAATGCAATTCACTGCAGCCGTGCGCCAAGTCTGTCATATTCATGTTCGTTTCAAATATATCCGGTTATATCTTCGAGTTACATTTGTCTTTGCGAACCGACAAGAAACATGATTCAGGATGCCGAAGTTTTCACCAAATATGTACATTGTATATAGGGACCAGGGCGTCAGGCCCGCAAGTTACCTAACCATCGGCCGGTTCATCAGTCGCAGTAGTTTCTGCGCTGCTCGGCCCATGCTCTACTTCACTCACGCTCTCCTCAGAGACGACCCCTTTCTGTATCAAGTACTGCAGCAGCGCCGCACTCCCTGTCTTGCCCTCTGCCGCCATTTCGTCCTGCGCTTCTTGTCGGGCTTCTTCCGTAAGATCACCCTTCTCAGTGAGCGCCTTCAGAAGCGCGCTAGCCCGGGCCTCTTCCGCTTCCGCCTTCGCTTGCGCTTCCGCCAGCATCCTGCGGAAAGCCCGAGCCGTGAGGAGCCGTCAGTGATCTTGTTTTGGGCATCATCGCTTGCGCGAGTCCGTGGAGTCTGGTATGGCACAAAAATCTTACAAACGTGGAACCTCAGGAATCAGGAAAGCTCTCGCGAAGCAAAATCTGATCACCTTGCTCTTCAGCCTATGTGGCTGAACTGGAATCTTGATTGCAATATCGTTCCGCCGCAAAAAGTGCACGAAGCCACTTGATGCAGCCCAAAACTGGCGCTTTGTTGTCACATCAGAGCTGCGGTAAGCGCTTCGTAGATGAACTAGCAGCGGAGTTTTGCTCCTTACCTTTGCTCTTCCTCTGCTCGTCGCAAGGCCTCGGCCGCCATCTCTTGCGCCCGCTCCTCTTCTGCAATCCTCTGCTTCTCAGCGTATGACTGGACGGCGGACTCGATCTGTGACCGGAACGGAGCGAGATTGAGACCCGGTAAAGAGCGGGAGTCCGTGGGAGGAGGGCCCTCGAGTAATGGCAGGCCGGAGATGTTCTTCAAGGAGTTTGGAAAAAGTGGGACTTCCGTGGGTTTTATGCGCATGATTCTTAAGAGCAATCGCAAGGAGTGTCCCCCATTTTGATGGGGAGGCAATCGAAAAGTAGGACTGAATCTCGACTGCAAATTTGGGTCCTGCGCCGCTTTTGCAACGTCTCATCATATGCTGTTCAAAGAGGGAGGATCGGGATTTCCTGGGGCTGGTCGGGAGGCCTCGCAGGAGCGAAGAAGGAAACGAAGCAACCATAATGCGACCGGCCAAGGCAGGCGCGCGCGTCGCTCACCAGCGCGCGCACAGTAGCCCGTGCGAGCTCCGTCTTCCTGAGCTCCTGAGCCACCGCGTCGTGGAGGAACGGCATGAACTGGGTCTCGATCTGCGCGAGCATAGTCGAAACGCATGACACAATTGGACAGGAAGTAACTGTACGAAGCTGCGCGACTCGCGTGGACGAGCGAAGGGCTTTTGGTTTCACAGCAATCTCCAGGCGAAGCCTTACCAGAGGCTACAAAATCTGACGCCTGAAAGTGATGATGCAACCGTTGAAGCAAGTCACTTCAACATAAGGAGCCGGAGCGGTCAGAATCTGAAATGGATGCACTTTTCACTGATGCCCAACATTCCCCACAGCTCAAAGAGCACAGCGCAAAAAGCAAACGGCATTTCCGGCTTGTCATTCAACGCGAGCGCAGATGACGCCCAGGCATCAGCTGCGGTTGCCATCAAGACCTTGGTTCAACACTGATTCCACAAATGAAATCTGACAATCAACGTCAGCAGTAACGGCACGTCGAGAAGCCATTGCTTTCCACTTTCCGGGCCGTACCGTAAATCCAAAACCCAACCCGCATTGACAAGAGGGAAACTATTTTCATCCCCACCTCTCGTTCCACGGGGTCATAGAAGACGCCCTCGTTGGTCAGCCCCTGGAAGACGCCCGCGATGAGCCCGCCCAGGTAGTCGCGCGCGAACGTCTGCGCCGCGACCTTCTCCTGCGCGGCCTTCTGCGCGAGAGCGCGCGCGCGCTCCTGCTCCAGGCGCCGCGCCTTCTCCGCCAGCTTGCGCTGCTCGGCCGCCTCCATGCGCTGCGTCGCGATCAGCTCCGCGTTGCGCACCGCCTCGAAGTGCTCCTGCGGGTAAGGGTTTGAAGGTTTACCATTTGAGTTCCACTCGAGACTTGTGGATGGTCTCCTAAGTGAGAATCATGTTCGACGCTTGACGTGTTGAATTCGATGATATTGCGGGCTATAGCTAGGGCTTGAGAAATGCAATCCTTCCCTTTGCTTCTCAACACGAACCACTACAGGAGGTGATTCAAGAGCAACTTTCTTCGGCCTCACGCAAAGCAGAGTTCCCCCTGGCACACGGTCTAGTTCAGAGAGCTTTCGTCAAATCCCGGTTCTTTCAGCTTTCTTGTTCGAGCATAGACAACGTACGGCAATGCTATTCCTTGCTCGCAACGTGTCACACTTATGTATTTTTAGACGGATGCTGCTATTGTCACCCACAAGCTTGCACCCACTTGCAAACCGGTCCATTTGCATATTTCTCAATTCGTAGACTGGGAGAAGCTTGCCTGGTGTGCCCGCATGGCCGCCAGCTCTTCTTCCTCCATAACCTCCATTAAGCTCTGCTCCAGCGTCTTCCCGATCAGGACCTCCAAAATCGGCTCCACCTGAAACGAGAGTGATTGCTTTTGTTGATAAGCTACCTTCAATCTACGCCGACAAATCACCAGATCGTTCCTTGCAGCCGTGTCCAACTCTTACTTTTGACAGTCACTCTGTTGTCGCCGAAACAATGCAGGGGCCAGCTCAACCCTCCGCTTCCTCTTCGGAGGAAATCAACCACTTGCCTTCTCCATTTTTCTTTTGCAATCAGCCCAAAAGACCGGCCGGCAACGTAAGATAAGGATTAGCACCCGCCAGCACCCGCCAATTCAAACCCACAGAACTCTACAACACGGAACAGTCGGATCTCTTTTGTGTCAGAGTCCCTCTACATGTCTTTGACAAGAAGTGTAAAGGTCAGCGATATACAATCAGCACAAAGCGGTCACTGCTTTTCTTCTTCATCTCTCCGTCCCCACCTCAAAATCAAAGTTGAAGAGGTCCCCCTCCATGATCTGCGTCTCGACGTCGACGCCCGACTTTTGCGGCACGTACAGCGGCGTCTGCGGACGGTCCATGAAGGCGTCCGTCTGCGTGTCCACGCTTGCCTCCGGCATGCGGTCCGTCAGCTCCTCCAAGTATAGGTCCGTCTGCAAACCCGGGTTAGAAGTCGGGTTTGGGATACTTCAGCACTGTTTACTGTGGTTACTTCAGCTGTGCATCTTCGAGGCATCTAAAATGAGAGGCTTTACGGAATATTGGGAAGATTCAAATACTGTTTGTGGGTACTTTCGGTTCGATGACCCTTCTGCGAGCCCCTGATACGCGATTAGTTCTCAGAAGCAAGTACAGGATGATTCTTTTGCACTTCGGGACGTTCATTGGCACTCCTATGAGTCGATGATGATTCCCAAAACCACATTTCTACAGTGATGTTGCAAATAAACAGGGGCGGGTGAGCGACCTTGGGTGACTAAGATTCTGAATGACTTTCAAAGAATCTCCTTGAGAGATAGCCTCGTGCAGTGGAGGCCGACTACCATACTCCCATCCTCCGCAGGATGAAGAAGTCTGATGCAAACTTCCTTGCCAGCTCCCTCACAAGGAGAGTCGTTGCGCAACTCTGAGTTACCGTCGATGAGTACTTGCTTGACCGCTCAAACATCTCAACGATCCCCCTGATTCCCGTTCCGCTTGGTCCTATACCATCAGCTCAAACTACTTCTACCCATTGACCAGAAGCATCGGCATCTCTTCCTGATGACTCTGCGGATTGGTGGTATCCGGAATCACCCTGAGGGTGACGATTCTAAGCTGGGTTTGTTGATGTACCTTTCCAGTCGCTTTGGTTTGCCAACAACGTGATCTTCCTAACACTTTAGAAAACGATTACACTTGACATACGGTGGGGCGCCCACCTGGATGTCAATGTGTTTTCTGCCGAGCACGGGGTCTGGCGTCCCTGGCTTTGACAGCTTGGTCGACGATTTTCTCTTGGTCACCTTGGCCGGCCGGTTCTCTGATGTGGCTTCCTCCGGAGGGCTCATGGGGGGGAGGAGCTGCAGAAAAGACAGACGAGGGTGAGGGACCTTACTATGCACTTTGCCAAGCAACAAGCTGACTGACCGGTTTCGGGGTTGCTTTTGGTACGTGTTAGTCCAATTGTAGTCACACAGAAGCAGTAGGAGACCTTCCTATCAGAAAGCTACAGGCAATAAGTAAGATCCCTTACGACGATAGCCAACAAAGATCCAGTTGGTAAATCTGTACACGAGAATGAGCTGCAAAACGGGTTGCTTAACTTGCTTCTGGTTGACAAAAGGACGTTGATTGTGGAACATGAAGTGATCTTAAGGAGCCAGACTATGAAACAACGGGCGGAAATTCTTCCCATACTTCTCTTGGGAGCTTGCGTGGGAGCTTGTCTAGGCGTCCAACCACACTACAATGCAGCAAGACATTGCATCCCATCTCGTTTTTACCAGATCTTACTGGATGCGGCAGCAGAAATTGTGTCTGGGAAACCTTACTATGGAGGTAACAGAAACGATTTGAAGAGTGTCTGGTGCGGCTGCTAGAATTAATTACTCTCAAGAAAATCAACCTGTTCTTGATGGTCAGGCATGTTTTTTAGTCATGGTTCCTTTGGAGCAGCCTGGGCGGTTCTGGCTGACACAGGAAAATGCAGCGCGGGCTTTGTTTTGCTCAGGGCCAGTTCAAAAGAAGCTGTACATGCACGTTGCACTTTAGCACCTTTGCAATCCTGTCTCCCCTTTTTACCACTTCACTCCAAGCTCCTCTTGAAAACTAGCACAGATAGGAGGAGGAACTCCAGAGTAGGCCTCAAAAAGGGCTGCCCCTGAAACAGCAAGGCTCATCCTACTCAATCCTCAACTTCGCTAGGTTCCTACCAGAACAAGAGACACCCTTGACTCCAGCTGATTACCTGGGGTGCATAGTTACTGCCTCGAACGACCCTCCTGTCATACATTATGTTCATTGGGATGGGGTATGGTCCCCCCTCTGTGGCCTCATTTGGCTCCCTATACCTCCTCCTGTTGGCAGTGACTCTTGACTGGCTCGTAAGCTGCGTCTCGCTACCATTGCCTGACGGCTGCCTGTAATGTACGGCCGCCATTGACATGCGCTTCTTACACTGGGCAGGACAACTTCTAGACCCCTCAGCGTTCCTTCTTTTTCAATCCTTTATTTGCTCAGCAAGCTCGTTGCTTCTCTGGACGGCCCGAGAAGGGGCCTATAACTTCTTTCCTCTCCGCCATCATCCACCTCTGCCTGGAAAAGAAAAAGGGCCCGCGCAAACTCCCAGGGCGGACAATCCTTGCCAGCATGCTAGAATCTGGTGCCGCAACGATATTGGCCTATAACCGAGTCCTTCACTAGAGGAACGCAAAGCTTGTGATGTTTCCTGTCCTTAGCTGCGCGTGAGAGTCATCCGTCTGACCTTCTAACTTTTGAATTACTCAGGTCTGCGAGCAGAAACGTATACCGGTACCGTAATCAGTTTCCACGCAGTCAATTCAATCAGCGTACACAGTGACGTGAAAGCGTTCGATGAGTCTTATATTATTTCGAAGTAACAACTACATACTGCAGCTACCATTGAATGAGGTACCTACCCGCTTGGGCGGACACCCTGTCCACGATGTACCTAGGTTTTAACAAGCGACCCGGTCCAGTGTCCTACCGTGTAGGACCTACGGGCAATGGTGTTCAGCAAATGGTTGTCGCGCGCGGTCGACTTTTTCGGACGGTGATCACGGTCGATGGCAAGCAGATGACGTGATCGAACGGCTCACAGGGTGGAAAACCAGAACTGGTGCCAGAAGTCCCATCAAAGAGCAATGAGCATGAGCACTGGCAGGTCTGTGCCAGTGCACGGTGCAATACCGGTAGGTCTTAGGTGTCTGTGCAAGGGTAATATATATGTACTCGCTCAAAACAGCACCGCACTGCTGTCTTCTGAGAAGTAGAGCTGCTGGCACCAGACATACGTGGGACATCGTTCCTAGCCTCTAGGCTCTGTGCCAGTCAAGCTCAAAAATCATACAGGGCAGGACCGAGGTAGGGCGGGCAGATACTAAAGAAGAACGAAGAATGGACGAAACGCAGTTTGGAGCTGAAAGTAGCTAGAAAGGGAGGAGGCATAGTTGCAGCGGTTCGATGACACTGTTGAGCAGCTATGAGCTCCAATTGATACTTCTCCTGCTGCTGGAAGATAGTACGGATGCGCTCTGACCAAATTGGAGTCACAGTGGATTCGATCAGACCGCATTGGTGAAAGCATGGAGCAAGCTGGTTGAGCAGTATGCTTCCAAGCTTTTGTCTGATGACTACGCAAGGCTGTTGGAAGTCTTCGATGCGATTGAAATTCTGAAGGGGAAGATGCTGGACAGCCCCTCTGTAAGGTGCAAGGTGTCCCGCCTTCTCCAGGAGCTTCTTGCATACAAGCGCGGCGCGGTTGTCCAACGAGTGGTGCAAGTGCTCCTGACAAGGCGCCCCACGATCTCAAGCTTTAAGAACAACAGAGTGAACACGGCAAACTATAGGCTTTACCTGGCCTGTTGCATGACTTTGGCGACATTGAGTGAAAGCCAAGTGGTTGCGCGCTTCTGTGTGAAGGAGAAGAAGACGACGCGCATGCTTGCTGCGGAGCTCATGTACCTCCACAAGCATGGGATGGCTCTCATGCTCAAAAACATTGCAGTGAAGAATGCAGAGGATTTGCAATTTTCCCTGAGGTTGTCACTGGATGCCATCAGGGGATTTCTGAACCTTTTTCGTGCTTCGGATCACTTTCGCCGGACTCTGCAGGAGATTGACGAGCTTTTCCCAGCTCTTGAAAAGCTTTTGGTGACGCTTCATGACTCGGCACAGTTGATTCCAGAGCACCAAATTCAGAGGGCCCTGATCTATAGCTTTCGTTTGATTTACACGTTCATTCTCTTTGAAGACACCCAGCAGTGGGCTCTTGACAGAGGACTCCTCAGGATCCAAGCGGCAGGTGCAAGGTTTGCAATGCTTGACAACTTTGCCAACGGCAGCCCCATGCAGATGCTCGGTCGCTCCATGATGGATGAAGGTGGTTTGCAAGAAGTTCAGCACCTCGACCTCTGGATGAGAGATTGCAAGGATCCGCGAACAGCAAGTGCAATCCGGACCTTCTATTTGGACCATTTTAAGGATTTGTTCACGACCCTTGGACCGACCGTCGCAGGCTCAACAGGCATGTCTCCTAATGTGCAACGAGCTCTCGAAGGTGACGATCACGAGTCTCTGAGGTTTGTAAAGGCTTTGGCTAGGCTGCACAATGGCCGCTCTGTCATCTGATGCGCCGGTCGTCTGCTCCTGGGAGCTGTGTGAAGTAGGTTCTATGTCAGAAGATGGGACAAAATTCAGCAAGTGCGCTGAGTGCTCGTTGGCTTACTACTGCAGGTGAGACAGTTTGGTTCTGAGATCTTTGGTTGCTTTCAATCTGTGTTGCCCGTTTTGGGGTTCAACTTGTTTCTTGACTTATCTCCTGTCTCACCACTGTGTTCGACGAACTGGACAGTGCCAAGAATACTGCGCTTTTGAAGCTTCATAGTTATTGCATCACAGGCATACATGTATCATAAGCATCGATGTGTTTGTGCCACACAAAATTTGGTTGCTTGTTTCCTTGAGCTGATGATTCTGCTTTCTGCTCCTTTTTGCTCATCGCTCCTGCACTACTATTTTGAGCAGCACTCTGTAGACGCTGACGCAACTCATCAATCTTTTCAATTTATGCAGCAAGGAGCATCAGAAACTACATTGGCGGAGCCACAAGAAGCAGTGCGAGGATGCGTCCTGTATGACACCTGCAAGAAAATCCTCGTCCACCTGAAGGTAAGAGCACTATGCTGTTGGTAGGTCCATCAACATCTATACCACATAGAGCATTTCAGTGTGACTCCTTTTCTAAGCCGAGCGAGCAATGCAGGCGACGAAGAAGGGAGAGCACGAATCAGACGAAAAAGGAATCAACCACTTGGGCTTTGTCCATCTCTTCGAGTTAAGAAGGGTCGGTGGTTGATAAAGCACCTGCTCGAAAGTAGTCAGCAGGATAGTCAGCAGAATCATCATAATATAGCGAAGCAGACAGGAAGGATCCTACTTCCTTCTATTTTCAGCCTTTGACGTTTGTCCTGCTTCGTTGACGTCGTGTCTTAGCAGTGACTGGTCGGATGGGCAGGCTCAGGTTGACAAAACATCGGACGGAGTCTCTGACCAAGCGAAAGACTCTGAGGATGAGTCGAAGTTAGGCCTCCGTAAAGTACCTTACACGCCTTAAACGGAGCCGAAACTTTTACCTTACACGCCTTAAATGGAGCCGAAACTTTTACCTGAAAACCAAGCACTTGCGTGGGCAAGGTCGAATAGTCGGATCAACCTCGTCTCTTTCCAGAACGCAGGCTGAGCTAGCAATTGTGATCATCTACAGTCGTTGATTGCTTGGTGGGCTCTGAAAGCCAAAATTTATTCTTGATTTGGTGTGTGACCCTTGCTGCAGGTGTTTGACACTCTTGAGGTGCTGGGGCACTCTTCTAGAATCTTGAGGGTGGAATCCCACGGAGGGAAATGAATAAGTGTAGGATCAGAGGCAAAATACGTACGGTCCGTCGAAATCAAAGGGAAAACTCGCCAAAGAGAGCCCTGAACGGACTCAAGCTGCAAAAGAAACAACGATGGACGAAAGTATGGCCGGGCTTGATGAGACTCTTTGACTCATATCGCATGAAACTTGAAGTCGATTGCGTAGTTAACAGTCGAGCGACGTGTCCATATTAATGTCACCAATAGCAAGCCTTCTCCGGGCGTGGTTCAGATGGAACGTCCTGCAGATCTCGCGTGGTCACGCGCGTGTGCATGCTTGCATATAGATATGAATTGTTCTATAGTAGCCAGCTAGATACAATGATTTGAACTTATTGCTTACATGGTCTATTGTCAATTTAGACTGTATCTAGAGTCGTGTCGGCCATGCCGCGTTGCTCAGCTTGCAAGGACAACTGCATGCGCATGTACGTACGCAAAAATGGTGTGAAATCAAATTATGGTACGGTCATGTGTATTTGACGCCTAGGGCACGCACTGCATGATGATTGAGCTTTCGAGTTGGCCCACAGCACACATGGAGGCCTGCCAGCAGGCTAGCTTGCATGCAGTGGCATCTGGCTGCGTATACGCGCGCATGCGGGGACGTCCAACGCCATGCCGTCCCGATGCATCGCACATGTGTCGTTCTATGAAAAATACACATGCCAGGCCGCCCTGTACTTCAACGCATAATCTCTCTATAGTTCTCGAACGGTTGTACCGTGTACGAGCCTCTAGCTCATTTTCGATTTGCCGCTGATGCAATAATGGCATGCACGTGTGGCATAAACTGATGTCATCCAGTCAACCGCTGAGTCTAGAACCATGTACAATGTACACTCGTTAAGGATCAACAATATGACGGCTCTGCATGCGTATCTTGTAGCATGGTGCGCGACAGGCCTGCCTTAGAGACTAGGGCGAGGAAACGTAGTTGTTCCCCGGTCTTGCAGCATGACTTGAGATTGTAGCGCTCAGATTCGCGACGAACAACTTAGCTTCTGTCACGATTCTTCGTGCAGTTGTTTGTTTCTGTCCGCCAAGAAGCGTCTAGAACATATCAAGAGCTCTTCATTGCACAGAAGGCAGAGCTCGTTGCTGGGGGCAACACGCAAACCAGATGCGGGCCAGCCGGGCTGCAGAATAAGGAAACTTTGCTCAGCCATAACAGTCAAGCCGCAGCCACATTAGCACACAATAGATAAGACAAGCCAGAAGCAGATTCTGAACGAGAGACTGCCTGAGTGAACCCCCCAAACAAAACGTCCCTGTGACCCCGGTCTGCGTTACCGTAAGGCACTGTTTTCTAATTGCAGAGAAGATTGGCACACGATTGAGAACTGCACATTGTCCCCCGAAGAGGATTGAACAAGGCCCGTCGGCAAGAGGTAATCTGGTAGACCCTCCTTGAAAGGGTTCGCGGCACCTTACCTGTGCGAGATGTGGCCTCTGCTTATTCCGGGCAGCTTCAGGGCCGGTGGGTGCACGTGTCCCGTCACGATAGGCACGCACGCCATGCTGACTACAAGGAAGGCCCCTTTCCGCCTCTCGAGCGTCAGCCGGCCTTTTCGTCGCCCAGCAATCATCCACTGCAAGATCGGAAGAGTTTCATGAAGCCCAGTAACTTTTCACCAGCGGAGTCAATAGCAGCACTTGCTATGAGATTCAATGCCGCAAAGAGGCGACGAAGTGCAGACTGGCAGGATATGTCAAAAGCGGATTGTTCGAGCAGATGCGATTCAGTGGTTTAAAGGTCGCGGGAGAAACCTATGACCCTGCGAAGAGAAGAGAACCAGTTTTTTTGCGCGCTGTTACAAAACCAGGAGCTCAATCGTCGAGCTGAATACAAGTCGAGAGTCACGAAGATCGTTCCTGATTTCGCGCACCGCAGAGCGTTTGTTGTCATACTCGTGTTGTCCAAGCAAGTGATGGTGAAAGTTATGTGATCAAAAAGGCTTCCAAAACAGAACGGGCAATGTCTAAGAAAGGGTGTACGAAGGCCCTTGCCTGTTCCTGCCCCGCCTTGATCTCGTAGCTCAGCTCCTCGGCCTCTCCATCGGTCTCTCCATCTTCCCCCTCCCCAGTTACCAGCCTTTTCTCCCCCCCGACGAGCCGCTCGACCCGCCATTGCAACACCAGCGCCCGCCCAACGGTGACAACGCCGCTCAGCGGCAGCAGCCCCACCGCCAACCGCTTCTCGAGGACGGGCATCTGGAGCACAAACGAGTGCCGGAACGTAGACGGGGTCGCGGACTTCTGGCCTTCCACTGGGCTGTGCGCGCCGTATCGCCGATCACCTTGCACCGTGTACTCGAGAACCAACATGCTGCTGGCCTTGGACGGGACGCTGATGCTGAGCCGTTTGGTGCCGTCGCCGTTGGTGGTAACGGGCTCGGGAGCGGTAACGGTTGCCGGCGCCGGCTTGACGGTGAAGAGGAGGGCGCCCTCGGAGCCGGCGTGAACGGTCAGGGGGAGGAGCCAAGCGGTGTCGATGCTTGAGGGAGATTGGTCCGCTTGGGCGGGAACGAAGTTGGACTGCAGCTCCAGACGAGCGCTTGTCACGGTGACAGTTGCCTCAAGCTGGGAGCGGAGAACGACCTGCAAGGAAGGAGAAACGTCTGTGAGTTTCGACAATGAGCATGTTACCAAGCATTTTCTTCGAGAATGTTTGATGATTGATGACGACGAGAGTCGGATAAAGGGGGACGGAGACTGCCAGCTTCCCCGTTAGAGCGTTCAAAGAATACCCGTCTTTGGTGGGACTTCACTACGCAGAGGAAGAGTGCATAAGTACAGCTGACGACATTTCGACTGCAGCAGCAAACCTGGTAAAATGTTCGTTAAGGCACTGGGCAGCTTGTTCCGAGAGGCCGATCAGTTGCCGGGGCAAGCGACATACAGAATGGGCCACCATTTCATTGCAATTTCGTGGTTCATGAGCTCTGCCATTTTTGGACAACCACTTGGCCATGTAAGCGAGAGGCCCAGCAAAGTTGCAAATCCACAAAACCTGGTCGACGTCGCCACAGCAACGCACTTCCAGCTCATGCTCACCTGCAGGAGCATCGTCCCGTCGTTGCTCTTGCTGACCACCCGGTCCGCCGCCGCAAACGGCTCCGCAAAGTGCAGCGAGAGCGCCTTCTGGAACTCGCGCCCGCGCCCCGCCCCGAACTCCAGCTTCACGCTCAGCATCCGTATGCCCCCCTCGGCCTCCGCCCTCTCGCTCTGCTCGTCCACCCACTTAGACAGCCGCTGCTGCTGCGGGGGGTTGGCGTAGCCCGTCTTTCTGCCCCCCGTGTCGGGGGTACCGTTTGGGGGGGTGGGCGGCAGGGTGCTGCCTCGTGGGGGGGTCCCGAGCGGCGTGTTGTGGGCCTTAGTCGGGGCGGGGGATGGAGAGGGCGTGGGGGTGTAGGCGAGAATATTGGGGTTGGTGGACTGCTCGTCCGCAAGCTTGAATCCGCGAACGCGCACCCAGACGATGGTGGGCGTTTCGGACGCCCAGTCCGGGAGTGCTATTGCCCCGTTCCGCATCTCGACGAGCTTTCCCCTCGGATTCGACCCCGCTCCACCCGTTCCGTCGCTGGTATTTACTGGCGTTCCGTTCGGGACCGATCCGTTTTCCCCTGTGACAACTGATGCCGCCGTTCCCTCGGCATCGGCCTCCGGCAAAGCGCTCCCGTCCGTGCACTGCGCTACCAGCTCCAAGTGCGCCATCTGCGGCTCTTCGAGTACGAGTCCGTTCCCCACCGACAGCCGCAACAGTGCTCCTTGGAGCGAGTAGTCGAGCGCCTTCACCAGAACGCCCGCCCACTGGACCTCCCCCAAAAGCAACCCGCTCGCGACAACCGCGCCCACTTCGACGAGCGGCCGAGCGGCCGCCACGTGGAGGGCCGGCCGGAGGGGCTTCTCGCTGGAAAGGTGCTGGTCGCTGTCGGGGGATCCCCCCTTGGAGCCAGCCGCGCTGGTGGAGCAGTGGGTGTGGGTGCGCAGCCGGACGCGACCCAGCAGACCTGATGTACAGGATCCATTTTGAGATCAGATTTAAACGGTTCAGGGGAAGAACGTCAGCTTTTCGTATTCGGTGAAAACGACAGGGCGTCGAAGTCTTGATGTCACGAGCAGTGGGTGGGTGCGAAGCAGCACACGACTGAGCAAGCCTGGAGCAAGGGGAAGCAATTGTCAGAGAGCAAAGCTCAATTCTGGGGATGCTTGTGGTTCTGTGAAAACGTGGGACTCATCATTCAACATCGATTAGCAAAGGGTAGTCAACTTGGAGCGTTCGGATCTAGGCCCTCTGTTTTGCTTTGGGTTTGACATTGATTGAATGAAAGTAAGGCGCTTTGTCTGCTTTGCTTTCGAGATGCATGGTATTACAAGCGAGACCTGCTGTCTTAATAGAGGTTTTTGGGTAATCCAAGTCCGACAAGCTCGGGGAAATCATCACCGGTTCCGTGACAATGAGTGCGCCAAATGCTGGGGATTCTCTTTCCACGAAAGATCGATAAGTCCTACCGCACTACGAGTGCCAAGAGCTTGTGCAGGAGGAGTTTGAAATGGTACTCGATGGAAATGCCCAACAACTTTCTTACCAGTCAACGCCTGGAGCACATAAGTTCCTTGCCGCTGCGGGCTGATGGCAATCGGCACCACATTCTTCCCTGGGTTCAACACTGGCGGCTCCGTGCTCTTGACGACCTTGGCTTCGTCAGATGCTGACGCGGACGTAGCTTGCAGCGTCAAGCTCAGCGAGTCCAAGGCAAACTGCAGCAAAAGCGAGACCGTCAGCGGCTCCAAAGGGATACAAGTCCATGCAAGCTGCGTGAGTTCCTCGAAGGTCTGCCCATTCTCTTATCAGCGTGAATGGCTCTTTCAAAGTCACGACCTCTGTGCCTTGACTTGCGGTCAGTCTGCATCACACTGTCATGTACTTGGTGGATTGCCAACCAGAAGCTGCCGAAACAATCGAAAGTGCGTCCATCAATCGCTTTCTCGAGACGATACGCAAACGCTCATCAACAGATCAATGTGCCATGCTCCCACTCATGGGCGACGTCATCACTTACCCCTTCCGGAAAGCCGCTCCAGATCGTGATGTCGATGGAGCCCGGGTCACCTTCACAGAAATCGAGCGGCGGGCCCCCTTTGGTTGCGAACGTCAGCAGCGAGCTGATGTCCAGCGAGACCGGGTCCTGGAGGCCGCTCCTGGCAACGCGGGCGAACTCACGCTGGAGCTGTAACCGCTCATCCTGAGATAGAAACACAACGCAGGTTTTGGAAACTGTCAAAGACAGGATAAACAGATGCTGAAGGATGCAAAAAGTCAGAAAGCGCGTCGTTTTGAGTATGCAGGCCGGCGGCACGGAACGAGAATCGAAAGGGATGCGTTTCCGAGGGCTTCCGACAAGATACTAGAAAGTGGACAATGTTGCCAGCGGACAACCGAGATGCGGGACAATGGCCACCGAGACCTTCCGCCTTCTTCCAAGTACATGCGGCAATAAACATCAAGCAGACTACCAGAATTGCGAAGCTACAGAAGAACCAGTGCTTCGGTAAATTCTCAAACAAGTAACCCGCATTCGATCTTACCTGTGTGAGCAGCCCGTCCTCTAGCGCCAGCAGCCGCATGCAGCTGCCGAGGTACCCTGCCACGTCACCTAGCTGGCGCTGGCACTCGGAGAGGCGCGGGAGTACGGACGCCAGCAGTCCGTTCCACCGTTCCGCTGCGTAGAGCGCGCACAGCTTCTCGTACAGCTTGACGGCGCTGTCCAGATTGCCGCGTTTATAATAAACGGCGGCCACCTGCGCAGACCCTAGATGATGTCAGACTCCAGCTGAGTGACGGCTTCCGGAAAGGGGACTTCCGGAACACAGTGGGGCACGATAGTGCCACCAAAACAATTATTTCCGTGGCGAGTGAAGCGAAGCCGTGGGCGCTAGTCCAAGTAGCGCGTCAACAAGAAAGGCTCGTTTTCGAGCCTGCAGTTTGCAAGACCTGCAAAGTAGAGTTGCTAAGGGGACCGTTCGCGGTGCGGGCAGATAAAGCCCTTCTTTGTCTGTACACCGATTGCCAAAATGGCCCTCAAGTGGCCGTGTTGAAAGCAGCGCTTTGGTGCCTCAATGGACCTTCAAAGCAGAGCAAAGAAAGGACTCGCAGATTGGGGCCGCAACTTTGTATGCAGAGAAACGCACCTCCCCGTCCATCACCACCCCATGCCGGCGCCGCGACGAGCGGTGGTAGTTGTCCGCGGCGGCTCGCGTCAGCTCGAGGTACAGCTCTTCGAACGCCTGCCGGCTTGAGAGGGCCTTTCGCAGCCCGTCGTGGCTCAGGGTTTTGAGCAGGTGGGCCTCGGCTGCCACTTGGACTTGGGCCAGCGTCATGATGGGGCCGAGAGGACGGGGGGCTGCTGGAGCAAGAGAAGCGACGAGGATCGGAAGGGTGTTCGAAAGCGCGGAAAGAAGGTCTCGTTCAGAGTGTTCTACTCGATAATGACCGTCTAAATGAGCGAGAACGAAAAGAACAGTCCCCTGGAAGGACTGGACTTAGTCAAACTGGACAGGAACATGAGCCAAACTTGCGTCGGTAGAATCCGAAAGGACAGACCCTTGTCAGCGGTTGCTGATTATCGAAAATCACGTGAGCGTGGAAGGATTCTCTAAGGTCAGGACATAGGCGGACACACACTGAGCATTACAAATCGGATCACCTGCCCCGATGTTGCTGCCCATGTGTCAACGCTGTTTACTATGATGCAGATGATACAAGATTTCGTGTAGGCCTTTGCTTCTGCTCACCATTCCCGCCTCCAGGGTCTGGTTGTCCTGCAGCTCTCCTCCGGTTGGCCTCCGGAGCGAGCGCGTTCGGAGCGAGAGCCAAGTCCTTCCGCCCGCTGGTGGTGGCCCCTCTGCTCTCTTCTCGTCGCGCTGCATCGGCTGATGCCTCTGCACGGCAGAACTTGCGTCTTTCAGCACCTCACATCTTGGCGAATACCCACGGTTGATTACGGGCTGATTAGAAGATGGTCATGTGTCCAGTAACCAGACTCAAGCATAATCAGGTTTCGAAATGCTCTCGAAATGGTCACAGCCCCGTCATAGATCAAGAAGCAGGGTCAAGTCTGTGTTCCCAGCCTGGATAGAATCCAAACCCTTCCTATGCAAACGCGCGGGTTCTGTCCTCGAACGAGTCTGCTCCAGAAGCTAGAATTTCCGCGCAAGCTAATAGCCACAATCAGAAGCGTTTTTGCCCGCAGTACCCAACAGCAGTGAAATATTTCTCCTCAAATCATTCGCCGATGTACACAACAATCCGCCGATAGTTCATGCACCACTTTGCCGGTTGCAATCTAACAAAGACCGCGCGTCTATGCAACAAACAGCTTCGTTCTGCAACACTTCACCTTTATGGTGACCTATTGCAAACTTGCCTGCAACGTTCTCCTGCTCTCGGACCGCGGCCCTCGCCTCCCCGTCAGCTGGCAGGGACGGCCACACCGCCGGCCGTGGCCAAGGGGACATGCTCAACGCTGCGCTGTTACACGGACTGATTTCTACGCCGCTCCGGCGACCGACAACGTCCGCCAGGCGGATCAGCTTCGTCCGAGCGTACGAGTACAAGTCGGCCTGCAGGGATGGTCAATGAACCCTTAGACGTCGAGAGCATATGCTGCTTTTGTTTAACGATTGGCTTGCTTCAACAAGGTCTGATGTCCGGTGCCTTCTGCTGGAAGCATGCGTGCTTTCGGCGTAAATAAGAGGCTCTTCATTTGCCGGCCCTGATTTCCCTCTGGACCGGGCCTTTTAAACTCCAGACGTTTTAGTTGGAGTACAACCGTAAGCGATTTGGCAGCTCAAAAATAGCTGCACAAAGAAGACCATTCCACCGGCTGGAGTACCAAGCAAACGAACGGGCAGGTAGAATGAAGTTATGACTCAGGATCTGGACACCTCCCACCTGCAATCTATACAAGTTTTGCTCCGTAGCAGCCGCGTTCGCATGTGTGCGTGCCTGATGCCTCTCCGTGGTGGCCTTCACGAGAGTCATGCACGCCGTGAATACCCAAGACTCGCGGAAGCAGAAGGGCAGCTGCCGCTCCTGCTTCCCCAGACTTCGCGAAAGGGCTTGGACGAACGTGAGCCCCCGATCGGCAACCTGCACAAGAATATTGACGGGTATTATCGGTGTTGCGGCGAGGAGTGTGCGTGGTTATGCTTTTGGGCAGACAACTATCCAAGCTCCGACTTCCGGAAACCTTCAGAACACCCCATGTCTGAGCCGAGGCGTGTCCTTTTAGAGTTCTTCGCTTGTCAATGTGCATCAGGAGAACATACATATCATGGGCGGACATGCATCCTTAACATGTGAAGCGTTGGGCCAAGCTGCTCATGCAGTCAACACAGTGCACCTTACGGAATTCAAACTGCAATAAAGCTGCGGTAAGAGGCTGTCCGTACCTCCCCTGGTCGCCCCAAAGCGAACAGCAGGGTTGCCTGGCGCGCGAAGACGTACTGCCGGTAGTCAAACTCCTTGACAGAGTCCTCCAGTACGAAGGTCCGGAAGGGCTTCCTGTCCCGTTGCAGGAGGGCAGCCCGATCGTCCCCTGTATCGGTCCCCCCAAATTCTCGTGGCCGGCCCTTGCCTTCGTTGCTGAGAGCAACCTCCAGAAAGCACTGCTCGAGCTCGTCGTATTCCCGAAGAGCGTCTTCCCGTAGCTGCGCCATCTCGAACATAAACGCCAGGCTTTCCTGCATTGAAAGCATAAGCAGGAGCTCAAGAAGCCGGAACGGCAGTTTAGAAATGATCCTTCTGAGTTGAAACCACTTGTCATGGAGCTTGTCTGGAGACCACGGCAAGCCCCACCTGTTTCAAGAAGAAGCCGTGAGGAAACAAACTCGCCAAAAGCAACACCGGATCTTCAAAACGCCTCAGCTGAGTGATAGCTGCCAGGAAGAGTCTATTAACAATGCACCTGCTCTTCCCGACGTACTCCAGAAATAGGAAGCACCCTCTCCATATACAGAATTCAGCGGAATCACCAACCAACTCGTCAACATTCATACGTTGCACAGTAAGGTCGTTCGTCCAGCAGGCCACTATTGCCTGTGCAGATCGCCAGTCACATCTGATAATCAAAGTGGGCAAGTATGCAGGAAAAAACGCCTCCTGGCAGGAGCTCACTTTGACCATGTGGAAGCCCACGAAGTTCCACCCTGGCAGGAAGCGGTTCTCGCTCAACTTCTTCACCTCCTCTTCATAATACTGCACCCGAGTATCAAGAGTGTACCGGATGCACTCCACAATTTTCGCCTCAATCTCCTCCCATGCTGCGGCGTCAGCGGTGAACAGATCCAGCTTGCAGCACCTAGAAGTGGTCAAGTAATGAGTTGAAACTCCTCTGTGAAGGAGATCACACGATGATTACAGGCAGGGTGGAGGCATTTTTTGATGAAATATCAGGATACTTAATGACTTGTTCAAAGCGGAGGCCTTGATCCAGACTGATAACCTGTCACTAGTTGAGAGCCAACAAGCTTTCTGGGGCCCTTAAAATTTCTCAAGCTACTCACCTTTCCCGTTTCTTCGTGTTGAAATCATCTTCAAGTCTGGCATAGACTCTCTTTGCCGCTTTGATCGCTGCATCTGTAACTGTGCTCTTGACCACATATAGGATGAGCCACTCGCGGTACTCTGAAGCGACCATAGACCGCAGGCGGGGTCGGACGGCTGCCTTGTACTCATCGGAATCCTGCGAGGGATGAGAACCACAGGAACTTAGATGGAGTGCCTGCCTCGTAAAGATACAATCTCAGCCAGCAACAACCTCTCAGCAGTCATGGTTTGAACGTCTGAAGTTTTCAACCATCCCTGCACCTCCAGGAACTATGACAAAGTTGCAATATATGAGGGAACTTTTCATTTACAGTGAAAAACATTTGTGCTTGAAGCACCGGCAGTCTGCTGTCATAGCTTGACTACTACCACCAGATAACCTCCATGGCAGTCTGAGACTTACTTCGCAAGTGACTACAATGAGGTGGCAATATGGATGGCGGAACCAGAATGGGGTCCTCTGTCCTTCGGGCCGACTTCTCAGGCGGCTGTCAGTTGAGGTGATAAATTCCACTAGCAGCTTCTCGAGTGCCACCGGATTCTTGGTCTTGTTGTTCAGAGTAGCCCTCTTGAATGGAGCCCGACTTTCAAAAGCATCCTTGATGAGCGGCCAGAAGTTCCAAGTGTCCTCCACTGCGAGGGGACAACAAGTGGCATGAGAATCTTCATGATTACATCAACAATGCACCTCGGGTCCAGTACAATCAGAACGACTCATTCAAAAATGACAAAATGAAACAATGAATGCAGGGCAACTCAGACTTGCAAATATGCAGGCTGGCATGGAATTGCGCTTACCTGACACAATCAATTTCTCGTTGACATCGGGGGCATTGTACTGCTCAGGAGTGTACAGGAAAGCCATCTTCAAGCTTTGTCAAGTATTTGAAATCGCAAATACCCCCTTTTGACAGAAATCCTTGCGAATGAAAGCTGCCCCCAATTCAGGAGGATACTTTTTTGGCCCACTACCACCAAATTTACAAGGCCGCCAGAGCTGTGCAGGATGCAACTACAACCACCACCTTCATTTACATCATAGCATCAGAATGCTTGCCACTGGTCTCAAATTTTGTAAGACAATTTGCAACCAGCTATAGTTGACCACTGGGCTCAAGGGAGGATCTGGAAAATCTGGAGAGCTGAAAGCAAAGCTGTGGCTCTAGATTGAAGCCTACAGACCAAGCTACATTCTTCTTCTATTTTGACAGGGCCACTTGTCCCCCACATAATACCGGGATGTCGAAAGATTCTTGCTCATAACCAATGACATTATGGCGTAGGCAACCGCGCCACTTTTATACGTCAATCTAGAAAGAGGATATGAGGTTGTTTAAGAGGGACCCTGAACAAGCTTTCAGTCGCCTTGCAGCAATTGCTCAAACTCTAAAGCAGCTGCCTGGTGCTGGCACACCACGAGAGACGTGCAGAAGCTGGGCTTGACGCCTTGGTCTACAGACCTCTACAGGCTCTAGTCTAATAGACCAGCAGACTCTCACATGTACAGCTAGAGCTCTTCAGACTTCATTTACCTACTTGAAGTTGAAGTTGCTTCTCCTCACGAGTAGTGTCTCCTTCCTCGCTGCACTGCCCCGATCGGACGGCAACACTGCGATTATTGACAAGGTACTGGCTATCTGACGGTCGAGAAACTATTGCTTTGTCCCTCTGTTGCGTGCCTATTTCCAGGCGCAGGGCAAACCCTAATCTGCGGCGCTCTGATCGAGGGGCACGGAGCTGTATTTACAGTCCGAGGCCCTGGCAGCTGCCAGCTGGTGAGTGACTGAAATCTGGGCGGTGAGCTGGGCTGCTGGGGCGCCACTATCCTGTGGAGCTGGGGGAAGAGTGACAGTCCTTAAAACGCTGATTGATTTTCATCTTTAGGTTTGAATCGCAGATGCCGAAGTACTTGCTGCTCAAGGTCAGGGAATTGGAGCCTAGAGTTGGGCCTCTGAAAGTGTGAAGGATGATGATGTCCCAAGCTAACTTCATTTGAGCTGTCATTGGGGCAATATGCCAGCCAGAACGAAAGCTAATCCTGGGGCGATGGACGACGTGAGTGATCAGGTTCGGGTCCTCATTTTGAGGCAGGTGCAGCTAAATGCGACGATGGCAGGAGAACATCCGCCGCCCATTCCAGCCAAGCTGATTACGCCGTTGATGACAAGGGTCTTGGCTTTCCAGCTGCCAGATGTAACGACAGGGCTGGAGCTTCTTCAGTCATATCTGCTAGATCTATGTGAAGCTGGAAGGTAAGTCTGACTGACTGAGTCCTTCATTGCACGTGTTGGTCGCTTGGTCGTATCTCTCTTAGAAGTTGCACGAATGAAAGGAATAGCAGGGCGTGTCACCGTTATTGGTGGAGTATGTTGGTACATCAACATCGATCCATGAAGCTTCTTCTCAGTGGCCAGCTTCAATTTTCTAAGATAAGCTCACTCTGGTTGCAGTCTGTCCATTGCGGAGTTAATCGACGAGCTGATGAAGCTTCCAGCAATATTTGATCCCGTATCCAAGGCTTACACAGCTGCAAGGCTATTCACTTTGACCGTACTCAGAAAGGCATTGACCTCTGCGGAGCAATGTGCTGCTACATCACCAGGTAAGTATGACCTCTCACAAAGTGTTTTCAGATCATATAATGTCAGGGTACTCTGTTTGCAAACGAAATTGATGAGTCATATGTATTAAGTCTGGTCGTTGTACACTTCATTTCGGGTGGTGCCCAAAGAAACCTGTCAAGAAGAAGTTTCTTTTGCAACTCCGGGAACTTCTGACCATCCTATCAGAACTGCTGAAATCCATAATGTGAGAGCCTTGTTGTTGCAAGTGACCAGAATGACAGAGCTGTTTCAAAGTTCCTCCTCTTGGATGCAGGTATTTGGGAAGGGCTGCACCCCCCCCATTTGGCATTCGTACTTGATGGCCTGATGGCAGTCCCACGCTTTGAGGAATTCGCAGAATATTCAGGCGATTTTACTGGGACCAGCATGGAATTCTCAAGCACCACTGGGGCTGTGCCTTTCAAGCAATCGCAAGCACTCGCAGCTTTGGAGCGGAGTCTAGCCTTTCTCTCACGAAGGCATCTGGTGCCACTGGTGAACCTAGTGCTCGAGAGACTTGCAGAGAAACTGCCGGCGGCAGGTGAGAGAATGATTTCACAGAGGTTTACCTTTGACCATGGCTTGGGCGATCTCACCCAACACAGGGCCATTTTAGCACATATGTCTCTTGATTCTAAACATGCACTTGGATTTTAAAGGTACTCATCGACTCAGACATAAGTTGCAATTTGTCTGACCAATTCTGACAGCTTACCACACTGCAGGTTCTGGAGCATTCTCAGGGATGATTTCGAATGCCTTTCATAGTGGTGGGGCCTCTTCTCCGAAATGGATGCTGCAAGCATCTTTCCTGAGTGCCGCTGGTATGTGGCAATTCAGCTTCTTGGAAAGCGACAAGGAAGAAGCAACATGCCGCCTCCTGCAAGCTGTCTGGGATTCTGCAATTCCTGACGCGCAAAGAAGCAGCCAGGTGAGCAACTACCTTCGAGATTGTGTGTTAGTTAATCTGTAAGAGTGCCATCCTTCCGGCACTTCCGGCTGACGTGTAGCAACGGTTTCTCTCTGACTCGTAGTTGGCAAAACTTGAATGAAGTAGAGCACATTTGGCGTGTTGTCAGTTGAGAGAATCAAAGTCACAGACAACAGTCTGCCAGATCCATGCAATTGCGCGAACACTGGAGAACCAGGAATGCCTTACTTTCTAATCCGGGGTAATTATGCCTGCCTGCAGAGACGTGTTCTTCTTATCGCTCTCACTGAGATCTGGCGCACCCTCTCACAAGAGGTCCACGCCTCCCCTCGAGGGGCGGCTGAATGGAAGGACCTGCTGGGGCCTGAACCGAAGTCGCTGGGAGCCCTGTTCGAGTTGCAGGAGCACTTCTTCTCGACTGCACAGAAGTGGATCAGGAAGCAGAAGATTAGGAACGAGGCCCTGTCGTTTATGCAGGTAAGCCTTAAAGATATCTACGCACGGAGACCGTGTGCAGGTTTCGAGGGCCCCTCTGCAGCGAGCCAAACAAGGGCATACACGAAAGCGAAAAAGGAGCCGCATGACTTCGACTTGGCATTCTTTGTCAAGCCGAATGAGACTAAACACCGTTTCAACCCGTGTGCGTGGACCTTTCCAAGCCCGCTGAATTGGAATCAATGCCCTCGCAGGTCTTACTGTGCCACGGAAAGCCGGAGTTCTTCAAGTCGAAGCATCGGGGGTTTTTTGTGACTGCGCTGGTGGCGGCTTGCAATGACGCACCAAGCAGAAGCGGCGCACTGCAGGTTGCGGCAGCGTATCTCGAGCAGGCACCGGAGATCTTCGTCAACCAGGTAAGAATGTTGCGATGAGGTGATATGCTCTTCGTCTTAGCTACTTAGTGAAAGCCCCGCATAAGTGGCTTGCACGACAAAAGTTCCAACATCTTACAGCCGGAGAAGCCTCACCATGAGTGCACAAGAATCCTACGAACGATAAGTGCTCCATGAGCTGGGAGACTCTCGAGTGCTTTCAAGAGTTACCGCACAGTAATCGGCTTCGTCTGCCTATCGTCTGTCTTCCAAAGCTTGGTTCGAGTTGGCTTTTCAAACAAGTTGACCGAGGCGAGTTTTGGACCATACCCTCTTGCAGATTCGGGAGGTTTGGAAAGCGGAGGTGCTGACGCTCAGCGCGGCAACCTTTCCAAAGCGCGTGGCCTGCCCGGCGACGGAGTTCAAGGCCCTAACGGAGTTCCTGACCGCCACAGCACGCCTCGAGCTGAAGCTGGGTGTGACGGCCATCCAAAGCATCCTCTCGTCACCTAGGCATCACGCAACACAGAAGGTAAACGCGCCCCGAGTGCTTCCGTTCGGCAAATCGCCTTTCATTCCTGCCTCCCAGTCTTGTTTGAATGCGCACTGTCTGAACGGTGAAATGGTCTTCTTCTGGCCCAATGCTCATCGCAACCAAATCAAATGACTCACCTCCGTCTTTTACCCGTTTCTGTCCAGGTCGTGGCACTTCGGGCCCTCAAAGCTCTCATGGCGAAGAAGTCCTCCGTCAAGATTCTTGCCTTGGACCAAACGCTGCTTCCGACAGTGAGTAACAACCCGCGCTCACTTCTCCGGGTGAAAGACTGAGCTTGTCTGCAAAGTTTTCAAAATGTGCCATCCGGCTGGAAGCTTTACTGCCATACCTCGCAGACTATGGCTTCCGACGGCTGGTCTCGTCTTTTCCACCGGGAGTCGGACAGATCTGCTCGCCCAAGAAATTGATGGAAGCAAAGATATCTACAAATGAGTGTCACTATGAAAGGAACACCTAAATGACCGAGAGCAATTAGGTCGCAATCGATGTCAGGCGACAAGTAGGTTGCAATGGTTGTCAGTCGACAAGTCAGTATCTCTATGACTCACCTCCTCTCGTATGTCTGTTGCAGATCCTGGGCTGTATTGCTGACAAAACCGAGCCCTTTCTCGCCGTCGAGGCCGTTTTCTGCCTGCCACCCGTCTGGCCTTCTCTTCCGACTGCGCGCTCGGCTGCGCCTCCTGAAGTGGACAAGGCCTCGAAGGGCCAGTCTGCTCCACAGCGGGTGGTAGATTCCAAGGAGGAAATCATGGAAGCTCTGGAAGAGTTTGCGAGGTCCACAGACAGGTATCCTACTTGTGACAATACTGCCATGCCCTAGAGTCCGTGTCCTTTTTCTGCCATGCAACTGTGCAAATAGCTCCTGAAAAATTGAAGGTCAAATCTCCCTAAACGAACAGTCTCGAAGGATGATCTTTCACGGACAAGACTGACAGGTCCTCAACGCCCTCTAAGGACCCGAAATATCCAGTTGACGATGATTGATGTAAAGAGTTTGGTTGTCCTATTTTCGACAATCTAACTCAACATGGCTTCTTGTTCACTGCAGGATGATTGCTGCAGCCGCTATCAAGGCTCTGCGGGAGCTTGCTCCCTTGCTGAGCCCTTTCGAGCTTCTGAGAGCTCTTAAGATCCATGCTTACACCGTCACGGCCGACCTTCAGGCGTCCGTTGAAGCATGGTAAGCCCTCAAGTTGCCCGTCGCCTTCTACGAGCACCTCAGTGCAGAAGTCTTCGTACTGAAAACGTGGGGACTGAAAGAGTAGGACCGGCAAGCTCAGCTGTAAAGCGATCCTTCCTGACCCCAAGCGAAGGTTCGGTACTGTAACTGGAAGTGTGACCGTGTCCAGAAACCACATAGCAGCAAAATTCACGTCGCTTGAATGTGATCCGAAGCCGGTTTCTGATTTTCTTCAGGACGACCAACCTCGAAGACGTGCGAAGTATCCTCGCCACCTTGAAAGCGGCCACTCAAGCAGCTCCAGCCGCTGAAAGACGCGCTACCAACGGATCACCAACTTCACCGGAAGCTCCGAGCCCAGTGGTTGACCCTCTCATTCCTCAAGCTCAGTGGTGCCAGACAAGACTGAAGGTGGAGGGCCTGTCCCTTCTGGGGCTAATGCACCCAGACAAGCTCGTATGGGAGAAGGCGAGAGTGGTGCTTGCAGCCCTGAACGACCCCAAGTTTCGAGAAATGGAAGCTAGAGCCGAACCGGCGCCGCTTTCTCCGAGACCGCAGGCTAGGATGTCTGCGCCGGAGGCTGTACTTAAAAGTTCCACGGAGAGCGGGACGGAACCGGTCGACAGCACGAGGGGAGACAGCGCCGCAGTTTCCAGCGACTGGGAGAGTCGGTCGGGCTCTGAAGGCGCGGAGCAGGCAGCCAGCGTTCCGTTTCTGGCGGACGCTCTCTTAGTCGGACAGCCGCAGGGTTTGGGCGCGGAGGTTTGGGAGCGGCGAAGCGGGGCGGTCGGTGTGGCTTGGGCGCCGGAGCTGTGGCCATTCTTGGTCCAGCAGAGCGAGAGGTACTCATTCTGCATCGAGTGGGTTTGGAACAAGGTCCGGAGGCACAAGACGGAATGGAAGGCCGCGAGTCAAGATAGGAGCAAGGTGCAAGGAGAGGACGCCTCGACCTCCAGAATGCCATCGGCAGCGCCTTCCGGCGTGGAGGAGGCCTCACAACATTCTGCCCAGCTGCAGCGGAACCACGTGTACTTTCTGTGCCTGTGCATGCGAGAGACGCAGCATCCGGAAGTGAGTAACGGCCTCCCGTAAGCCTGTGCTATAATGCTTGTATTTGCCGCCCTGCTTTTGGATCTTGATCCAACTATGCCCAAAAGCCTGCGCTTCTGCATCCCTCAGGATTCCATGTGAGGTTTTTACTCATGCGGCAGAACTCCCGTGGCTAGCCAATCGCATAAAAAGTTGGATGGATACAAAGGCCGGGTAGCCAGTCTATTGATACCGGAGTCTTCTTTGTAATTTTTGTCTTGGGTTTGAAGTTTCTGCTCAGCTGATGAGCGATGCAAAGCTGAAAATGTGGGTGGGAAACTGACACACATTCGACTCTGTGCGTGGACAGCTGGACCTCGACGAGGCCGCCAAAGGCCGCAAGCGCCAGGTGTTTCAGTGGGCCGACGTGGCAGCCAAGCCGGGACTTCCGCTGATGACGTCCAAGGGCGTCACCGCTCGCAAGGCCGCTCGCGCCGACGACGAGGCGCGCGCTTGGCTCAATAAGCGGCGCATGACGCGCGCAGCGGTGCGCGAGTGCCTGCAGCAGGTGTGGGAGCACGTGCAGGGCGTGTACGAGGGGGTGGCCGGCGACGAGACAGCGCAGCTCCTGCTATGCGTGGACGCCATCCACGCCTCCTGCCATGAGGATCTTATTCTGGAGGTAGGCCGAACAACGGGCATCCGATCTGCAATCTAGAAATGCTTCCAATATCTTTCTCGTCAGAGACAGATGACCTCACTGGTCGTAACAGAAGCAAGACAGCTCAACTCCGGAGAGGGGAACGTCGCTCGATTTTTATAGTAAGAAACGGGATCTTCAAAGTTGCTTTCATTGTTCGATGAGCGCACCAGGTTCGACAGTAGCATCGATAAATGGTCAGAAAGTGTGGGAAGGGCACTCTTTTTGACAACGACTATCTTTCTTTCCAGCTGAAACGATACCAAACGCAGCAGCGGATGGGCGCCGCCCCTCTCTCAACCACCACCCACCACAGCAGCAATAGCGTCAACAGCGGAAACATCATGCGGAAGGGTTCGATGCAATTGCCGGGGTCACCTACCAAACGTTACGACGGCACCTTCGAGTTCCAATCGGCGGCCACATCGGACTTCTATTACCAGGTATGAGCCCTGTAGTTTCGCACTTTCCAACTGAACCTTTGGGCCTCCTGAACCTGACACGCCGAGGCCACGACCTTGTCATTCAAGTCCCAGTAACTCCCATCATTATTGCACTTCCACTCCGCAATGCTTACAATTCCTCGTCCTCATAACGCGCCACCTTTCGCCATTCTCCCTCAAGAGGATTGCGTGCAAGCAAGCCTCAAATACAGAAAAGAGCGCTCTGATTGCTGAGTGCATTAACGCGGGCACTGAAGCATGTGTGGTTTCCAACTTCAGGAGAATGTGCTGTACGTGTTGGCTGGCCTGTACGCCCGCACGTCCCCCGAGGACTATCGAGCGGCACCAGCGCCAGTCCGGAGCGCTCTGGAGGAGTTCGTCGGGGCCTGGTCCCGGGAGCAGGACCTGAGCAACTTCGCGGGGCTGAGTGTCAAGGTGGGCCTGCTTTCGTGAAAAGCACGCGAAAGTTTAATAGACAAGGAGATCCATCTGTTTGATAGGAGCAACTCAGATTTGTCGGGCACTTTGCATTTGGGTAAAGTCAATGACAAGGGCAGAGTTGGTCAAGATTGCAGCCTGTGTTACCACGACTGACCTTCAGTACAACTTACGTGGGTCGTTGAAAGATGGGTCGGTTCTCAACGTACTCGCGCCGATGATTGTGGTTCAGACGCGACCTTTTCAACACACAACTCGCTTGCTTGGTCGAAATGTGTCCTTGAGCTTGACCGCTTCGGACGTCTGCTGAGCTCTAATTCGTCTGCAGGTCCGCATGTACGCCGTCCGCATCATTGAGCTGTACCTGCTGTACACCACGGCCGCGGTGCAGGCCGCCGTCGCCCACACCGGAGCGTCCGGTGCGGACCGAGCGGAGCAGGAAGCGGCGTTCGTCCCGTCGCTCACGTACCGGACCAACATGTTCAAATGCCTCACCGTCAAGTGGAGCCACGGGCTGCCGCCCGCAGGTTCTGCGGCAGGTTCTGGAGCCACGGCCGCCGGTAAGTCCTCGACTTGACAACTAAAGATAAGATGGTGTTAGCCGAAAGCGTTTCGGTCGGTCCTCGGTTCTGCTCTGCGGTGTGCGCCTTGTGTCGCGTTAGCTGACCAAAGTAGCATTGTCATGCTGCATGCATGATGGATCACAAGATGAAAGATGGATTTCACACCTGTCAATGTCCGCTGGAAAGAAAGTAACGGCTCTAAGTTACGCGCAACGACTCTCGGAGCTTTGTCTCGGTGAATATCTCCTGCATTGTGTCTGGCACGGCGCGTAGCATTGAGCCGGCCTTTCCCGTTTCCAGATGACACAAGGCGCAAGACCGGTGCTCCTGGGGGGAAAGGGAGCGAGCGGCCATCCAGCCTGGACGACGCAGTTGCGAAGGCGGTCGCAGCCCTCGTCAGCATGGGCCCCTTGAAGGACCGGGACTTCGAGAACACCCTCCTGCGCTACTTACAGGTGGGCCGCCGCTTCAAAGGTTGCAACCAGTCGCACATTGTTGTTTTGCGTTGCTTCAAGGTAAACGAGCGCCTGAGTTGACGAGATGGTGCTAGGCAGCTTGTCGATGAATGAGCCGCTTCGTGATGTCATTCAGTGAGCTGAACCCAGCATCATCCAATTCGAGTGTTGGATGGATTGGATGGTTTTTTGGTAATCCCCGTCGGGAGAAACAGCCTTGCCTGAAACCTCTTTCTGCAACCCAATCGAAACACTTGCGCTCCGTTTCGTTCTTTTATCTTAATTCAACTTTCTGCAGCTTCTTCCAAATGATTAAGCTCACAGGTGACATGGATTCACGGTCACTAGGGGAAGGCCTTGCATTCCTTGCCCTCCGATCCGTCTGTCGCTGTCAATTCAGGCCAATCGGAGAAAGGGAAGGAATCCTCTGCTCTTAGCAAACCGTATACCATTGCCACCTGGCAGACGTACCACGCGCGCGGCAGCCCCGGTGTGCGCGCTCAGGTGGCCGAGTCGATGGCCGTGTTCCTGCGGCACAACCCGCACCGCGTGCGCAGCTTCATCGCCGGCAGCTTCGCACAGCTCCACCGCGTGCTCGAGAAGGACGAGGCGGCCGCGCTCGCGCTCACCTACTTCCGCGCGCTCGCGCGCAGCGTGGAGAGCGAGCTGGAGGAGTGGCTCACCGTGCGGGGGCTGCACCCGGCCAAGGTGGGCCGCGTTCGGACACTCGGTTGACGAGTCGTCAACAGGATGGTATTGTGTTGGTACTAGATGGTCATTCTCAGTCGGCCGCTAAGCCATGGACGTAGATCTTGGGTAATGAGATCCGATCTACTTTCCTTTGGGAAGTAGACACGATGACCGAGCACTTTTGTAACACCTGCTTCTGTGAAGTCGCCTCAATGAGTCATACCGGCTTTTGCCCAACATAGAGTTGAAGTGCTCTTTTCTCTGCTCGCAGATCTTGCACCTCTGCCTCCTGCATCTGACGTCAACAGGCGAGGCGTTCCGCCACGTGGCGCTCGAGCTGCTTGCCACGCTGGAGAGCAACGCAGAGCGCCCCGCTGCCCTGCTTCAGGGGGTTCTACCCGCCCACAACGACGCCCCCCCCGAGCTGTACATAGCGGCGGCAGTCACGACTTCGGTCCACCTCGCGGATGCTCACCCCGAGTACACCGTAGCCATAATGAAAGAAGCGCTGTCGCTCCAGCAGATCCTTCCCAAAGACGTCATCCCCACGATTCTGACGCTGATCCAGCCGTGGGCGTGCAACTTTGCTGCTGTTCTCCGCGAGGAAACGGTCGCGGCAGACGCCGCATGGCCGCAGAAAGGGCACGAAGCGGAGGTTGCGGACGAACCGCAGCTGATCGAGATTCCGGACGCCCGGGTCCGCGCGCTCGTCGAGCGGATGCCGAATCTGCAGAACCTGCGGAGTAGCTACACCGAAGAGGAAGAGGAGCTGACGTCACCTCTTCCGTTGGCGCCACGGACGAGCACCGAAGTGGACAGAAGAGGATCGGTGGAGTCCGGGAGGGGTTCCGTTTCCGGTGGCCAGAAGCAGGAGGGTTCCGTTCGGAAAGGCTCGACGGAACAACCCAGCTCTCCGGGGAGAAAAGAGCGGGCAGGCAGCGGCTCGAAAGAGGAGTCCGTCCGGAAAGCCTCGCTTGAGTCGACACTGACCACTAAAAGACCAGCGGCAGAGAGCGTCTCGAAAGCCGAACCAGAGCGGAAGGGCAAGGAAGCGAAAGTGGCTCCTGAACCTTTAGAGACCCCTTCCTCCAAAGTCAAGCCAGCTGACGACATCAATGCTGTCCAGAAGAGTTCCGTTGGGGTGCTCATGGCCGGGTGGAAGGAAGCGGAAAGTGAGCTACAAGGGGATGCCGGCGGACAATCAGCGTCAAGCCGGAGCATAATCAGGAGGATGCTGGACCGCACTTTCAGCGACATCAGCACCGCAAGCAGCACGGTCTCTTCCAGGGCATCGCGGGACGAAGATGACGCCGACCGAAGTCTACGGAAGCGGAGCGGAACGGAACCGGAAGCCAAGCCCATGTCCCCGAGCGAGCAGACCCTGCTCTGCCTCTTCCAGATCACGAGAACCTGCGGCTGGCCCCCCGCACATTCCCACCTTCTCCGGGGGGTCTGGCAAGGCCTGCTTTTAGCCCCCCAGGCTGAAAAAGTCGGCGTCGCGAGCTTCGTGACCGATTTCCTGCTGCTCTGCCATATGTCCCGGGCGGAATCCCCCGAGACTGCGTACGTGCCCCAGGGGTCGAAAAAGCAGCCGGGGAACGAAGCCCCGGGCAGAAAGCCGGCCGGAGTGGGGCTGGATCAGCGCCTGGCGAAGCTGTTGCTGGGCTACTTGCTGGAGACGGACTGCGGGGAGGCCGTACTGCAGCGGCTGGTGGATGGCGTGCGCACCTACACTCTGGTAAGCCTCCGGATTACGAGCTTTCAATTTGATTCCTCTCACAATTTATTCCATTGAGAGGAGTCTAAGCAACAGTACGACTGCAAGTTTGACTTTACGCACGCCACGAATGTTTTGTCTGGGGCCCTACGGGTTGCTTTACACGTGTCAGCTGCTGCCTTCAAAGTAGCATCGCCGCTGGCAACAGCAAACAAGAGACTCAGGACTAGTTTCCTGAGCTGAGTTATCGAAAGCTTCAATACATGTAAACTCAAACAGAACACTCTTGACATGCCTAAACCGACCCCAACTTCCATTTCTAACAGACGACGTCAGGTCTCGACGACGGCCCGATGTCTCTCGCGTGGGAGAGCGCGTCCCAGTTCGTGCCCCAGCCGGTCGGCCAGAAGGAGCACAGTGCTCTTCTTCTGCTCGCGGATGCGGCGTATCACCAGGACACGCTTCTCGTCGCGCATTTGCCGCAGCTCCTCCACGTGGCGATCGTCCTGCTGCGGCCACGCGCCGAGCACCTCTGGGCGCACCGGGCCGCCGGGTCCTTCAACCTGTGAGTAGCACGGTCTTCAGAACGGCCTCTGAAACTAATGAGTATCACCGAGTCCGATCGTGCTGTCTGAGAGCTCAAGATGCTTCTGAGATACACTGATGGGCCGTTTACAGCCTGTTAGTCGCACTAAGAATCCTTTCCGTGTCTCTCTCTGGAGATGCCGATTCGCTTTGCCGCCTTTTCCAGCGCTTTTCTATGATGCAAAGTCACGAAAACCTGGCCGTTTAGGCGCTGGCAAGACATGCTCTTATCATCGTCGACACGGCCTCACTGAAACTGATATGCTTTTGAAGCTCGCTTCCTTGATAAGCAAATAGCCAGCTATACATTGTTGTCTTGTCCTGCGGACCGACGATGAACTTTTGCTGGCCCACTCGTCTTGATCTCCTGCGCACGGCACCACATGCTACTTGCAATCGCGGGCTGAACGGTGGCGACTTCTGTCTGCAGCTGCTTAGGGAGCCACTCGCTCATCTCGTACCTTCTCCATTCCCTGGCGGTGCGCTACGCGCCCAGCAATCTCGCGCGCGAGCGCGCCCAGACCTTTTTGGACACCTACTACGGTCCGGAGGACCCAAATCGAGAAGCAGGCGACCGGGCTGACCGAAGCAAGGCAGACGCACAAAGTGAGCTCCCAGCGCCTTTCATGATTTGATTTCAAGGACATTGGTTTCAATTGTCAATTACACTTCTCTAGACCTGGGTATGGTGTACAATCGGGTGGTGTACACCTTGCCTTTTCCGGTATCTGACTTGGCCAGCCGCTTAATAACGCTCCTGCACCATTAATATTCTACTCTCCGTTCCTGTCAAAATTCCTACTATTCACTAGGAGAAACCCTTTCTTCAATCCGCAGCTTCCAATCAGGACAGCATTATTACCGTTTCTTGCCCTTGTTCACAGAAACAATTCGAAAAAGAAAAAGCTCTCTCTAGATAATCTTGGAGGTTAAATAAACACATCTTCACACCCGTCTCTTGCAGGAGCTTCCGCAGACCCCGAGGAGCGCCTCACGACGTCCTACCTCTTCGAGCTCATCTCCCTCCTGCAGCCGTTCCGGCCGGAGCTCCGGGCGGAATGGGCGGAACAGGCCCTCAGCTGGGCCGCCGGCGCAGTCGACAAGCGCATCGTCGTCGACAGCCTGCGCGTATTTGCGGTGGTCAACAAGAGCGCTCACGTAGGCACGCTTGCGAAAGTGGAGCGGTTGCTGCTAGGGGCGGTGCGCATGCGGGACTACGTGGTGGCTGATAGCGTTCTCGACGTGTTTGCAAAGGTGAGGAGAAGTTTCGGAGGTACAAATGACTGCAGGTTTGGACACTTTGCAACCTGCCAGATGTAGAAGCTTGTGAGGGGCAGGTTTACATTGATTACCGAAAGGAGCAGTGTGGGTAGCTAATTTTTCAAGGCGGGAGCCTCCGGGTATGGTCAAGCATCTGCCCATGTCAGTTCAGCTGATTTGTCCGGATGCACCGACGTTTTCAGGGTCATCGTAAATATTGATTTACATCACGGCCTCAAAGTGGACTCCGAAACCGGACAATTTCTGTATGGGGCTTTCAAGAGTGCAAATAGCAGAACGGGGGGAATTACGCAGCGGCACCGCACCCATTGGTTCAACCTGAAAATACCCGAAAACTCCAAGAGGAAGCGGCCGACAGATGTGGTTCCACCCGACTGTTCCATCGATTTTCCTCTGCTCGTACATAAATCTTTGAGACCTGAAGAAAACGTTCCGAGAGTTTCGAAATCAAGTTTCAAGAAGGCTCGAAGGCTCTGACGGATGTGGTAATCCTAAGCAGCTCCTTGAAGCTTGGAACGGCCGGCCTTTCGCAGGTCGTCGCCCGCCTCTGCCGGCAAGACCCCTCCCGCTCCGCGGACTCCCAAAGCGTACCCCCGAGCGGCGCCTGGGAGCACGTGACGGCGTCCGCACTGGCCGCGCTGTCCTGTACGAACGTCCGCATGTTCCACAAGGCGCTGACCATGGCCCAGGTTAGTATCACAAAGTGCCAGTCGAAGGCCCGAGAGTATCCTTCGCACCGTCCATTTCTTTTTAGACGGCTCACATTGTATCTGGCGCAATAGTGGGCGCTACAAACGTCTCGCTTCACGGCAGGACTTGCAGATGGGTAACCAAAACTAGGTCAATGCCAAATGGCTGCAGAACCAGGTTTGATCAGGATTCTAAGAGAAGGTGTTGGCACGTCTGCCCGGACACAGATTCAGCTTGACCTTGCTACTAGCCCCCTTTTGGGTCAACGCCAATCAAGTTCGACTTTCGGGCTGACGGTCATGGTTGCCCTCGGAGCATGGAACCGGCTGCTAACGCGCAAAAGACATCAAGTTTGGGTTCCGGGCAGACATGCATGGTTTTTCTTGAAGCACGGAACCGGCTCCTAACGCGCTTTGTGACCCTGGATCAGGTCCTGATCGAGGCGCGCCCCGAGGGAGCCCGCGACGTGGCCCTGGACGAGTTCTGGCGAGTGGTGGGGGGCCCGGTGGATGAGACCGTGTACGAGCTGCTTTTCCCCGGGCTGCTGGACGAGAAGACGGCGCTCGGGACGCTGAGCCTGCTGGAGGTGAGGGGCTGGCGGGCGGGTTTGGAAAGTTACTTTCACCGTTGATGTTTGTTTTCGAACTGTCCACATTTTTTAATAGGAGGCCTAAACGCTTTGATGCGCCACAAAGGTGCACATACTGCAAATTCAAGTGTAGTACGGAGGCTGTCATATGGTCAAAAATTGCTACTCTACCCATTCACTGAAAATTGTGTTGAGAAGGGTGCTGAACGTCGAATATCAGGGAGACTGGCCCAATGGGCTGTCGCATCAATTGTGCCGCACGTTTTGCAATTTCGGCAAAAGGGATTTGGCTGCGGCCAATGCGCTCACGGTTTTCGCCTGCACCAGTCCTCGCGGCACTTCAAAAGCTTTCAGCTTGTTGTACCGGGCCAAGAGTCTGTCGTTTTACCGACGAGTTATTACAAGAAGCCAACAAAGAGAGTGCTGTGATACAAATAAAGAAAGCTGATGTTTGACGATGCGCAAATGCTTTGCCTCACAGAATTGCGTAAAGCTGCGCTCAACGCTAATCTACTCTACTAGTTGACCCTACCAGAAGCTCTGTCTATGCACAACAGCGCAGTATGTAAGCTCTCCCTTAAATCTCGAGCATCCCTTCCACTCCTGCAGACCTTCGCTAAGGCGCACGCAATCGCTCTTCCGGCGGACAATAAGCTGACGGTCATCGTGCTACTGCTCAACACCGCCCTCATCCACTCCGGGCAGACCCAGCGATGCGCGGAGGCGTTGCGAATCGTCGACAGCAGCGGGTGCGCGCTCGCCGACCTGAGCGCGATCTTTACCGCGCAGATGACGGGGAAGTACCAGAAAGCAGGTGAGCTATCACAGAGAGGAAGGAGGAAGCCCGTTTGTTGCACGAAACGAACCTTGTCGGTGAATGTCACACCACAAACGCCCCGGCTACCAAAGTTGCGGCACGCTTACCGCTCGTCCTTTGTTTGGTTGGACGAGCGTACTTCTAGAATTGCTGCTGGCCTGTCTTCAGGTCGAGTCTGTCTCGCTCTTAGCCTGACTTACAAGGGCTGATCCACTCTGAAAGGAAACCAACAACTGCAATCCTTCATCCTGATCACCGCATGCCGCTCCTCAGGTCCTACTTCCTTCAACCCGGCCCCCCCGCCGCCCACCTCCCCCCGCAAGAACCGGACGACCAGCTATACATACGGCCAGCGAGACAAAGGGCTCGGTTCTCCTCCAACCAGCGATTCAGCCTCGTCGGCGAAGAAAGAGCCGGATGGAACGGACGGGACCTCACGGACGGCTTCGGACGCGAACGGAGCGTCGGAGGAGGCGACACGTGTCATCAGGCGGCGGCCCAGCCGGCACGCGTTCCTGGAAGCCTTCTTTAACGGCTTTGCGCTTGCGTTCCCGAGGTGCGAGATCATGTCTTCCGCACAGCGATTACACGGGAATTTATCCCTGCACGCCAATTTGGAAGCCAAACCTTTCGCCGGCTAAAACGCACCTAACACTTCCCCCTCGTCTTATTTCTCTATCTTCGCACCTCCCACTCTATCCATGACTCCGAGACTGACTTCTGCGCGTTCCTTTGTCTCTCTTTTTTACAAAAATCGGAGACGGACGTAGCCTTTCTATTTCCTCGAGTCTGAGCGGCTTTTGAAAGTTACAGAAAGCATGGAAAGATGGAAAGATGGAAAGATTTTTTAAAAGAACTTCCTCTGTGTTTTGCAGCGAGTACACGTGGACCTTCTCCCTGCACGCCCTGCTCGCGCTCGTCGGCCGGGGACCGTCCGCCTGGCGCGTGCCGCTCACGGACGTCCTCAGCAGCCTGCTGCACGCGCGCGCGCACGCCTGGACGGACGCCAACTTCTCGGCGGTCGCTGACGTCATTGCTGACGTCCCCACCGCCCGGCCGGCGGACGACGGGGATACGAAGCGCAGTCAGGCGCGCGGCGACATCCGGGCGCTGCTGAGGGAGCACGCGTCGCCGGCGGTCGCGCAGGTGAGCACTTTGCGGACACTCTGCTCAGAATGTTCGGGCTCCCGTTTGAATTCTGTGAATAGGGCTGCATTTATTCGGGCTCTCGCTTATTAAAAACTGCCACGTTTGGTCATGGAGACGCAAAAGTGCCTCTTCACGTGCATCAGGAGGTAAAAAGCTCATGGAATGAAATGAATCAGAAGTACAGGGAAGGAAGAACAGACGCGAGGCCGCTGCAAACCCGGGTTAATGGGCGAGCAAGCGAATCGACCATTATATAAAGGCTACCGAACGAGAAGAAAGCCTTCGAAGCACGGTGATTGAGCGAGCAGAAAAAGCATGCACAACGACGGGCGGAACATCGTCTTCAGAATTTGAAGCGCCCCTTTTGTCACTCTCTTGCAGCGCGTTTTGGATGCAATCCGCCCACTCGAGACTGGCAAAGAGAAGCCAGCCTCTCCCGATCCCCGAACCATGTTGAACCTCCCCCCCGGAAAGAGGCCGCCGGGACCGGCAGCCACCGCGCCCAACCCGCCGGGCGCGCCCGGGGAGTTCCTACCGGGCTACTCGGCAGGCAGTGACGCCGCACTTTCCAGACTGAAGCGCGCCGAGAGGTGGCTGGAGTATTTGATAGCGAAAGAACGGAGACAGAGAGATGCGAAGCGGACTCCCCTCCAGGGTGGGGGGGTAAGCTCAGGTGGGGACAAACCTCTAAACGAACGGGATGTCGAAGCTCTCAGTCGACCCGATCAGAGGAGCTCTAGTAGGAGCCTTCCGCAAGAGTCCCCAGGGGATCATTCCGTGGGCAGTGCTTCCAGGCGGTCGAGCGCGGGGCCTGAGGCGAACATGGCAATAAGAGCGGACCCACGACGCGGTGTGGCGGTAAACTCACGGCAAAACTCGACCGACCCGGGTAATTCCGGTGGACCATTGTTGCGGCTCGCCCAGCCGACGGAGAGCTCCGCCCGGCGGAACAGCCTGACAGCGGACGGAACGATGAAAGATGCGTTCGTCGACAGTCTTAGACAGCAAGACAGCAGCAGGGATAGGCCGCTCAAAAATGGTCAGGCCGTTGCGCAGAACGGTGGGCAGGGGCCGGTAAACGGACAGCCCGTGAGCATAAAGGGCTTACTTAGCAAAAGCAAGATAGGGAAAGAATGCGCGCTCAGTACACAGGTAGGTACAGCACCGCTTCTTCCGTCGGGGAAGACGGCCCTCGTTTCAGACATCCAAGGGGACAGTGGGCCGGTCGACATTACGGTTGAAGAATGGACCTTGGGATCGTCGGGTCATTGGCAATCAAGCACTGCATAGATATAGGGGACATCCACAAGGTTGATTGCGGGCGCTTGATTGTCCAGTTCTCTGTTCCGGATCATGCAGTAAAGAGATCCGACTTTCCAAGGGGCACGTTGGTATATCAAAAGTGCGATAAAAGGGCTGTGTAGCATATGAGCCTGGTGAAATGTATGGACGTTCTTGAATTGCCACTTAGACTAGATAGAAGCCCGGGTTGGATATTTTAATTGTATAATGGAACAATTGGGACGGTGGCAGTACTGAGCCATTCTTGTATCTCATAATGCATATATACACGTCGCCGCCCGCGGCGATGACTTCAATGCTTCAACTCGCAAAGGTTGCATTGTTAAATCGATAATTAACGCATGCAAATTATATGACCCCGCGATACAAACTGCGTCAGTACACTCACGAAACATCATCTCAACGCGATATATGCGGCGCTAGTGCGCCGCGACATCCGATCTGCAGATTCGCAGTCACTGGGAAGTGATCGCGCGCTATATAAGTTCCTCGATCCAGATGCTAAAAAACGATTCTTGCTAAGTTTTTGAGTCTGCTAAGGTTTTAAGTCTTACTGCAATTAAGTCTTACTGCAATTAAGTGTGCAAACCTGCAACTGCAAAACTGCAATTGCTAGGTTACCTAAATTATCGAGTCTTCTACTGTCCGACACTTTACCGACATGGTGGGCCAAATGCTTCTTGGAATCCATACAGTCTCATGCAAATTGTCGTCACAAAATGAGCACAACTCTGATTGCTCAAACATTGAGCATGGAGCTGCCTGTTAACCTTGACGACAAACGTTCAAGTCTGCTGGCCTCTCTTTGTAACAATGACCAGTCCGACCAAGGTCTTGCGACTAAACGATTGCAAAGGCTCAGTGTCAGATAGGATCTGCCATATGAAAATCCTGACATTCTTCGCAAGTTAGAGCTCAACATCCAATCGTTGACTTCGTTAAGTGCCAACTAAGCTCGACCCGTGACTATGAATTGAATTGAATTGAATCAAATTGAATTGCTTCTAACATCGGTTCGGAGCCTTGCTCGGCTAAGTCGACGGATTGTTCTTGCTATGCTAAGCCTTGAGAATGCTACTTCTCCTCTCGGTACATATGTGCAGATACTTCCCTATAGCTAAGCTATCTTCCATATTGGGGAAAGTTTAAAGGCTTTTTGTGCACCTATGCCCAAATAGAGATTGGAAGAGCCTTCTAACATCTTCATAAGCAACGCAATCAAAAACGAAAATGTATTTCGTCTTCTACTGCACCCGTATCGCAGACTTGGCAAACACTACGGCACCAAGAACACATGGTTTGTGTACCTGCTTGGCAACGAAAGTCCTCACCATTGAGTCACGCACCCTGTAAGCTCATACTTTAAGCAGCTTCGTCTTCACAAACTCATCAAGCAGGTTATTAGGCCGAACGTACGTACTCCCCGCGAGGATCTCCCGGGCCACCAACCGGTAGAAAGCCGTCGTCCCGTGCAGACCGTCCCAAAAGAGAGACCGGTCAGGATCGTCGCAAACCGAGAACCCGGGTGCGGAGCACGGGGTGGCCACGTTTGCCGGCCCGCCAGCGCCGCAGCACGCGCGGTCGGCCACTGTAAGACCTGCGGGAAAACGGAATCTTTCGAAGAAGTTTCAGAAGGGCGTCTAATTACCAAGACGTACGAAACGCGACCTCAGCTTTGCTGGCGCCGCTAGTGTAATCTGCGACCCGACACGATATGTTTGCAGAAATCGGAGTTTGCAGGAATCAGAGTTGAAAGCTATAGAGCCACTCGTGAAGCGGTCCGCGTACCGTCGTGCAGCCACGAAGTACGCTGTTGAGGCGCCTACTGTAAACTGCAATCAATGTGAGTGTCTGGAGTACTTAAATTGCTTCTCTGCCCGAGTGTGTGAATGTATTCGTTACCAGATTTGATTGCAGGAAACCATCATCGGAACCCTTCTACAGCTTCCAGTTAAAGAGGTCCTTCGTGACTTTCTCCAATATCAGCTATTCACAACAACAGACCGGGACAAAGACGTCTTCCAACGTGACCACGTTCACTTGGTCAGATTAGACTCCGTTACCCAAGAGACGCCTTTTCCGGTTCTCTCTCTTTTCCATCTCGAGCTGGGTTCAAAACGTACCAAAGGCGGCGGGATACGCTATGGCGTCGCTCGTAAAGTTATACAGGTCGCCCAGCAGAACAGTAGCGTTGGGAAGCGCCGCCCCTAGTTGCTGCACCAGCGGGTCAAACCCCGCGCTCAGGGTTTGGACCACGGGTGCGATCGACGCAAAACAGGTGCCGGTTGGGCTTAGGTTTCGCAGTGCAGGGGCGCAATGGGCGGGTGGCACGTTTGCTATGAGAATGTTGCGGGCGCCGAGAGCGTATGTGTCCTGCGGAGGGGGGAGGAGAGCGTATGAGAATTGTGCGTCGAGAGCATATGCGTCCCGTTGGAAGAAGGACGAGGGCGTATTGGAGTCGGGCGCCAAAAGTTTGTTGCTTATGCACAGAGGCGGAGCAGAGCGTATGAGGGGAGGGCAAGAAGCGCAATCAAAAGGATTATAGAAGTCGGAATGTGGACAGGCAATTGCGTATCCCCTCTGCGACGAAGGCAACCGGACACACCTGGCCGCCGGTTGATTGACAATCATGGCACGATAAGGGGAGAAGAGATTGGTCCGCTTTGCGGACAAGTGCAAAAGCTCTCCCTGAATATGCATTCATGGGTGATATACGCATGTCTCCATGGTTGGGCGGGAAGAAAGCTGGAGGCTGGTTAGGACCACAATTCGGCGTTCTTATGGAGCCAACAACTCACAAGATTTGCTGTCGCTGTGAACTACTTCAGGCAGCCGCCTCGAGAAGGCGGCTCACCTCCGGAAGGCGTTTTGAAAGGCAAAGAGGGAATGGAAGCCAACGGGAAACATCGGAGGATAATACGTGCAGAAAGAAAGTAAGTAGGCTTGCGTACCGTGACTGCCGATCTTATGGAAGCCAGCACTGCCTGCGCAAGCCCGGCGGGGTTCGTCAGCACCTGGACGAAGTTTCTGAGATCGTTTCCGCCCGTGGCAAACACGTAGAGCGCCGATCCGAAGGCGTCGGGGTGGGGGAACCGGGGAGTGACGTCAGCGGCGGCCGCTGATGTGCGCCAGTATGTCGCAGAGTCCTGGACGAACTTCGCAAATAGCTGGGTCTGCGAAAAGGGTCGGAGAGACGAGCTCAGAATCATTCGGAAGATAAACAGTGTTAAGTATCAGATATCCCGAAGCTTGAGGTGGGTCAGAGCTTGGTCAAAGGCTTGTGGTTCGTAAGCAATTTGCCATGGTTCATTCAACCCTGTCTCAAGGCATATGGAAGAAGGGCTTCCGAGTTGAAGTGCAAGGCCCGCACAAGGTTGCTGATCAGGTCGTGATCCAATTCGCAAATAGAACCTACAGTCGTCCATGCTCGGTCGGCGTTCATAATCGTGTTTCGACTCCGCTCTTCACAGAACTTCAATTGCCAATGAAAACCCCAAGGCCCTAAAATCCGGAAACCCCAAGACCTGGTTAAAAAGGGGCATTGCGGTCTTCGGGTTCCCGGTGGAGTTGAGCGCGCCGCTGCCGGCAGACGCAAAGTTGGCCCCGTAGAAAAAGTTGCCACCTGGCAGCAAAATAGGGTCTCCGAAGGGGAGGCCCAGGAACTCTGCAAGGTAGTCAACGGTGTTGGGGCCGTTGCAGGGGCGCCCGCTGCAGGAAAGAGGTGGGATTCTGAATCCGATCCGAGCTTTGTTCTTCCCTCAAAGCCGCTGTGAAAATGCTTTTCGTTGACCGTTCTTACATACCAATCTTATACGGCTTTGAGAATGGCGGAGACCGAATGCGACTTTATGGTGCGGCGTGAGCTTCGGCATTTTGGGAGTTTCTGAATCCAAGGAGGCACTAAGCATCAAACTTGTTTTCCGGCATATCATCAAACAACTCCACTACCATTGATCTATGTGGAGTTGAGCAGGACTCGAGCAAACCACGAGTTGAGCAGCGGTAACATCTGAAGCGCCATAGATGAGTTGGAAAAATGTGCTTCTCTCTTGACAAATGAGTTTTGGAAAAACGTAAGTTGTTTTATCTTGATGCCTCGGGATCAATGCCTTACGTGACGTTGAGCCTGCCTCCGGGCGTCACTCCATTTGGATACCCTTTGGCGGAAGATTCAGGATCGAGAATGACGCTGCGAAATAGAGGACACACTTGAGCTTGCAGACTTTGGAGCCCTGGTCTTTTTAGCTTACCAATGCCGTCTATAAAGGTCGCTGAAGGTTTGCCTCACGTTCAGTATGACAAAATTTTCGATTGATCTGTTGGAAGGACGGCTGTGAGAGATCCCAAAAGCTCGATCAGCAGCTGATTGCATGTTGCGTAACACTCACAGAAAAAGAATTGTTCATGTCTCTGCTTAAACTCCTCACAAACGAGGGTACAATAGCCAGCAGTGAAAAGTCAGATGAAAACTTATACGAGTACATTTATGTGAAAGAACTGGTCCCTGCTTCTTTTGAAAGTATACAGATCCAGTATGTTACCAGGCCGCCGGCGGGGCACCTCCTGTTAGGGCTCCCAGAGGAGAGGCGTGTAGCGCTCACATATTTCCCGTATCCACCAGCGAATCCCCTATAAAGAACGACAAAGACACGTCAGCAATATATGCTTCTTTCTGAGTTCTATGCTGTCCTCGAGGTGTCGCTCGTCAAGCAATCAGAAATCATCGTTTAATAAGACTCATAGGCGCTCACGCGAATCAGCCCTAAACTTGCAACCACCTTCCGTGTTTGCTTCTGACAGGGAGGTTGCGGTAAGATCAATCACAAGATCCTTTTCACGCGCATAAGCAGTCTAAATCGATGCTGGATGATAAGAGCGATGACCATGTGTCTTCGTCTCAGCGTTCAACTTCCATTTTCAGTTGTTTCTCCTTATGGCTGCTATAGCTAACGTAGAAATGTTTCAAAAATTGCAGACAAGTTGGTTGACCAAGCCAAGCTCCTTGATCTGACGATTCTCCAGTTCCAACCAGATATCCGCCAAATACAGCCGTACAACAGTGGGGCACTGGTAATGGCGGAGCACAAAATGATCACATCAAACGTGATTCCCAGCTGATACATTGGTCTGATCATGCCACCATGACGTGACGCTTTATCTACTTGCTGCTTATTACCACCATCCAATAACTGCCAGAGGGCGTTGTAAAAGTGAAAGCAGGAAAAACGGAATGTCAGATCAGCTGAAGCCTTCTGCATATGCTACCGTGTGCACCGACATGAACTATATTGTAAAGAAAACTCACCAAACACAAACAGAGCTGGGAAAACTGGATAGACCAGGCTTGCTTTATAGACAAAGCCATTTGCAGTCGCATTTAGGGCGACCGCTGGCCCTGGAGATTGGGAAGTATTTGCCGCACTCTGCAGCAGCCTCCTTCCTATGCCGGAAGACGTTTCCACTGCCTCACCAGGCGTGGCACTGCGTTGATAAAAGTTGAGGCTGAAGGCGGGCAATGCGCAGGAAAAGACGATAAGAACTGCAAAGAAGTGTATGCGAGGTGCCCCCATAGTACTTTTATGAAGTTTTGATCTCTCCGCTTTTGATTGCCCCCTCATACCGATGTTGACCGGATCTAGCTTCTTCTGGCAGGCGTTTTGCCCGCATTGCAAGCTCTTCAACCACTCTAGATAGTCAACCTCGATCTTGCTCAGCTGCTCCACACCAAATAGAATGTCCTCCCCCTTGGAAGTTTTGCGATGTAGGGTTTAGTATGGGGTTTAGAGTTTTTCTTTTTCGAAGCAGGAATCTGCTGGGGTTGGTAGAAGGTTAGTCGCTCAAGTTTCGATCTCGGTCAACCCGGTCAACCCGGTAAGGGTTTCGACCAATAGGATCACGCATAAAAATGCCTTTGCCATTTCGGAACATGTAGCTTCCCTCGATCCCTCGGGGATCCCTCTAATATCGTAGCAATGCCTTTGCAGGACACGAGCGTTGCTCATAGGACCACACGGAGGGCACCCCTTTGCCTCCTTCCAAGCCGAAAGAAGCGGTGGACGTCCAAGCCGTTCGAGGAGCAGTCCCGTCCAATTCGAATCCAGCGTCGACAGGGCGTCCACTGAAGGAGAAAGATAGGACATCGCGTGAGTTGATCTCCTGTTGATTTGAAGAAGCCTCTTTCTTGGCGGGGGCCGTCCTTGAATGCTCGAGTAGGAAAAGCCCAGAATGCAGCTTCGAGCCCCGCTGCCTCGATGATGATTTATAAGGTTCTATTAGTCTTCATGATTGTCGCACATGTCGTCAAGACTTGGTCAAGACATATTCAACATGTTCGCCCTGCTTGAACACGTGTCTCTTTGGGATTACTTCTATCAAAGCGAGATTTCACATTCTGAGAGTAAAGGTGGTATGAACTTAGCCTTATCTGTGGCTCGTTAAATGGTGATGCACTGAGGCGCATCAAAGTAAACCGAGGGGCAGCAGAAGCGTCTTCAGCTGTCCAGAATTGCCAGCTGGCTAATCCGCTCCAAAATGCGGACGGTACTATTTAGGATCTAAGCATGCTGAACGGGGATGCAAGACGGATTCTATACAGCTTGGACAGGTCAACATGCTCAAAAGCTCGATTGGTTAGTATGATACGGCCGAGGTATGACTGCTTGTTCTGTGACTGTACGGCAACAAGCTGGTATAGAACATGAGGCTCCTAGTTGGTTAGTGATTGAGTCCGAAGTGTTACCATAACGGTATCAGGAGGAAACAAGCAATCGGAACTTCGATTGCACATTGAAGCAAGCAGTGAGAGGATTCATCTTCTGTGTTGAAGTTGCGTATGGTGACCCCGCAATTTGACGACGTTCAGCTCCATGTAGTCAGATGCATGCGCTCCGACTTACAAACATGTCACAGGTCGTCGGTATACCGGCCAAGGATCAAACTTACGATCATTGCATGAAATCAAAGACAACTTAGGTCGACAATCTCAGCTGTTCTTCGCGGATCCTAAACTCAATAATTCAGTTATATCTGAAGTAATGATTGGAACTCGGGACTGCACATGTGCCGTACGTTCGAACCATGCGCGCATGCGCATGCATGAGGTCGCCGGAAGTAGCCGCAACAATCGAGGATGGGTCAGGAGGTCGCAAACTAGAAGCTGGATAAATGAAAGTCTAAGGGTTCCTCAAACGTATCCTCGAGCTGGCGGCATGATCGATCGGATCACTCAGGCTACAACATCATGGATTCATACACGGCACGGTACTTAAATACGCATCATTAGGCTGAGATACATGCTTTAGATTGCGAGTAGCCGGTTGGTACTTCAAGCATGGCGCTTGCAGAGCAAGTGGCATGCTCAACCGGATATTGTTGCAAACGAGAGCACGACCAGACAGGTTGAATTCATCCTTCACTGCTCGCTTGAGCGGGACCTCTCAAATGTTCGCTCCCGCCCAGGTTCAAATGCGGTCTTCCAGATACAACGAAACGACACAGACAGACTTCTCCAGCTTCACTTTCAGGCATGTGTTCATCATCTTGTAGATGGTTCGGGATCCGGCTCATCAGCCTCACTATCGCCTCCGTCTTCCTCCTCGTCCTCCTCTTCCTCTTCTGACTCTTCTTCCCCTGCCTCTCCGTCCTCGCTTTCACCTTCCTCATCGACCTCCTCTTTTGCCCCACTGTCACTAGCCTCCTCTTCGTCCATTTCCTCTTCACTTTCTCCTTCCTCCTTCTCTTTCTCCTCGCTGTCGGGCCGGGCTGACGTCTCCCTTTGCTCCCCCCCTTCCTCCTCGCTTTCGTCGTCGATGACCCAGTCCTCCCCTCCTGCCGCTGGCGGCACCTCACCAGCTCCGCTTTCAACAACCCAGGTCGGAACTTTCTTTCGCTGGCCTCGACCGAGAGTCTCGTCCTCCCGCATATCTGCCAAACCCCCTCTTCCAGAGCCCCGCTTGCCCCTCTCCACCGGCACTGCGGCCAGCTCATCCGCCTCCCTGTCGAGCTCCTTCCCCGCACCTCGGCCCGGGCCCCTTCCCCGACCCCCTCCCCTGCCTCGTCCCCTCCCTCTTCCTCTCCCCCGGCTGCCCTCCCCCCCCCGCTGCCCGCCCCGATCTGTCCGTGAGTTCCGGGCGCCTCCAAGATCTGAGTTGGCAGCTCGAACGGCTCTTTCGCAGGCGAGTCAAGGGCCGGCCAGACCCTGCCCCGCCCTCTTCCCCTGCCCCCCCTCCTTCCACCTCTCTTACCCCCTCTTTTCAAGCCACTGCCCGGCGGCCGTCCAATCCTCTTCTTCCCGAGAAGAGGGCTCACTTTCTTGGAAGCCATGCCAGGAAGCTTGCCGGAAGGCTGACCAGGACCCGGGACGTGCTCTGCTCCCGCAGGGGGTACCGACAGCAGCAAAGAAGCGGGCAACTCCCACCCCCCGAAAAGGTTCTCCTTTTTCCCGTCCCCCTGCCCAACCAGACTCCGCAAATCGTTCTCCTTGTCGTATAAGAGCGCGCCGTCGAACGCCAGCAGCCGGAGTGCGACCGCCGCCGTCGTGCGGGGCAGCCAGGGCAGCACGGAGGGCCCGCTTTTCTCTCCTGGGAGGGCCGCGCTACCCCTGTTGGGTGCCCCCCGGCTGAGGATCTCGCTCGTGGTTTCGAACGATGGGGCGAGACCTCCGCTAGAGCGCATGACCACGCCCTCTATTTCCGCGAGCGCTTCTAGCAGGTCCAGGGGGGTCGCCGCGCGCTTGACCTGGTTGGCCCACCGGTCGCGGTTCTGCTCCATCCACACGTTGTCCACGTACTCCGCAGGGATTGTCGCCTGGCACAACGAAAGCGGGAGCACAGCTTACTGGGCCGTCCTTCGAACTTTTAAAGATAGTGACTCGGAAGTGACTGGATGTGTATGTTCGGCTTTCACTCCCATGAGCTCCTAATGCTCATAAGAAGCCAAGAAGCCGCTTCTCTCCGATCTCGGGCTGAAGTTACAGATCTCCCTTCAAAGTTTAGGTTTGAGAGTTGATAATAGAGAAAACACATTTCAAAGGCTTGCAAATAGAAAGCGTCCATCCAAACATTCTTTTCAGGCCCTGATTTCTACACCTGGCACAGAAATCTCACCGCCAATGAGGGCTTCAACAAGCTAGGAAAGCGGCAGCCTTACAGCAGACCAGCATAACAACCAGGAACCCTTCATGTAGAACCAAGCGTCCCGACCAACCAAGAAATTAGAACTCTCACGTCGTCACGACAGCCCTCACCTCCACATCCATCAGTTCCGCTTTGATCTTCTGTATTCTGGGGGTGGGCCTCTCCAGAGGCGCGAATCGCGGCCAGTCCGGGTCGCCCGCTTTTACCTTCTCCTCGCACTGCTCCAGATGCTGCGTCCACGCCTCGAGCGAGATCGCGGTGTGCTCGTGGGTGACGTGGCAGAACTCGCAGTGCCGCTCCTCCTTTGGTCGCAAGACCTCCTGCAGGGGTGAGCGATTGTCAGACTGGAGGGCTTCTGATTTGGAGCGCAGTAGTAACATCCGGGTTGACAAATTTTAGTGGAGTGAGTCATCAGAAAGACCATTTTTGTCTTCTGAGTTTTGCCGCGGGGACCAGTCTGGCCATATCGTAATGTCCATTGTGAAGGCGCTACGTGTCCAAGTCCTGTTCAAGCCGGGTGCTTTGAATGGGGAGAAGCAGCGTTTGGACCATGTCCGGTCGAGTCCGAAAGGTGGATAGCGGGAAGCGCCGCTAGGACTCGTTAACAACAACTGAAGAAATATCTGTCTCAACGTATCATCGATCCGGCAGAGACTGAACGTAGAAGTTTAAAATGCAGACGTCCAGTAAAAACTCTCAGCAAAGCGAAAATATCAGGACACGACGCATTCGGCACGCCACACGTATGCAACCACGCCTTACCTGACAATACTCGCACCGGTGAAGCTTCTCCGAGAGCCCCGTCTCCTCGTCCAGGATCTTCCCCGCGCGCGTCTTCACGTCCCACAGATATTTCTCCGCCTCCTCAAACCTCGCCAAAACCTCCGACCCCTGCCGTTGCAAGCTCAACGCGCCCTCGGCACCCTCCCGCTTCTGCAGCTTCCGAGACGGACCGAGCGCGCCGCCCTCCGGCCCCTGAGGGGGATTCCCCAGCACCCGGAGGAAGACTGTCGGGGGCTCGATCGGCGTGGTTGCCACCGGCCCCGAATGGTAGAAATACGGTTCCGCAACTCCCCCGAAAGCCTGGCTCTGACGCCCCGCTGACAGAACTTGAGGGTGCAAAACGACGGCGCCAGGACTCTGCATCGCACCGTATGGGGCGCCGGAGGGGGGGAAGGAGAAGCGCCCGGCGGGCAAGGGCTGAGGCCCCCCGAAAAAGGGCTGCTGGTGGGGCCAGTTTGCGGTAGGGGAGCGCAGCGGCGGAGAGGCGAGCGTGGGTCGAAAAGCCGAGCTGGGCCGGCCGCTGGGGAGAGCTGGGCCGCCCACGTTGCTCAGGAACCGGTTCAGTCTCTCGAGCTCCTCGTACTGCGCCCGGGCGACTTGGGCGTGCAGCGGCTCTTCGGGCAGAGGGTTTGCAGGTCCCGAGAAATGGGCGGGGGGGGGCTGCGGGGACCGGTTCTCCGCGAAAGGCCCCTGCAAAGGGAGGGGTTGCGCGGAGCGATTCTCGAGGAACGGTCCCTGAGACATGGGGATGGGCCTCGCCAAGGACTGGGCGGTTAGGATTTGGGGGGACCGATTCTCTGCAAAGGACCCCTGAGACACGGGTACAGGCCTTGTTGACTGGCCCGCAGCATCTACAGCGAGCGGCCAGGATCTGGGGCCGGGCTGCATTTGGGAAAACTTTGCCTCAAATGGGGAAGAGGGTTTTGAGGGGCCAGTTTGATGCTTGTTCTCTTCGTTATGGGGGGCCGAGTGGTGAGCATGCGCTTCCGCAGCTCTGAACGGACTGTGCACTGAAGGAGGAGCCGGGAGGGAACTGGTTGTTGGCCCCTGGAAAGCATGTTCAACTGGCATCCGATCCTGGGGCGAACTGATTTGTCGCTCTGGAAGGCTCTGCCAGTCGGGTTGCCTCGCTTGTGTCTGCTGCGCGGGTTGGAACGGGCTCTCGGTCGGCAGTCGTTCGCTTCCTGGACTGTCTCTCCTTGACGAGAATGCCGAATGATGCTGTTGGAAAGACGGGGGCCCGTCCACTGCGGGGCTTTGAAACCTGAGGCCGCCCCCAAACGGTGAGAACGCACTCGGCGAGGCCGTCACGGGTGACCTCAACTCTCGAGAGCCTTGCAAAGACTCCGCCCGTCTCTGCTCCGCCTCTCCTGCGCTCCCCTGCCTTTGCGGCGTTGGCTGTGCCCCTCCCGCCTGAGGCCCCTCCGTTCTGCTCTGGGGGGGTATTTGGAGCACGGGTCGAGTCAGTGGCTGCATTCCCCCACCTTGCCGCAAAAACTGGCCCGAACCACCCCGCATGCCCCGCTCTGCGGACCCCGCCACAGCCAGCCGTGGCGGCAAGCCCCGGCCGTTCTTGCGCATTCCAGTCCGGATACGCGGTCCCAGCCGCCGCAAGCTCTCTAACAGTGCCGCTTCTCTTCGACCGCGTGCGTCCAGACAACCCAGTAGGGCCTCCAACCCAGCTTCCGAGTCAATCGACTCCCAGTGCCAGTCTTCCGCCGATTGGAAGTAGATCCGTCCGGTGTACGGACCCGCATCGCTTGCCCCGCTCGGCTCGAACAGAAAGTACCGGTTGTGCCGGCGATCCCTCCCGATCTCGAGCCCTCTGATCGCGTTTTCTTCCTCGCATTTCCGCAAGAGCTCGCCTCGCTGGCTCCTCGACTGAATCGGCTCTTCCTTCTTGCCCGCCTCCCCCACATTTACCTCCCCCCCATTCTGCTGCTTCTTCCGCTCGGCCCACATCTGCCGGCGCAGCGCCGCCGTCACTTCAAAGCGCTCCTCGAGCGCCTCGCGGATGATCTCCGTGTCGTTCACGGCGTTCACGAGCGCTCCCAGCGCCTCCAACCGTTCCGCCACGCTGAGACTCGAGTAGTCCGACCGCAACAGCGCTTGCACGAACGGCGCGCCTTCGTTCACCACCTCTCCCAATGTCTCTTCCTCCTCCTCGAGGTCCTCTTCATCCTCCTCTTCGCTCCCTTCCTCCTCCTCGTCGCAATCTAGGCTTTGCACCTTGGTTTCGACACCGATGCCAGCACCGTTCTCTAGTTTTGCGTCCTCTTTCGACTGGTCCTGGAGCTCAGGCCCCTCTTTCCGCGACTTTACTTCGCCACCCTCCCCTTCCAACTGAGGCCCCTCGTGAACCCGGCTGAGCGCATCCTTCCTCACCGTTTCGCTCTGAACCTTGCCCCCGAGAAGCTCGTCACTTTCGCCCTTCTTTACACCATCCGCTTCCAGTTCCTCGGCCGCCGGAACCCCGACCTCCTCTAAATCGGCGGCCGTGCCCTCAGACAGAGCAACTTCCGCCTCGGTGCCCGGTTCGCATTCTTCGCCCTCTTCCTCGCCCTCCTCTTCGTCTGCCTCCTCCACATCACCGAGCGCTCTCTGGAGCATGGTGCTGGCTGACCGCCGGTACGCTGCTACCAGCCGGTACCGGTTGGTGCCAACGACGCCCCCAACGCGCGAAAAGCACGAGTCCCGCAGCGCACTCACGATTGTGAAGTCGGCCGACTTGTGCTCGCTCAGGTCCTTCAGCCCAGCCTCCTGCAAAGTCATACGGAATAAGAGTTTCGAACAAGTCAAGCGGCGCGCACGCTTTGAAGAATTCAATCGGTTTGTAGAGATCACAGATTAAGAGGGTCCTAGAACGACGACTCGTCCTCTTTAGATCCGAACCCGTTTTCCAGGCCAACCGAATTTAGAGCTGCCCTTGGACAGTGCTGACAGCAAATTGTCCAAAAACGGGCTTCCAGAAGAATCCGGTTTCAATCCGTTCACCACTCCAGCAGCACCGTCTTGGCTCGGCGATGATATCAAGATTCGTCTCCTACCCTCAATCGTTCCACCAACAAGAAGCACCTGGAAGCAGTCAGAAGAAGGTGATTGACAACGGGGAACAGCGCTCCTCACCTTGATCTGAGCCACAATTTCTTTGATGGTCAGCCCTGCTGGTCCGGCCTCGGAGAGAACATGGAAGACGGCGTACTTCACAGTCCCCACTGTCAGGGGCTTGTATGGCTTGCCCTGGTGTCGCCCCCTCTTTTGAGACCGTCCTGCCTTCGAAGCTCTTGCCTTTCGCCCGTCAATCTGCATCCAGTATGGTTGTGTCAGCGTTAAGAAACAGCTTTAGAAACTCCCTGTCAGGCCTCATTACAGAGGCAGCCGTGCCCCGATAGTTGTTGCCAGATTTAACGTTCAATGTTCTTCAATTTTTGCCCCCAGAACCAAAAAGTCGCCACCATCAATCAAAAGGTTCGATCGCAAGCACCGGAGACAACTCCGTAACTGACAGGTCAGCCTTCTTTCAAAATCCTCTTCTTGCCTGAAAGCCCGAAGACGACATGATTAGAAAGACACTAAACAGAATCGTACCTGAGCAATGGCTGCCTCGACCGCGGCTCCAGACCTCAAGAGCTCAGCTCCATTTTCCCCGTCGCTCTCATCCTCGAAGCTCTCCTTCTTGTCCGCATACTTCGGCCCCAGCCCAGCGCAGATCGCCCACTGCCTCAGAAGCTCGGGCCACGTGAGCGCGTTCAGGTCCCGCCACCACTGCTTCACATCGAAACCCCATTTTGCCGCATGCTCTACTAGGGGGTGCACTGGAACCAGTGGCGGGAGCCCCCCTTCAGGAACAGGGTAGCTGGCCGCCTCCGCTTCTGCCCTCTCCTGAAACGCCCGTATGTCAGCAGCGACCACCCGCAGCAAGCCGATGTGCACCTCGCCGAGAAGCCTGCTGTCAAAGTCGTCCAGGGCGTTCGCTAGCTCCTCAGGTGTGAACGGCCAGAGGCCCAGCTGTTCCGAGAATGACGTCACGAAGCTCCAGGCCATGAGGAGATTCCCGGTTGCCTCGCAGCTCTCGTCCCAGGGTTCCCCTGTCAGCACCGGCTTCATCTCGACATTCCGAGGGGGGAACTCATGCATCGCAACCGAGACTTCGTACCCGCCCGACTCGCCTTCCCGGGCTTGCTTCCGCAGCTTCAGATCCCGCCTCTCGTTCTGTTCTGCGATCTTTTCGGCATACAACACGTCCTCCGAGACGTCGTCGTCCGAACAGTACTCGAACTGCATTCGGACGTCCAGCCCCTGGGCCTTGGCTGCGGCCTGCAGCTCGCACAGCTCGTCTTCCATCAGTTCGGACGCCTGCCGGGCGGCCCGCTTGGCAACCTCGCGGGCACGAAGCACTCGGGCGCGCTGCTCCTCGCGAGCTTTGCGGCTTGCCTCCTTGGCAGCTTCTTTTATCCGCTCTTTCTCAACCTGGAGACAGAGAAATTTTGATCAGACTGACTGTCACGCAGTCCCACATGGCCTGCCTTCGTAGGCAATCCTTGGGGACGTCAAGATTTTTGCACCAGGCAATCCTGAATTTCGTAGCGCCATAAAAGCAGCTTTTCCAAGTACACTGCTTACAGCTTCAATCTTTTTCAGATTGGATGGACAGAAGGTACACGATGAACGTGACGAACGGCAGATTACGTACCCAAGAAAAATTCTCTAAGGCGATTGACCATTTGAAAATGCTGCTCAAGACCTGTGAGCTGGCCAACTCGAATAAGAACAACTCGAACAATAAAGGCAAACGAGGGTTACAAAAAGAAACACAACCCAGCATTCTGACATGCAATCCCAGAACTTACCCGTGCTTCCTCCCTCGCCTTCTCCTTCTCCTTCCGTTCTTCTTCTCTCTTCTTCTCGCGCTCTTCCCTCTCAGACTCCCGAGCCCGCTCCTTCTGCAGCCTGGCGTGCTCCCTCTGCTCCAGGATACGGCGCTTTAGAGCCTCCCTCCGCATGGCCTCTTCTTGCTGCACGGCCGGGCGCGGGGTCAGATCTGTTTGCAATTGAACTCCACTTCCTCACAATGACGATGCTGACGTAGTTGCGTCGGAGAAAGCCCCTGGGAACACCATCCGAGTCTTTGAGGTGTCTCCTAAGATCTGACAGGAGTCCAATCATTGCTCAGGATGTTTTTCCATTATCAGCAAAACATTTCCGATAATCAGCAGTCACCTACACATGGTTATTACAAAGTTGAAAAGGAGTGTACGGTATTCTTTTGGACAGCGCTAAAGGTCTGGCGTGCGATTGTCCCTGCCCAATTGCCAGAGACTGCGGCAGTGTAGAAAGACGTACCTTCTTCTCTGCAAGTGCTTGCCTCTCGAGTTCCCGCTTCAGGAACAACCGGCGCCGTTCCTCTTCCTTTGACAGCAGCCCTTCCTCACTCTGCACAGGACGTACGGACTCTTTCTTGGTATTGAAACAAGTACAAACAGCGTACGGTTCAAAAGGCGGATAATTTCACAAGTGACAATCCACATTTCTACCAGATCGACCGACAGAATACGAATACTATTGTCACTTAGCCCTTTCAGACACATAACCAACGTCACGATAAGCGCAGTATTTGAGCGGATCTGTTTCTGGAAGCAGACAGTAGGGCCTTTGAGTCAGATTCATTATCATGATAGGTTCATCTCGTCCAAGAACGAGAAAACACTAAGTCACCTTCCGCCTCTTCTCTGCATTGTATGCCTCCACATCCTCTCCTTGCAGGACCCTCTTGGCCCCACCTCCCGCCGCGTTCCGCCGCTTCTGTTCAGCAGCTCGGAGGAGTGCTGTGGATGTTGCCAGAGCCGCCGCCGCGGCCGCTGCCTGTCTGCGGAGCAACTCCAGCTCTTCATCGTGTTCCTCCTCCTGCACAGATGATAAACATTAATTGGCAAGCTGGAGTGGAGGGTCCGCAAAGCGATTGTGCATTCTTCCACGAATCTGGTAAACAGAAAATGCATGAAGGCTGCGTCTTGTTGCCAAGACTTTCAAGCTTGGCAGTCGGGACGGTTTGGCAGCACAGTACGAGTACTACTGTTTCTTTCATCAATATTTGCGAGGGGACTCGTTGTTCGCAATGATCAGTGCCCTATCTTGCAATCTCAGCACATGTGCACATTGAAGGATTCCAAGCAACCAGATTCGAAACAAAGCTCACCTGGTCCGGATAGTCTGGAGGCCTTCCCACGGGGATGCCCTGGACAATCGGTGGTTGGCCAAAGTAAGGCTGGCCCTGGACAGGACCCTGGAACATGGCTGAACCATGTGGGAAACCGGCCTGGCTCATTGGGTGAGCATATGCCTGGTCAGAGGGCAGGTTCCCATGGTGGATGGGGTAAGCCATGGAAGGGTGCTGGTGCTGCAGGATCGGAGGCCGCGGGTGTTGCAGAGTCGGAGGCGGCGGGTTCTGCAAGGGCGGAGGTTGTGGGGCCGGGGGTCGAGGTGCGAGAGGTCGGAGAGCAGGGCGATCGTTCCTGGGGGCGACCTTGAGCACCTTGGCTACCTGCCAAAGGAGAAGGTATGCCTGAGCACTGGCAGTAAAAACATTGCAATAGTGCCTGCAGAAAGTAAAAATCATGCCGCTCGCGACTGGCATCACAAAAAACGATGTTGTTGAAACAGGACAATGGTCATCCTGCACCATTGTCATGTTATTGCCAGATGTGCGTGCGAAAGACTTCCTCACATGCATAAGAGCTCTCACCTTCTTCACTGGTTCCTCTTCAGCTTCCTCTGCCTCACCCTTCTGACCTGCCTTCCTCTTCTGAAACCCTGCAGAAGAACGACAAGGTATCTTTTCTCCTTCACTTACAGCAACCAGTTCATTATTGTGGATCATCACAGAGATTTGTTCAAGGATCACTGGGAATGGGGGCTGAAAAACCTCCCGAGGAGCACTTCTTCTTTCAGATGATAGGACAAGAGACAGATCAAACTTGCGCAACCACATCATTCAGAAGCTTGACTGCTTGTAATGCTCCTGTTTCTACACGATGGATTGCCTGACCAAGCATGTAGTCATTAGAAGAGGTACCGCACGACCTCAAGATGCAATTCAGAACTCACCAACCCATGGATCTTTTGGTACTGGGTCGAAGCGCACACCCAGGGGAGGTCCATCTTGTCGGATGCCACCCTCAATGTTCCTCTCTACTAGAGCAATCGCTGCGACCACCCTCCCACTCCTCCCTGCCTCTGCTGCAGTTGCTGCAGTCATCACAGCAGACTTGACAGCAGTCGCTTTTGGCCCCGGCTTCTTCCTCTCAGGTTTGTCGGGGGGAGGGCCCATGCTTGCGAAAGGAGCAGCACGCCCCTCGGTATCATTAGTCAGAAAGCGCTCCCGTTCTTTGAGGGCCTCCCGTCTGCTATCCAGCAAAGCGAGCTCAGCTTCAAGGGCCGCTTTTGAAGTTGGCCCGGATTGGGAGATGCCTGTGCCTCCAAGGTCGTTATTGCCTGCAAAAACCGGCATCCAAGATTGTATGAAGTTCTTGACTTCATTCTGCATCTGATGATTCATTCACGAGTAAGGGGGCACCCTGGTAAAGCCAGAGCAAACTTGCAATGTCCCCTACAGACCCAGTTTGCAATTGTGAACCGCCATTCACAGCCTTACCATTCTGTCGTCGATCTGAGAATTTGGAACTGATACCTGCTTGCCTTAGTGGACCAAGTGATCTGTCCGATTGGTTTGTTCAGAGGCCGCAAAAATGGTAGGAACACTTTCAATACCGGTTTCGAGGCTGAGAATACTCGCCAGCTTGCCCTTTGCAAATAAATTGATATAATCCTTGCTGAAACTCGTGCACTCTCACGATGGATGCCCATTCCAGTACATTGACATCCTTACCTGACAATCTCTTCTTTCCAGACATGCTTGATCGTGGGGCATCATCTTCTGGCGACTTTGCCGCCCCTCGCCTCAACCCAATGGGAGCATCTTCACCCTCGCTATCATCTGCATAGAGAGCAAAGCCTTGTCAATTGCGGCAGTGTCTTCAGCAGCAGTGTCTCAAAAACGACCAGCCGCTTCACAGAACATGAAGCGCCCTGAGCATGTAAAGCACCAACACATTCATCAACAGAAAATCTGCAACTAAATCATCCTGACTGTAAGACATCAATATCAAGCATAGAGCAATAGCAATGTACCATCACGTGAATGAGCATCAGGGCTCTGAAGGTGAGGTGCGTGGACCAAGGAGCCCCACCTTCTGGTGAATCTTGCTGAAAGCCTGCTGCATTTGCGGCTGCTTCAGGCCCTGGTTCTCGGTCAAGAGTAGCCCGAGTGATGCCCAGCCTTTGTCTCTTGTGTCCAAACCACATTTGGATCTGAGAGTTTGTCAATCCTATGTCTTCGCTCAGGGCAGTGCATTGCTCCTGGCTTAGGTACTTGCTCTCTGCATGGAAAACGAACAGAATGTACAGAATTGCTTCTAGGGCATTATCTTTGACATGCCATCACTAAGCAAGAACTCCCAAGGGACAATCTGCAAGACATGTCGCTTCGTGAATGACTGCCGAGCTCAAAACAACAGTGCACAAGCGTCCACAAAGGGCGAATCGGCAATATGAAGCTAACACTTGAGATACAAAGCCGTCCAACGAGTGCAACGGTTTCTTCCGGCTAGAGTAGCCAAGCAAGTCAGATGATTCCTCCACAATGCAAAGAAGACGGCTGCAAATACACTGCTGACCTTACTTAAAGCATTCATTCATCATGAGGTTGAGGACCAGATCAATTGATGTAGGACATTGTCGTAATGATCCTGCTTTACGGCAGAAAGCTGAACAGGTCCCCACTACGATGGCATCATGCACTCCGAGAAACATGCTAGATACTTTCACCTTCAGTGGCAAGTTTCAACGGAGACCCGGCAGACAACTTCAAAAGGTCTGTGTAAGCACAGAACAGCTTGTGGAGGCTCACCGTCAAAAGCCCGTTCAAGGCACTCCATTTGAGCAGCTGTCTTCCGCTGCTTGGTGGCTTTCTTGGGCTTGCCCTCAACGGCCATTGGCCTGTCATCTTCACCGTCCATTTCCTGAGCTTGAGGCATGCCTTCAAAGTCGCCATCAGCTTGGTCCATGGCTGCTGACCTCATTTTCTTCACTTAGTCGTTAAGCAGATCCTCCATAGAAGCCATTGATGAAGAGCTGATGTGGTGTAGATATCGTTCGTCTGTAATTTTCCAACCTTGCATCATATATTGGCCATGAAAGATCTGTGATGTTTCCACAGAAACGTCTGAAAACGAGCAAAATGCACATATAAACCTGTACTAAGCCAGCAAAGTACCAGTTTAAAGAAGCAGAAGAGACTGGACATACGAGGTGTTTCTGCCACTGACAAATCGAAGCAGAGGATGCTGCTTCGAACCAGCAGAAGTCGAGGTGATGACCTTCTCGATAAGCAGGGTGAAAGATGCTCGAGAGATTCTTGGTTTCTCTACACAAGGACGATGTCAGGTTGGGTTCAATTTTACAAGAAGATAGGGTTTCGAGCAGAAGACGACCCATCTTCGCTGTGCTTTTTGCACGCCACCTCAGCCGAGTTGGCAAACTTTGCTGAAAAGCTTTTCACAAAATCTCACAAAAATCTGATGCATTCTCAGAATGCGTCTGCAAAGCGCAGCTTCTGGAGCTTGGCCAATCAGAATGCAGCTTTGAGCGAGAGCTCTGTGCATGATGACTCAAGCCCCGATCCCAACCTTTTCTACCAGGTAAAGCTATCCCATAACCGGCCACTTTAGAGAAGGGAATCAAGCAGAAAGGTACCCGGTAAATTGATTGCCCGACCTTCGAGCAGTCAGCCGACACAGATGCGCATTTGCCTCTTTGCACGACACTTGTACGTACAGATCCCCTGATTTTCAGGCCCGCTTTGCTGGGTACATTATAAGCGCCCAAAAATTGCAATTTCGGAAATTCGTTTTCAGCTTCGTATATGATGGATCGCTGTTGACATCGAAATCAAGCCAGGGACGATTTCTAGTTCACACTCTCTCTCTCTTTCTAGCTGAAGCTGCGAAGCTGATCTGCAGGTTGTGGGGGTCATTCTAGTGGTGGTGCAGCAATAGAGCCTCCTTTCAGATGGCATCTTTGGGTTTTTTGCGACCAGAGGGCCGTCCATTTTATGGCATAGATGCTCCCCGCGAGCTGGCCTTTCTATGCTGCCTTGCCAGTGCCTGTTTCATCGTTGTGTGCGTTCTCTCCATCCTTCCAAGAAGACATGAGAAACTTCAGAAAACTTTGACAGAGAGTCGTCGTTACAATAAGTTATACTTCGATCTCCTACGACCGCTCTTTATCGTGGGACTTCTTTACTTTGGGGGCTGCTGTGCGCACTATGTTTACTCAAGCCTGGAGTTGAAATATTCAGTGGCAGAGAGAATGGTGTCCATGGCGAATTGGAGCCAGACCCGTTCAGTGCTCGATGTGGGCTGCGGTCGGGGCCTGCTTATGAACACTTTCGCTTTGGCCTTGAAAAACGTGAGTTTGTCTCTTGCAAATGTGTGTTTCGGTACCACAATGGCGCCCAATCTGTCTGCAGGTCTGGGTAAACCATTTCAGCAAGCTTCACTCAATTCTGTCTGCTCCACGCAAAATTCTTTCATGATCTGTTGCTTGATGGGTTAAGTGTTGTCCAAGGGCGTGGGCATTTACTATCTACTGTGGAAGAGATTGATCTGGTCGATTCATTCTTACATTAGTTTTTTGGCCCAGATCTAATGGTCCCCGGCTCTTTCTCTGCTGATGAAAAAATGAAGCATCTTCTCTGTCATACTTCTCAGCGTGACGCAATGCCTCTGGAAGCCTCCATTCCTGATTCTTGTATTGTCATTCTAGATGATCAAGGTTCGTTCATGCAGAGTCGGATAGAGCCCGTTGAACCCTCCGCTGACTCCATTCTTTCTCCTCATATCCCCCTTATTTCAGTGGTATCAAGCATCAAACAGGTGCAGACTGATAGCTCTCAACCCTTTCAGGAGGGCATCGACGGCCACGTGACAGGTGTCGATGTGTGGGACGCCAAAGATCAGAGCCAAAGCAGTGCAGTCGCTGCCCTCGACAATGCTCGCAAGGAGGGCGTCCGCGAGTACGTTGAGGTTCGGACGGCGGACGCTAGGGAGCTGCCCTTTCCGGACGCCTCGTTCGACCTGGTCGTGTCCTCGATGTGCATCCACAACATTGAAGAAGGATCGGGGAGGTAAGCAATCTCTTGCGAATGGCGAGGTTTTCTCAAGTCGTTCTGATGCCTTATACTGTGCTTGTGCTCCAGGGAGTCACCCTGTGCTTTTGTAAGAAGCTGAGCTGATCCAGAAGGGGAGCCCTTGTCTGCCAGCGGCGGGTCGTTTGACCACCCGTTTCTACCTGATGCTTTGCTCTTCATTGCAAGCCCTGAACGCGTGGGAGTCGTGGGTTCTTCCATGAGATCATATGGTGGACTAGCGATATCAGAGCAACTCCACCAGCACAGACAGAAACGCCTTTAAACAAAGAGAAATGTTCTGGTCATATCCAGATAAGTTTTGGATTGTTCAACCGTCTTACGAAAGTTGACCGAGAGTGCACTTGTCCAAATCGACAAAAACTTTCTGATGTGTCATGCGTCCTTCTTGCGTCCAAGGTCTTTCCAGAGGTCTGCCGTGTTAGCGAGTCCTTCGGATTGGCATATTTACTGGCGAAGGTGATGAGCTGTGATTCTGCGTCCAGCTATGTCAACTGTCAGTAAAAGCTTTGTGGTTTCGTCTGGTCTGGCATGGGCAAATTGCTGCCACTCAATTTGTTTCGGCAAGAGCACATGTTGCGGAAAGAAGCCCGCAGCTATACGTCAAAAGACTGATGCCATTCAGAGTAGTCGAGTCCTTTTCCAACTCGGTTGCGGTTGCTTCTTTTCCATCTATTTCATTGGATCTGCTTGTCTCATTTGTCGAAGTGTATTCGTTCGCAGATACAAGCCAAAGGCTTATGGAGAGCGGAGAAAAGCACTGGACGAGATGCTTCGAGTGCTCAAACCTGGCGGACAGTTGATTATATGGGACGGTTATCATGCACGTGAGTATCACAAATATCTTAGAATTAAGCTAAGTCCCCTCCGTAATGGGGCGCAAGTATGGATCTCGGAAGATCTTTGGGCTTATGCCGTGAAAACCCAAATCGTATCCGCTTTGAAGCACCGAGATGATGGACAGAGTCTTATTACCTAGGATAGACAAGGTATAGCTGGCACTGTACAAACAGTAGGATGCAGATGATTAGGAGGGGCCAACTGTTGCAGTAGGCTTCAGAACAACATGGTAAAGACGTGGGTTCATAGACAACATGGTAAAGACGTGGGCTCGTGACAACAATTATTCCAGACTTCGGAAACCCAAAGCACTTCAGAACAAGTGACCTATATAATGGTATTTCTGTACAGTTTTATTTTTACGGTAATGTCAGCCTGTCTACGAGCCGCGCCTTGCAACTTTGACCACTTTCGAGCAGATGTACTGCTGGCAGTGGATTGACGATATCTCTATACTAAGCTGTCGACTGGGAGCTATGACTCGATTGAGCTTTCTTCGCAGAGGCGTGCATAACGTAGAGGGCTGTCCAATGCACTTGCAATTCAATTCTGTTTGAGCCGCAATGACTGAGTCATACATGCCAGCCTCCGAGCTAGATGGTGACCGGGTAATGGTAATGTGCCTCGAACCTTAGTGTAAACATTGAAAGTGTCACTATGTTTGTACGTACATGTGGCTGGCACCTTCCTCGTTGAAAAAGTTTGGACTTAAGTGTCACAAGCTCGAATGCAGGGGTAGTAATCGGCAGGCTGACTGCATCAAGTATGTGTCATGTTGAGAATGTCGCGGATATATGGTACTCATACTAAATTAACCGGACAATTTAATTCAGCATGCAATTGGACATACCACCTTGATAATGAATATACAGCGACGGAGATCAACATGTTATAGTCATGGTCAGATGAGCTCGCTCCAAGTACAAGCGTCTATCAATTCAATGATGCACATGCACATATGCAGGCTCACAGCTACTAGCATGAAGCCTACTAGGCTTCATGCTGACGATCTGGTTATGCGGGAAAAAACTGACACACCTTAACATATTTCGATCCGATCAGGATGAATGGTGCAATCAATCCGCTAGCGTTGGAACCTTCGTTCGAACATGGACTTACGAGAGTGCAATTGAATAGGTACATGAGCGGAGATTTGTCCTACTTGACTTCCATCTGTCCACCTTTGTTGACTGCTGGCTGCCAGCAGCCTTGATATCGCCGTTCAAAAGGCATGTCAAACACTTCTCGGGTTCATGCGACAAGAACTTTGCTAAATTTCGTACAAAGGAAACAGGCCGCGCCTTATTCTATGTAAATTGGTTGGCCCAACTATGATTCCGTCATAAGCAAACGCGCGCTCACACTACCTTATCTTCGTCATCTTCAACTCAAGAGGCAAGAGCTTATTCCGCTCTCGTGCTACCTTTCCCCACTTTCTCAACAACAGGAATGCGAGCACCGTGCCTTGACTGACCTTCTCCTTGATCATCAGCATGAGGGCAGCCGAGAGTACCGTTTTGAAGATCTGAGCCTGCAATGGAGTTAATACTCACGTAAGCCAGAGCCATGTCCCAAGAACTTGCACAAAGAATTTTCCCTGCGGACTAAACGAAAGTGCTTGTGGGGTTACCAAGAAAACATGCCAAGAAAGTCTACGCCCTTGTCTGAAAGGCAGCTTGATTGCAGCCATCACAAGCCAACGAACTCACAAGCCTTCTTTGTTGCAAACATACTAATCACCAGCAATCTGCAGTATATTCCTCTCATTACCTATGACCCAGTTCATGGACAAGCGTCACCGATGGCTTCGACTTTGAGGCAACGCCCTTGTACGCATGATCGGACCGCGAGACTCACGTTCATGCCTTTGTACAACCCTTTGAAGCCCCCCTCGTCCACGGCCCTCCTCATTGCGTCCAGCATGTTTCGGGGGTGACCGCCTTCTTCATCCTTGTCAGCCTGCAAAGCACAAGACATTTGTAGCTATTTTCACTTGCGTAGGCAATCGGACATCTTTTCCTGTGAAACACATCTCGTAAAGCCTTTTCTGTTGATCTTTTTGAAAAATTGAACATATGCTACTCGAGTGCACGTCAGATTGTAGAATTTTACGAGCCGCTTGAACTCGTCAGAACTAGATGTTTAGAAACGCTCAACAAACTGCAGCAAAATTCTCCGAGTAACGAATCCTCTCATGCTCGACTGCACGTCAAAATGTATACATTTACGGCTTAGGTACGACTAAGTGTCAAGAAACGCTCAACGTAGTGCAAGAAGGCTCAGCAACGGACTATTATATTTGCATGCTGCTGGAAGTCAGATATATCCTACTGCCAGGCCCAAGGAAGCTTTCTCGCCATCTACAAGTTCCAACGCAGACCTATATCAACCTGATACAGGCCTGCAAAGATCTGACACGGTTTTGCAAAACACTCAATTCAGCACGAAATACCTTACAAGAATACAGAATTTTTCTGAACGGCGGAACGAACATACGAGAGGTAAGAAACAAGCTCACCTGCAACATGACCTTCGCTCTGATTGCCGGGTACGTCACAACCGTAGCCACAGTCTTGGACAGGGCCCCAATGACGAACGCCATTGCCGCAGTCAGTGCAGGGGCCGGAAGCTCGTCCCTCCTTGTCCAGGCCTCTCCCTTTGCTGCTTTCGACTCCATCGCCGCTGTTCTGCTCGCGTCATACAGCCTGGTTTCGACTGCGAGGACAGCGTTCCTCAGCTGCTCGAAGACGGTGTACTGCAGACAAGGCCGGGAAGAGGCAACTCAGGTGCGAACGTCAGGCTGAGAAAATTCCACAATGTGTCAAGCGAACAAACGAACAAGATGAGAGGTAACTTGCTGAAGTGTCCCCGATGTTGCAATATGCTCAGAGCAATGTTTGGATGTCAACAACACAAGAACGACAATGCGACGAGAAGACAATACAATTGCATGCATAAGCAGACAATAGCCTGCCTACATTGCCTTCAACATGTTAGAAGAAGCTTCTTAGCCTTGGATATGTAGAAAATCTGCATTTGACCAAAAGCTGTCCTCAAAGCTCTGAAGCGAAGCGTTCCGCATTGATGCAAGTAACACAGCTGTGGAACCAAAAGTACTCCCCAACAAGCAGTCCAATGAACACACGTCATAGAGAACAGTTGTTCTCTTCTAGTTGATCAGATGCAACTCTCCTGCTTGACCCAAAAAATTCAACGTCAGAGTAAGATGCCTGATGGATCAGGCCAAATATTGTGAAAGAATAAGTGCGCACCTGGATAGCTGGATTGGATGTCAGAATCAAGCTGGCACCGAGCCCATCGTAAGCCTCTCCTAGGGACTGCTTGGTCAACGTGGTCCAAAAGCCCCTGACTTTTCCTGCTTCCATAGTCTGCATCCTAGATGACGCAGTATCCAGAGGCTGCAAACACCACGGATAGGCGTCACAAGGTGCTTCTTGACAGCTTCCTGAGTAAGTTGCAAGTAGAATGAGATCATGTACATACTTATCTCCGTTCTTACTGGGGTGCTATCATTATGCAATTTCTGTCTCGCATGGCCAGTGTTGCCCTGTTCCATTGGCGTCAAGCTGGATGTCCCAGACTCCGTGACCTGACATAGTTACTTACTTGTATGACGATGGAGTTGATCGCCCCAGCTGCAGCTGCAATCAGAAGGTTTGCTCCCATCCCCATACGCTTGATTCCAGTCCGCTTTATGTACCAATCCTTCAGGTACTGGTATGAATAGAAGTATACGAAGCCCGCCAACACGCTCTGGAAGTTCTTTGTACCTAAGCCCTGAAAGAGCAGGTTGACCATCAGTGAGGAGAAGAAAAAGACAGCTGCAGAATCATGCAACGACAACCAACCGATATCCAATATTCAACCACGAAATGCTCAGAAAGGAAGGCCCCCAACAGTGGGAGAATGCACCAGATCGCCATTAGCACCTTTGAATGCTGACAAATTGCACCACCATTGGTAGCTCCAAGCTTTGGAGGCACAACTTTCTCCGTGCAGAAAAGAACTGAAAAGATAAACGAAAAAGAAGCTAACAAGAGGATTGACAAGATATAACAAAGGAAGCTCACGTGCCTGGTAAAGTGAGCCAAGCTGTTTGTTTCTCAATGCCTGATGGAAAACATCAAGAGTAGAGGTGTAGCGTTTGTGTACACCTTGCCGGTTATCTGCCTGCATGTAAGAGAAGGTGATTTCAGAAGATGCCTCTTGCAAGGCGTAGAGCAACTGATGACCAGATTGTAGGCATTGAAAGAACAAGGACCAACTTATGCATTTCATCATGCAGTAAGAAAATTTCCTATACTATCCATCAAGATATCTTACCTGATACCTCGTTTTGCATGTATCAAGGGGGTACAGGAGTGTGGTGCTCAGCAAGCTCCCTACTGCACCAGCTGTTGCCTCCTGCAGAGCCTTAGAATCAAAGTTCGCCATGCTGCTCTGACCAAAGGACTTTCCCTGCGCCCAAGTTGTAAAGACTGTCTATATGCGTGAGTAGTGGCTCTTCTTGATACCTATCAGTCTTGAAAATCTCCTGCACAATCTACAAGTACGGTATTTCACCTTGTTGCAAACTTTACAGCTTTCCTGAGCAATTGCGACCCAATTGCCAGGCTGTAACCTGAAGCAGCTGACAAGCTGGGTTGAGCAGCGCCCTTGTAGCAAAACTTAGGCTGACCCTCTATTCCGTAAGTTGAGTATCCCGTCAACAAAATTCAGCTCTTCTCCATCAGCCCTTCTTCAGCAAGAAAGAACATGCTGAGGATCTGCAAATAAAGCAGCCAACAGCTGCCTTCAGCAACCCGTGAAAACGTCCCTGAACTCCAACACCTTCACCAACATGAAAACGTCTCTGGCGCTATGCCCGCACCTCGATCCAGCTCTAACTTTAAGCTGCTGCTGTGCTGGCTCCCGCATGCGGAGCGTTTGCGCCAGCTGAGCAGGTCAGCTGTGCTGTAAAACACAGATCAGCTGAGCAACTTGGCGCGCTACCACCTACCTAATAAAGCTTCCTTCCTCCTTCTCTTGAGTACGAGCCGCCTTCTCCAACATCAGTTTGACACCAATATTGCTTTGAAGGATAATATGAACCCTGATCTGCAATAGAGTGTCACTGCATTTGTTGTAGAATCGGTGATGGGGTGGCCGGTCAGGTGCCTAGTCAGCATATCCAGTTGGCTTCCGCAAACACGTGTCGCTCGAAAAGGAATCTGCACGAAAAGTGCATCTCGCCAAGCTAGTTACACAGCACTTTTCATGGTGGCTGACCAGTGACAGTGAAAGCGCGCCGAATTCATGGTGGATGGTGGCAGAGCCCAACATCTGGGTGCGGTGCAGCATTCGTTTGCTTTGGCAGCCCTTCCTTTAGCATGAAGTAAGGTACCTGGTAGAAGAGAGGTGCGCGCCACCCGAATGGAGCGCTCATCAAGCCAGTGCTTGATCTTAGACGGCTCTATCGGAAATGGGTGTACGTTGAGTTTGGGTGACGCCTGTCCTGGCGGAAAATGGCAAAGCAGGTGCTTCCAGAGATCTCTTCCGTACTCCAAGCCGCATATGAAACGGATGTGTACTGCGCGGCTCTTGGTGCAAGCCGTGCTGATCAGGCAAGAGAAGACCTTTGAAAGCCCAAGTATTGCACCTGACTGCCTCTCAGGCTCCCATGATCAGCCAGACTCCAGCGTTGCCATGACTGCCTGGCCGCTACACCTTCTTGAGCACTTGAAGCCTTCAGCTAGTGGTGCTCGGAGAATAGGCAGCCAGTACCCAAACCCTCATGCCGTCAGCTCTGAAGCCCGGTTTGCCGGGCCCACAGAAGCATCAAGCGCCGACGCGCCTGACTTGCTGACCATTCTGCAGACCCGCTTGCAGGCTGCGGCTCTGGAACGGTCCGTTGTAATCGCAGACAGGCGGCCGGTAGATCTGGAAGCACCTGGGAATCAGTCCTTGTCACCGGGCCATATTGGCGCCACTGTAGAGTCAGCCTTGAGTTCTGCAAAAGGGGCTGATCGCGACGTGGCATCTCCTTCCAATGGAATGCTGACACCACAGGATGATGCTAGTGACTCTGGGTTAGTTGATGGGTTGAGACCTTCTTCGGAAGATTTTGCAGGGGAGGGGAAGGTGGCGGTCAGGATAGACCAAAAGAAGGGGGCCTCTAAGGAGATTTCTCATACGATAAGAAAGAGGCAGGCGCGCTGGATCAATCCTGACAAGTTGTCCAGCCAGCAGATTGAGGAGGGAAAGCTGGCGCCGGCAAAGGGAAAGAATGTCCAGCGGTCGAGGAGAAGTCCTGGCTCTGAAGCGGCAGACGATGGGCTGGTGGTAAGAAGCTTAGGCAAGCAGTCCAAAAGTTTCTCACTTGCTCGCGGAAGTCCTGTCGATGGTAATCTTCAATCAGATGATCACTTGGGAAGCGGTGTGCCTAGTGGAAGAGAGCATGACGGAACGGCCAGCAGAGATACAAAGCTCCCGACGGGAAACGAAGAACGCAGAATGGGACAAGTAGAGTTCAGTTCTGATCTGGCAGCGACACCGGTAGGACCGTCAGACTGCACAGCCAAAAGGCAGCTTGATCGGCGGAGGCAGAGCCACTGGAGTGCGAGCACCTCAAGCCCAACTTCCGACCCTGCCAAGCCGCTCCCGGCGTCCCTCGTCAGCACGTTCACCCTTCTTAACAATGAGGGGAGCGAGTCATTACCTGGGCTCATTGCTTCGCTCGGGCAACGAGACGATCTAGATGAACGGTCCTGGGGCTTGTTGGTGGGACAGCTGGCAGCGGCCGGGAACCTGGAGGCTGCGCTGGAGTGTCATGAGAGCCTCGTGCAGCGGGGGGGGTGCATTTCCACCGCGGATGCACTGGACTTTATCAAGGCAATAGAGTGAGTTATCAATGACTGTTAAACGTGACTCACGGACTTCCCAAAGTCAATAGTTGAGCGATCACTCTGCACACAAAGCTAGCGGGATCGGAGTGAGCTCAACCTAGGACTTAGTCTTACTTTGTGGGGTCTGAGAAGTTCTCAAGCCCGAGCTATTTTGAGCTGTAAGTGATTATTACCAGGGCCATGCGGTATCGGGCTCTCAAACAGGACTCGTCGTTCGATGCCTAATGCATAATTCTGTTTGCTGTACTTCACCGGTTGCGGTAATCTCGCAAAGCGGACAGCAGTGCCAAACACCGAACTACTGACCGTTACTTACAGGTACCGTCGCAACACAAAGTCTCTGCTGACGGCGCTCAAGCAGTTCCGAGCTGCCCGGCGCTTGACGACGCCGATCTTCAACGCGTTCCTTGTGGCCTTCAACAAGGTACTTGGTGTCTTTCTCATTGAGAACAAACTTGAAGGACTTTATGTGGATCTTCAATGCCGAGTGGCCGAAAGCACCTCACCAGGTTCGTTCATGTTTAGTCATCAGAAGTCGAAATCAACCCACTGGAATGCAGGTCCTCCTCCTGTGTCAGCAACGGTACACGATCACTGAAAATGTTCAGCACTTGTCGTCAAGCCTGCTATATCGCCTCCCTCCCTAGCTCATCTAGTATCTGCTCCAAGCAGCCTGCCTCTCCCGTCAAATCGTCAAAATCTCCTTCCTCTTCCTTTGCAGTGTGGAGAGCCACGACGCGCGGTGGTGATGTTCCACAAGCTGGGTGCGGCTGTTAAGGTGGACCACTCTAGTTACCACGAGGTGCTCAAGGCCTGCCAGGAGCTGCGCCTCTGGGAGACGGCCATGCACCTGCTCCGGGAAATGGAGGCCACCGGTGAGAATGCTCCGGTCCTGCTTGTGCTCCGTTCAGAAGCTCTATGGACGGTTCACTCTCATGTATCTTTGGGCTATGCTTCTCACTATTCAGGAGGTCCGAAATGGAGGCCACCGGTGAGACTGCCCGCATTTTCATTATTATGTCGCCTGACCAGACGTTCTCATGAGCATCATCAAACAGTTGATTGCTTCTACCTTGAGCATGTCTCAGTTCCTGATGCAATTCCCTGACATCGACCTTTGTAGAGGCATTCAAAGGCAAAATCCTCATCATGAGAAGGTCTAGATTTGATTTTCAGTGACTGATTTACGACCTTGTCCTGTCGAAGATCCTGCCTCGCTAAGTCTCTTCTGCAAACCTCACTTTGCTCGCTCCTGTGCAGAAACCTGGCCGGACGTTGCTGACTACACCATGGGCATCACGGCGTGCGCCAGGGCTCGCCAGTGGACCAAAGCGTTGGACCTGCTAGAGGTAAGCGGACGTAACCCGCTTAACCCAAACTCGATTGAGAGGGTATGTTTTGTTGATTCTACCATGCACTTTTAAACTCTCGTGCGTAATCTCAAGCAGCGGAGGAAATATGTGTTGGCTGGTGGAGCTGGCAACGCTGGGTGGAGAGCTCAACGTTATCCTCATGACTGCATTTTGCCGATCTGCAGTTGCAGCTGGAAGGGCATCTCCTGACTTGTGCTCAGTAACGATCGGGTCTAGTGTGATAAAGAAAGTGGTCATTGTGGAAACGAAAGTTGTCGTAATCAGTGGGGTCGATACTATAGATCATGGCTGCAGTGTAAAGTGGTGGTTGTTGTATCTCCAACTACCGGACTGGAAGAGAACAATCTAGGGCAGAGAGGTGAGGTTGAAACAAGATGATCATCCTTAGCGATTGGGACTCTCGCGGCTTTGCTGCTTCAAGCCGTAATTGTAATTGGAGTGAGAATCCGGGCCAAGTAGAGTTAGAGACGTCGCCAAATTCCCGTCGACCGAGCCCAAAAGCACTCTTGTTGTTGTCCCGTCTGCATCGTCTACATTGTTCCATCAATTCCGGTCCCCAAGCACAAAATTTCAGGGCAATCTTGTCTGCTCATCTATTTGCTCTCGCATAACGGTGAGCAAATCCATTATGAATCCTTGCGTTTCCCTCATCACAGGTCATGGACCGAGTCGGCTGCCCGTGCAACACCGCTGCGATCAACTCCGCGATCAACGCGTGCGCGCGGGTTGGCGAATGGCAGCACGCGCTGCGCCTCCTCCTCCGGATGCGCGACCTGGGGCTGGCCCCGAACGTGGTGACGTGGAGCTCTCTGCTGACGGCATGTGGCCAGGGACCGGCCAGCTCAGGGGTCGTCAAGGAGGTAAGCGGGCCTCATTTCTGTTGCATCTTCGCAGTTTATGTCCGGAAAAATTCTCTGCAACGGTTGGTATATTCTGGGCACGCTTATGCAGAATTTTTCGTTGGCAGTTGAAGAGCGTTGATGTTATGTTTCTTCGAGATGCTGATCGGGCGGACTTGTTTGAGTATCAGACTTAAAAACGACGGCGAGTAGTCTAGCTACAGCCGCAATTGTGCCCGTCTTAGCCCCGCACTTCGTTTGGAATACTTACTTCACACAAGTGACGAGAAGAAGTTTCTGCGACATCCAGCGAGCCGCTTTTGCTCTTTTATATTACTTCGCATGAATCATAATGAAAAGGGAATCACGAATACAACAGCCGATACTCTCGCGGCCCCAACTCATAATCTGGCTCTCTGTCTGTGTCACACAGGTCGTGAACTCGATGCTGAGCTCAGGGTGCAACCCGAATGACGTCACGTGGACGGCAGCGATCGATGCCCTTGGGAGGACCGGGGATTGGCGCGCGGCAGAGGCTTGTTTTGCAAAGCAGCTCGACCGGCGAAGGGTGCCCCGGGCTGTAAGTCGTCCACGCTTGTTGGTGAAATTACGGCTGTTTGCGTGAAACTTGCTCTTTCGAGGCCTGCAGAATTGTTGATTGCACGATCTTGGACCGTGCGATCGCCGACGGAGACCGATTGTACGGTCCAAAAGGTCATGTAAAGCGGATCATGAATTTGCGCAAGGTTTGCAAGTTCCGGCAAACAGCTTTAGCTTCTGTCTTTTACGCAAACAGCTAGCTGTACTTTTCGAATCAGAGAGGCGGCCCTCGATCGAAGTACCGCACTCAAGCTATGTCGGTTACATGTGATCAGCGCTTACTCAAGTCGTTAGCTGCCACCAGTATCGTTGGTCGGCTTAGGTTTCGCTTATCTAGGCCCCGTCGCATTGAGTAACGTGACGCCCGCTTTTTTGGGGCCAAAAAAGGAAGAGGAGTTTTTTAGTGAGGTCAAACGTGAGTACAAGCCTTTGTTTTGTCATCGAAGGGTGCTTCGTTATCATCAAAGGGACCGTGCGGCAAAGCAAACGGCGTGTAGCAGTTTTGCTGAGCATGATTGCCCCGCAGCCCTCGTGGCAAGGCGTACGAAAGCATTGTTGAACGAGCATTGACCTACCTGGCATTATATTCATTTGATGTAAACGAGAATGCCCCTTCGTTATGTCCACCTTCTTACAACTCGCTTGGTGCTCCTTACAGCACGTAGCAACGCTGCTTGCAGAATCGGTTGTTCGAATGAGCAGCACAATGTCTCACTAAGACCCCTGTATGCTTCTCTGCAGCCCTCATGGTGCGCGTTGATCAAGGCATACGGCGGCGCCGGCGAGTGGACGCGCGCACTCGCGGCGTTCGAGTCCATGCGGAAAGCCGGCATCGCCCCGGACACCCCGCACTGGACAGCTGTCATCCGGGCGGTCGGGTCGGGGAAGGCCTGGGCTCGGACGCAGTTTGGGACGGTGAAAAACATGCACGGGCTGGTGCGTGCGCTGTATGCGCAGATGAAGGAGGCGGGCTGTCCGCCGAACGAGGTGAGATGAGTTTCTTTCAAACATTCGTGCAGGAATAGGCAAAAACCAGTCGGATCTTTGGATCCCGGGGATGATATTTGAGGTTTTCTTGGGCGGACTTGTGAGGACAGTACGGGAATCGTTGGGCGGAGCGAGCGTTGCCGGAGGTCCAGAGTTTTACGAAAAGGAAGAGTTGATACTACTGCATTTGCTGACTGATGGTTCCCCAGTAGTATACGCAGTGTTCCTCGTCCGCACCTACGCAGAAAAGCGACCGAACTGATGACACGGCACAATCCAATTGTAATCTTTGCGAAGGCTTTGATGCTGTTGAGCGGTGTGAGGTTATCTGGCAACAAAATGACTTTTCTGCTTTTAGGTCCGGAAGAGAGCTCCAGTTGGTCTGCATGAGGGGCAAACACAGTAAACCAGGCAAGGAACGTACAGTCTAGTCGTACCATGTTTGGAATCGAACTCTGTACCCGTACCCTCTGTCCAGGTGACCTACACCTCGCTGATTCAGATCTACGGCCGCTGCCTGCATTGGCGCGCGGCGCAGGCCGTCTTTCACGAAGCGCTCCACGCCGCGGACAGGGGCGAGTGCGCTGTCAGCGTAGTTATGTTCAACGCCCTGGCGGTGGCATATGCCGAGAGCGGGTGCTTCCGGCGACTGTGGGACCTGGTCATGACGGACATGGTGCACGAGTACGGGGTCAAGCCGGACAGGTAGGGGGCCGTTGCGAACAAAACTTTCAATTTTCCAGTGATACTTAGAGCCGTAAGCCGTAAGCCGTGATTAACAAGATCAGGCCCGGGGGGGTAAGGTTGGGGGTGTATCTGGCCAAACTTTTGTTTCTATTTCTTTGATTTACCAATCGTTGACGTACTCCTGAGTCACTTCTCAAAAGTTGGGGCTTCATAGGGCTCATCAAGGAGTTTAGAAATCTTGCGAAGAGCGACTTCCGTCCGCCGCTACTGCTTCTTCCTTTGGTTTCCCCTTACACCATCCCTGGTCGCTGCAGGTTTACGTACACAATCCTGATAAAGGCGTGCGTCAAGAACAACAAGGGCCGCATCTTGTCGGGGCAAGTGTATCGCAAGATGCAGGAAAGTGGCGTAAAGCCAGACTCGCGAACGTATGACTGGCTGGCACAGGGATACGAACAGACAGGACTGCCCGACAGAGCGTGGAAGGTACTGGAAAGCATGGGTCCGTAAGGCGTCTTGGAAAAAACATTGTTCGTTTTGGGCGTCTTTGCTGAAAGGTTTCCGTTCCGATACCTGAAGACCTCGTGCAGAGATATTGGCTGTCTTTCAGAACCTTCTTAAGTGGAAAGAGGAATCAATCAAGGGATGCAGGATTAATTTTGGATCTTAAACGACGTTCTGTGTATGGCTGCTACATGGGAGCCGCCGCTGCTGCAATCTGGTCATGGCGGCTCCAACCTTGTCACGGTATCATGTGTCGGCAGCATGTGATAATGTAGATGGCTCATGATCATACGGCCTTAGCCGGCACCCCAGCACCTTGTTATTTTGCGCAATTGTTTGTCACATATTCGACCGTTGCTGACGTGAGCACATACATATTCGAGATTTTTAAATTGGTTTCCGGATTGTTGTCATGCCGCCAAATGCCAGGATTGCATGCTACGTATTGAGTGCCCTTGCGCGTGGCGCGCAATCCATGAACCACGCACTGACGTACTTAATTCGATACCTAGCTAGGATATTTGTGCATGATAGATTATAGCGTGCCAAATTCACCGCATATAGCGCGGCATCATTGCATGCATTGAGCAAATATGCATCGATACATGACGATTTATAAGTCGCGGCACGCGCTGAAGGATTGAGTTTTGAGGCATGACAGACAATCGCAGGCATACCTTGCAAGGTATGTATATACAGTCAACTTGCGCACATGCCAGAGACAATATGTGTTGCAGTCACTGTGGGGTTGGAAAGCGGCACATCAATGGCTGCGACAAGATTGAAAGATGGACGTATGCTGCCCTGACACGTGCTGTCAGTCTAATTGTGTAAGAATGAATTGGTGAGTATGCACAAAGTTACTTCCACAGCTTCTTCAAGCTCATGTTCTTATCCGTATCCTTCTTCATCACCTTTCCTACCGCCATATCGAAGTCCTCCTGAGTGACATGGATCCGGCGCTCCCGCAAAGCGAACATGCCGGCTTCTGTACACACAGCCTTCAGCTCTGCTCCTGAAGCGCCAGGCAGCTTCTCTGCAACCTGTAAGATACGCAACAGATGTTAGATGAGCATCTCCAAGATGGACATGTATGGTAAAGTGCCGCTCAGCACAGCCACCAAAGCATCGGCGCAACTTGGAACTCATCACGGCTGCTTTCACGAGCAAACAACGTCGACCCATCCCGCCGGGTAGAACCATGTAACTGTAATCTGAACAGCAATGGAATTGAGAAGTTTTATACGAGTTACACCTCCACTTCCAATTCCAATCCGATGGTCTTCTCCATGCAAGGCAAGGGCAATACGTATACTTAAACTTGTGAGAAAACCGACTTACTTTCTTGAGATCAATCCCACGTGTGAGGTTCATCTTCCGCGAGTGGATCCTCAGAATGTCCGCTCGTGACTGCGCGGAATCAAAAAGTTTGTCAGGTATAGATTCTAGCTGACGAGTAGGTAACTGCGATCGACCAGAGATGCCTACGAGATTAGTAACAAGACAGCGCTTCAAGATGCGGAAGACTGAACCGCGGATGTTAAAGACGGAGAATGACATTGGTAAGATCGATATTCAGAAGCTTCTGGTTGGCCTCTGTGGAGCACGCTCCATTTGCATTTGACACGTGCCGGTTCAAACTAGAAGAAATTAAGATTATGCAACAGCTGTTTTGACTGCCTAGACGTCAGAAACAGCCCAGTCGGTCAAGCCTCTGGCTTGATGGGCTCAGAGGACATGGAGTACACGACAATGCTCGCGGCTCACCTCCTCTGTCGGATTCGGGAACTCGATCTTCCGGTCTATTCTACCTGGCCGCAGGAGGGCGGGGTCTAAGATGTCAATCCGGTTTGTGGCCATGAGGACCTGCAGACACAACAGAGCTCAGTGGTTGAGCTTCTTCGAGAAAGGCCAGCGAAAGAGTGCATGAAATCCGCAAGAAACCTGCACCGAGACTTCTTGTCGAAACAAAGAGTCTCGATCAGCCACTACCATCGTGTGCAAGAAGGCTCCCGAACAGATATCTAAATCTTCAATAAGCGTTTATCGACTTTGCCAGCTCTGCATCAAGAATGAACCTTTTGGAAACGCCCTCGACCCAGGCAACCCGACGGTGGCAGTCTTCGACCCCCGCTGCACCTCTAGCTCGCCTCCTTTCCCTTGCTGAACAGGCAGCTTGCAATCGATGGACAATAAGTATATTGGACAAAAGCAGCAACAACGAATTTCCCTTGCCTTGATCTTGTTGGTGGCCTCGAACCCGTCCAGCTGGTTCAGCAGCTCGAGCATCGTGCGCTGCACCTCCGAGTCGCCGCCGCCGCCGGACTCCATCCGCGCGGACCCAATGGAGTCGATCTCGTCCATGAAGATGATGGACGGCGCGTGCTCGCGCGCCATCACAAACAGCTCGCGCACCATGCGGGACCCCTCGCCGATGTACTTCTGGACGAGCTCGGAACCGGACACGCGGATGAAGGTGCAGTCTGCAAGAATGGGAGAAGCTTTTAACCTTATGGCCAAGAACCGATGCATGCTTGAAGCCAATCAGAATGAGAGAGGTGTCATTTGTCAAGTCCCCAGGGGTATAACACAAGGCCCAAGCTTTTGTCCACCTCCACAGGACACAGGAGACTTCGTTTCTGGTTTCGACAGCCTGCTCCGCCACAGAAGGTCGTCAGATTGCATTACACAATCACGAAAGTCGAACCCCAAGAGGTTATGCCAATACCGGAGGGGGGAAAGGGACCAGTCAGGAAGTCGGAAGTGATCAGCACCAATTCGCAACTTTAACGTCAACTGCAATTCGCAGTCTGGAAATCAAACAAAAACAAGGTTTGGCATCTGAGGGACTCGGGTCGACCAGACACAAACATGGGAGTGAACAGCACCAGCAGCGACTCCAGTTAGCCATAGGCAACGCAGACTGCACTTTGAATCAGAGGCCTCAAGCGAAACCAACGCCACCTTTAGCGCATGACAAGCTCACCAGTGTGATGCGCCACCGCCCTCGCCAGCAGCGTCTTGCCTGTCCCTGGAGGCCCATACAGCAGCACTCCCTTCGGTTGCGCAATCCCCAGGCTCTCAAACAGCTCCGGGTGCTTGATGGGGAGCTCAATCACCTCCTTGATCTCCTTGATCTGCTGGTCAAGCCCGCCAATCATGTCGTACGTGGAGTCGGGGACCTTCTCCACTTTCATCAGGCTGACCAGAGGGTCCACCTTGCTGGGCAGGATCAGGTGCAACTGCAGGAGGAAGCGGCGGGGGAATTTCAGAAGCTGGAAGAATCTGTGTTTGTCAGGTGGAATTGGGGCTAATTTCTGCTTCTCCAGGCACAGACTGTGGGTAAGGTTCTGTGTGACATGATGCTGTGTCTTGTTGGAGAAAGGTGCAACATACGGTAAACCTCGTATGTTTTCCCCACTGACATCCACCAGACACGACAAGGTGCAGCAAGGGCTGTGGGATTCGACACCATACCCGGTGTCATCGTGTTGGGCAAATTTGACCCTAGTTTCATGACACAGGAGCCCTGTGCCAGCAAGATAAACAATTCATCATAACCAGTCAACTTGATGCATGAAGAACAATGAAGTCCCTGACGATACAACTGCCCCAGACCTCTGATAAGCACAAGCACAAAATACCACTTTCTCTACACCCCTGATATGGCCCTGCATCTTTACAAACAACAAAAAGTAGTACCGTCACACCTCCATACTGGGAATAGTACACAACTCCATACCTGATAAGAGTCATTCCGCAGCGCCACTCTGACGGTGGGTGTGCACTTCGTGATGTCAATGTTCTTGTCAATGTCGACGACGTACTTTCCCTCGGGGTGCACCTTGACGAGCACCTTGTTCTTTCCCATCACCTTCACGACCTCCCCTACATACGACCCAGGCTCCTGTAGCAGCTGCAGCTCCTCCCGGAGCAAGCGGACTGCGGAGGGAAGAAAATATGCTGAGCTGAAGTTGATTAAGATCAGGTGATCCTGTGGCAGGCAAGTGCAGTTCAGCGAGAGCTTGAGAACCCTGCAGCATATGGTATCATGCAGATGAAAAGTTAAAGAAGCAAGTGACTTACTGCTTAGTACGTCTATTACAAGGGTTTGACATCCTTGCTCCAGAAAGAAGGTCTCTGCTTCTGGGGTCAAACTACAGGCGACCTACAAACTTTTATTCCATTCACTCCACTAAGAATCACTCAGCTTAGGTTATCAGAAATTGCTAATAGCGCCAGCATAGCTAAGATGGTGGCAAAAGTCTCAAGGTGGGCACATGGTGTACACCTTCCATCAAAATTCTTGTTCGATGAGCAACAAGAACATATGCTAATGACACCTACTGGCCGCCTGAAAACCCCAGACAACCTGATCCATCTCAGCCCCGTCAATTGGGCTTGCCTGCCTCCGGAAGGTGAGCCCGAAAAGCGTTGTGCCAAGCATACTCAAAGGACCGCTCTTCTTGACCAAAGCGCCCAAAAAAAATATCAGCATCACAAACCAAGCTTTGAATCGGTGTTGTGTCAGCCACTAAATGGAACGAAGCGCGGCGATCAGGCTGTAAGCAGCTTTGTACATGGAACCAAGCTTCTACTAGATTGCAAAAGTGCTGCAGAGCTTGAGCAATTGACCTCATGCTCACAGCACAGGAGCGTACACACCTTTGGTGTTCAACTCATTCCTTTGCGCCTCCAGCCGCCGCAGATTCTGGGTCTTCTCACGGACCAGGATCTCCAGTTCCTCAATCTTTCCCTTGTAGTAGGGCTTCAAGCCTTCCCCACATCTTCCTCCCATGGCTGCTTTTTGATCCTCAGCTCCCGCGCTAAGAAAACAAAGTTCTGTTCCTTGCGCCTTGCTTGCTTGCCGCCTAGCCGCTAGCACTTGCACGATCCTCACTTCCCAGAAATGCGGAAACTGGATCTGGCATGTGTATAAGAGGCTGTCCCCACAGCATGCTAAATGGTAATATGGTCAAAGCTAGTCCATAGAGCAAAGGGTCCCCCGGGCGCTTACCCTGCCCTATATCTGGGCTGGCTCATCAAAATCAAAATCAGTCGGGCTATAGCACCCCGGCAACGTTGAACGGCTGAGAAAGAAAAATAAATGCAGACTTACTTTCCCATGCAATATATAGATCAAATAATTCAAAAGAATTTCGGGGAAAGGTAGGATTTACCGATGATGCTTTGAGCTGGCACCAGCACGGCAGAAGTTTGAACAGATCATGAATGAATGAGCTGAGCATGTTTTTCGCAAACTTCTCAGCGAGCTCTTTTTAAGCTCTGACTCTGAGCTTGGGCGTCCTGATGAGGTCCTGATGACGAGCTGTTGAAGGCATAGGTCATTTGTCTGAAAAGCATCTGAATTGGCCGGTGCAGTGTACAAGCCCGAGCGCTGTCTTGTTGTGTCAGGAATATTGTCAGGTGTGTGTCCAATCTGAAGGCAGCCCTTTCTAGATCCGCCAGCCTCCTTGATCTCCGCACAAGTTGGTGAGATGGCAGTCTCCGATTCTGATGATGACGACCTGCCCCTATCCGAACGCCGCAATTCCCGAAGGGAGTGCATCCCGCTGAGCGAGCTTGCATCACAGAGGAAGGGTGCCAAGTCAAAGGAGCCCTCAGTCCCAGATGCAATCGCAGTGGCTAGCAAGCCAAAAAAGTCAACTTCCAGCAAGATTCAGGCTTCGCAGAAGCGAGCTAAAATGCAGCCCCCAAGTCACGTTCAAGGGCAAGGGAGCAGTTCTGGTGCGCCAGTGCGTTCTAGTCCGAGGCAGCGGAGCGCAAGGCTTTCGTCTGAAAATTCGCCGTTGACGGCCCTGCCCTGGGAGGTTCAGCTCAAGATTCTAAGGGAAGTCTGCCTGGAGAATGCTGCGGAGGCGCCACGCTTGGTGACAGTGTGCTCATTGTGGCGGCAGGTCAGGGCACTAGACCTTTGATCCGGTTTTTACATGATGAAGTGGAATTGCGTGAGTTACTGGCATCAAACTTGCAGCACTAGTCAGTGGTGGTCCTCTGTGTGGGCGTCCGCCTGTAGTCGTGATTGATCTGCTTTGGCTGCCCCATGACCCTCGTTTGCTACTGGACGCCATGGACCAATTGGAAGTGTGGTGAAACAATACGAGAGAAGTTTATCTTCACTCTGAGTCCTGCCTCTTCTCAAGGTTGTAGGTGCAAAGGCATACCTCCAAACATGAGTCCACTCTTTCAATTTGTCTCTTTCATACTCTTTCACCGTTTGGATTTAATCTGTAACCATCATCTTGACGTGTAAGTGAAGATATAAAAGCTGGGTCGAGAAGAAGTTTCTGTCCTGACCTTTTCCTAATTCCATAGAAGCGACAACATGAGCAGCCATTAGACGTTGATCATGTACGCCTTCCTGCAGCTTGAGGATGAACCTTCCGTCTGGAAACGAATTGACGTTCCAAGGGGGCGCCGCGCAGTGTTTGACGACAGCATTGTAGAAAGATACACAAGCAAAGGAACCTGGGCTGAGCTTGAAAAGCTCAATTTGAAAGGTGAGGGGGACCTCCCTTTGGTCGTGACTGAATGAATAAAGAGATGTCGTCATGAATATAAACTAAGGACGATGCTGAGCATACAACTCACTGTTGGTCACATATGCCAGATTGCTGATGGTTGGCAGTTACATTGATCATGTGTGATATGGGCGCCAAGCCGCCAAAAACAGTAATCACCGACCAATAAGGTTGCAGCTCGACGAACTTGTGCGGCCCCTCCTACTGACAAGCCGAGCTTCAGATGGACGAAGGGTTTCTCTGGGTGCCGTAGGTTATCTACTGTTGCTTGCCAATGATGGTTCTGTAACAGAGAATAGCTTGTAGTTGGATTTGTTGGCAGGCCGATCAAAGGTGTACATGAAGAGGCAGGTATGGAAAAGTGGTTAAAACCACCTCTGTTTTCCGAACTCTGCAGTCAACAGTTTCTAATGGAAGATGATTGCCCTCTGGTGCCCTGCTCGACCGTGTTGGTAAGATTCAGAAAAATCCGTAAACAACTGATGTCTTCCTCGCCTCTCTCCACAGGAACTAGAATCTCGAACAAAGGGCTCGCATGCCTGTCGGAATGCTGTCCCTCCCTGACCGATGTAAACCTGGCGGATTGCAAGGGTGTGAACAGCAGTGGCGTCCTTGATTGGGCAAGGAAACAGTCGACGCTTCGTGCTCTAACGCTCTCGAGGGCAGACCACGTCGTACGTGATGCAATTGTCAAGGTGAGCGAGAACGTCTACCTCCTTGACTGCATTCAGTTTCGGTCATGCAGATCTGTTCATTGTTGCTCCTCTTGGAAGCTGTTATGGGACCCTGTTCTCGTCAAAGTCTATGGCTGACTGGGGGAGTGGATGACTTCCAAAGTCGATATAAAAATGTTTTGAAGCCGTATGAGTGCTTTTCCCGTCTCTCCAGGTCCAGATCCCATCTAACTTCTAAAGACGTGTCCAGGGCCATGTTTCAGCCTCGTACAGGATTGTCACAGAGATGGCAGATTGAGTGACGTCGCACTTTTGACCACTACCAGCTCACTCCGTGGGGAGGGCAGACGAGAAGACACAGGCAGAAGCGAGCATGATCAGATTGTTGGCCTTGCTGATGAAGAGAAATACGAAATTAGAAACTACTAAAGCGAATACCCTGAAGACAGAACCGAATGCATAGTCTTCCTACAGCTTTACCTAATACCGTTCTCTTTGATTGGAAGACCTTCTGACCAGACACTACTGTCGGCTTCAACAGGCTCTCGTGGTGGAAAGGCCCGAGATAACGTACCTCCGACTGAAGGGCTGCGAAAAGGTTGGCTCCGTTGCACTTCGAGCCATCGCAAACGGTCTTCCACACCTGCGAGTGCTGGACTTGACGGGGGCGGGATTACTGCGGGCAAAGACGATAATCCCCATACTGTTGCTGCAGGTAAGCAAAGCTTGCTGCATGCTTTGCCCCCCACAGTCTAGGCCTCTGGAAAGACCTTGCAACATGTACTTGTCACTTATTTGTGAAGGTCGATCATGTCGCTTGTCACAGAGAAACCCTAAGGTTTGGATCCTCTTGAGATGCTGTTTTCCAGGTTTTCTATTGTGACCTCTCTGTGTACTTGCAGGCGAATTGTAGGGACTTGGAAATTCTTCGACTCTCGCGGTTTGGCCATTGGTGGGAACCCTGGGCGAACCTGGAAGAAGGGGGAGCTGCGCTGAGAGCATGGGATGCGAAGGTGCAATCGCTCCAGTACAGGGACGAGCCCAGGTCGCACCAAGAACGCCTGGCGCAGAGTACTGACGCACCAGAATCGTCAGAGGCGGGTTCTTCGGGGGCCAAAGAGAAAACGGTCGGGTTTCCAAAATTGAGGGAGCTCCGGGTGTCGCCGAACTGGAGGAATTCCATTGCGACAGTGCGCAATTGGGGGAGTAACTTTTCGTCGTCGAGCTTAACAGATTCGGCCCTGTGGCAGATTTTGAAGGGATCCCCCGAGCTGCGCGTTCTAGACATAGCGGGCATTGCCAGCGTGTCCGTCAGGATCATGCACGCCATCCCTACGCGGCACCTAGAGGTTCTGGACATGGCCGGCGCAGCGCTCTTGGGCACGGGGGGTATAGAGGTGGCGGTCGAGCGGTGGGGCCGCTCGTTGACGTCACTCGACGTCAGCCACTGCGCAAACGTGCGGACGCTCCACGCTATCCACCATTGCTGCCGCGCGCTGCGGCGGCTGAACGTGAGCTACACGGCGATCGGAGAGGATGACCTCCGGGCGATACTAAGCAACGAGCGGCTGATGTCGGTGCTGACGTCAGTGGATGCGTCGGGCTGCCGATCGCTGCCTCGGGACATGCGGCTGCCCGGTGATTCGGATCTCGACGTTCTGAGGGAGCGGCTTGGGGTGGAAGGGAGGCGTAGCGGTCGATCCAAAGAGAAAAACGCTCCCAGAAACGGCAAAAGCGGGAGGCGAAAGTCGCGCCGGGGAGCAGAGGATGACGTCAGCGAGGGGCGTCCGGCAAAACGGCAGGGGAGCGCTTCGAAAGGCGGGGAAAGGCGGGCGACGGGGAGAGAGCGGTCCAAGAAGCGGGTCAGGGCGTTTGGCGAAGAGGAGGACTCGGATGACGACTCGGATTACACCCCAGGCAAGAGGGAGCCGGAGGACTGCTACGCCTGGGACTGAAGGTTTCAAGGCCAGTGCTTCTGAAGCTTCTCGTTAAGAGTAGACAGACCGTCATGAGGCTTACCACGGACTTCTGTGGGCGTTTGTTTGTCGCGTACGTCAGATTGGTCTGCTTTCATGTTTTGAATCATTCGGTTGCTTGTTTTTACGCCTGTCGTGCTTGGTAAGTGGGACTGTGTTCGTTGGCCACTATACATACGTACGGCATCGCTTGTCCGAGTGGTCCGAGGATTCTTCCTTACACAAGCTTCCTTACCCTAACCCTTTCCTTACACAAAGGGCAAAGTCGCGACCCTTTGTTTCTCTGTCTCCGTCAGTGCGATTTCTCCCCTTAGAAAACGGATCAGCAGAAGCCTCGAGTACCAGTTCAGCAGCTTGCCTAATGCTGACAGGATGCACTTCCAATCTCTTGCAGGTAAACAGTCGTCTTCGTTGGAAGCTTTTACTTGGGCCCCACCGCGTCTCATTCCTGGCGGTATCTGACCACACACCTCCTGTAGTCGATTGTACTGTATATAGGTACAGAAGGTGTGGTTTCTGTTTGTATCAGTAAGTCAGTCGCCTGCTCACCTTAGATTTTCGCTATGCAAAGGCTGGTGAATAGCGTCGGCTCCAGTGTTTTTCCCTGTCCAGAACATTCGAGCAGGTGAAGATCGGCAAGCCTCGTAGGCAACAGGGCCAGGGGTTTGAAAGCCCATACTCTGTGATGATGCAGGACAGCTATGGCGGACGTTTCAGAAAATCCTCTGGCTTCCGGCTCGACCTTCTGAACTGACACGTAAAGGCATATGTACGGTTTCAATCTGACCGTTTCAATCATTTAGTGAACTGCACTTTGGACACATGTTGCATGACCTGACCACGGGGGTTCTGAGCTGTTTACGCAATGAAAAAGGACGACAATACTGTGCGCCGCTGGACCTCAGTGAGAAAGGGTGAGTCTGGCCCGTTGGCGGCATGTGGCGGATCTCCTGCATGCACCCTCATCGTTGGCAGGGACGCGCAGGCATATATGCAGATCTATAACTATACTTCGGCGCAGATAACTGTCTTCGAGCCGGCTAGCTGCCGTTTGGACGGCTAGCTTCACTATCGCTATACGTACCGGGATCCACTGTCTCTTACTTGGAGGTCATGGGCTTACACAAACGCGTTCACGAACTTGACGATATCACTTTGCAATACTCGGGCCCGGCTAAACATTGTGAAGTTCCAACGATGTTCAACCCGCAAACATGTATCCAATCTGGCGTGCATGTTCATGTGTTGCTCAGCTGTCCCGTACTCCACCCTCCTTCACGACATAGACTCTTGAACAAATCCGTTCAATCCTTGTTGAGCGGGATTTTTGTGCTGCTGTTCACAACAAGACCACAATCTGGCGCACTTGTCTACGCTGTAGAATCCAACCCGTCCGGTAGAACTGATTTTGACGCAGTGCCATTCTCTGCCTCGCTTACGCTTGCTGCAACTGGCTTAGACTCGATTTTAGCAGTGGAAGGTTTCACCTCATCCGTGGCCTCGATATCCGCACTGCTTGTGTTTTCAGCTATGCTACCTTTGCTTGCATTCGCAATTTGCTCAGACACATTTGCCGACTCCTCAGTTTCCTGTGCTTTTTCGGCCGCTTGCCGAGCGCCTGCTTCGTTGATCACTATCTCGCTCTTTATCACCCCAGCAGCCTTCGCCGTCAGATCATCAACCGCACCCTCTTTCTGCCCCTCGTTCTGTGTCCCAGCTTCCACGCCGCTCGCTGCAGGAGGCTCGCCAATCGGCTTCATAGAGCGCCCCAGTGCGTTGACGGTTCTCCCTCTGCCGAAAACGAACCCCTTGGTTCCGTCCGGCATTCTGGGGCCCTTAGGCAGCGCTGCCCTGGCTGGGGACGGGTCCCGGTTCTGTGTCCCGGGTCCGTTCGCTGGCTGGCCTTGCTGGCCCCGCCCCTTCCCCCGACCAGGGGCCGCTCCGTCCGGGTGGACTGGCAACTTACGCTCCTGCAGATCAGAAAAACGACCGGCGGCTTACGAAAAGCATTCACAGATAAATCGGAGGAATCAGATGAATCGCCCGCATACTAGGGAGTTGATTGAACCAGACGAAAAGGTTCTGGTGTTGCGAACGCTTGCGAAGCCGGCCGGACCAGCGGGACGAGTGGACGGCATCTTCTGTGCTGCTCTTCATACTTACACGAGCAACGGATGTCTGAGCCCAGAGTGAGGGGGGTGTGATGTAAGCAGCATCAAAGACTGTTCGACAGTGCTCGGACCCGACCGATTGCCACTGACCAGGACCTCGGCCAGAAAAGAATGAGCTCGGTCGCGAATTTCAGCCCAGAAACTTCTCCGACGACCAAGGAGAGAACCGCACCTTGTGCCCCTCTCCCTCGGTCCCGGTCCCCTCCCCCTCGCTGTCCCCCCGTGGCGCGCTGGCCTTCCGCAGCCCTTGCCGCCGCACGAGCGGCCGCACCTGCAGCCCCGACCGCCAGTTCTGCCGGTCGGTCAGCTCCGCACATGCCCGGTCCGCTAGTTCGAACGACTCCATCTCGATCAGCGCGTGCTGCCGGGTGCTCACCAGCAGGCTGGGGCCGTCCTTGAACTTGGCCTGCGCGTCGCGGGCCGATTGCGTGGCGCTGTTGGCACCCTCGGGGTGGCAGATACGGACCATGTTCACCTTGCCGACCTGAAGGGCCACATTGGCTTCAGTGCTTCGTTATCAAAAATATTCAAAATTTTCATGGTGAACCTGCATACTAGGTCGGCCTCTTTATCCTATCGTCCTTCGTTCTTGTCTTCATTTTTCCATGTGAAGACCTTGAGTGACAGCAATATGTATGGTCTGACCATATGCATCTCGTCAAGAGGACACCCCTGATGAACACACCAAGACTGAGACAGAAAAAGGAATGCTCAACTACTGAAAATAACCACTTCTGCCTTGGACATCAGCATACTGCGCTCAGTCCTAACGCACGCAGTGATCGTGCAAAGAAAGCGTGCAAAGGTTTGACCTGCCACATAAGACTTTGTTTTATAAACATTTTAACGTTTTGACGAACTTATTAATTACCTGAGAAAAGAGGGCCTCCATGCCCTGGATGGTGGGGTTGGAGGGGAGGTTCTCAGCGACCACTGTGCGCATCTGAATGTCAAAGAGGTTGACATCAGGGAGGGGCTGTGCGCGGCGCACCTTCTTGCCGTCCGAGCTGACCACCTGCTAGCAAAGTGAGAGATCTGAACCTGGCGGAACCCTATTTTTTCATTCTATTTTTGGGTCGGCACCAGCACACAGGTTGACGGGGCATCTACGGCAGATCTGGAAGTATGGCTGAGCCAAGCTCAGTCCCATTCCCAGAGGACTAACGACACGAACAACTGTACTGGTGGCCCTGCTTCTTGGCAAAGAAATCAGGTCCAATTCATGGGTTTCATGCCTGCCACTATTTTCGAACAAAGAGCATCCAATTCCAGATGCATCTGATGGCAGAGCGGCTGTACTATCAGAAACTTACCAGCTGTTGGGAAGACCGGACAGCTTGAGCAATGACTGCGTGATTCTTTGACAGGCTCTTGATCTTGTTGAAACCTCCTATTGTCTTGATAGGCACTGTACACAAACAGGGAGGTGGTCTGTCAGAAGGAGAATTGAGACCAGAGGATATTGCAAATTAAGATGAGAATGGCACTAGAAGCACCTTCAATCAGTAGCGACTGCACCATGTCACTCAAAAGCTTGCAACCAGAATTTTTCAGTTGATACATGAAAGATCGTTGAAAAATGACCATTGCTCAGTGTATGTAGAATGAGATGATGAAGACTGACCCCAGCCCTCAGGATCTTTCCGGACAAGCTTCATCAAAAAGTTGTCTGTTGGAAGGTTCTGGTCGCTCAAGTAGAATTCAACCTGCAATCAAACAGATCGAGACTACCTGTCAGTCTCAATTAATTTCTCAACACTACTGGTTGGTGCAGAGTCACTTCACATTCCTTCTTCCTTGAAGAATGTAAGAAGTTGAAATGCTTGCAATGTCATTACACAAACAATGCATCCACACAACCTGGTGATGCCAATTACAAGCGAAAGATGCAAATTTCTAGACTCAAATGCAGGAAGAAGCACAAGCAGCACAATCTTTCAGATCACGACCACTTGCATGATTCCAGAATCGTGATGACGTTGATACACGGCAGAGAGTACCAGACAGTATATCTGGAACTCCAAAAGAAAACTTGCCTGCTTTACGATCTTTTCCCGGAGCTCTTCGCTTATTTCAGGCGGCGCTGCCGCCCGTGACTGGGATGGCTGTCCCTGCATTTGATCCGCAGACTGCTGCATCTGCTCATTGGTATGTTGCTGCGGGCCAGGCATTGGCTGGCGGAACTGTTCATTCTGGAAAGGCGCCTGATGCATCACCGGAGGGAACTGGCGGTTGGGGCCCTGAAACTGGTGGTTTGGCCCTGAGAACATTGGATTCGGACTCTGGAACTGTTGATGGGGACCCTGGTTAGGACCAGGGAATGGCTGGCCCCTGCCTGGAAACTGCTGCGGTGTTTGCATCATTCCAAAGTGTTGCGGCATCTGTGGGGGGAGGAGTGGCGGCCGCATCTGAGGATGAAGCCCCTGTTGCTGCTGCTGCTGCATCAACATCATGGCCTCCCGCTGCAAAATGAACTGCTGAGCTAGGTGCTGTTGCACAGCCAAAGGCACGTTGGTTGGAAGCTGGGGGATCGGGCCCAGCCCCATGCTGACTGGAGGGGTGAACCCAGGGGCCTGCATTGCTATGTTGGGACCGCTGGAGAAGCCATGGATTGTCTGCAGCGGATTGCCCTGGGCCCTGTCCCGCTGCTTCTTTTGCTGGCGCCCTGATGCAGGCGCATGCGCATTGGTCGATTGGGACGGTACATCAGAAGCCTGTGGCGAGGATCTGCTGGACATGGGGACAAACTCAGCCGCTGCAGGAGACAATTTTACCCTGCTAGAACCTTGCGAAGATGCAGATTGCGATGCGGGGTTAGTGGCAGGGTCTGCGGACGAAGGCTCCTGTTTTGATGCACTCGCTTTCAGTTTTGACGAATCCACTGCTGCTTCACGAGAGGAAGGAGACGCGTTCTCCTCCACTCGGCCATTCCCCCCTGCCAGTAAATCAACTGCCCTGGCACATTCTCTCATTTCTCCTTCCATTCCATGCGAGACAGACAATAGATCCTGGCGCCGCAGATTGGCAACGCTCTCAGGTCCCTTGTCCTCAGCAATCTCTCCAACTTTACCATTGCTCACTGCTGAGGGTGGCGCCGATGGATCCGCCATTCTTCTTCTGCTTGAAGGGCTGTCCTTTCAAGAGTGCTTCTCTTTAGACTTCAAGTTCTACATATGCTCCTGGACTTTGGCTGTGGTCCTTTGATTTTTGGGTTAGCACTGGGTTAGTTGAGTTATCGATCTGGCTTAAAGGTCAGCCGGCTTCAATGTTGACTATTATCGAATAGGCTTAGGTGCGATAATAGTAGTGAATACTTCGATAAGACTCTTTGAATAATATTTAGGACTGTGCGTAGTCCGTAGAAGTAGAGTATAAATAGTTCATGGCGGAGTTGGAAGTTCCTCATTCCAACTCGCCACTTTAGAAATCTAGCAGAGTCTTGCTTGT